GCGACTCCCAGACGCGACATTGTTGTTCCTGCGCCTGTCTGTTGGCCGCAAGATGTGTGGTTAGTCGTCATGTAGCATGATTACATGGTGACATGCAGGGACGGTTCAGGGGAAAGTAGGGTAGTAGGATAGTAGGGTACAGTGCATTGGACGTGGGTGGCATGGCGTACCATGTACAGACAGTCTACGCCTTCTTGAAGTGCTATACGTGCTGTGAGGCCATCGTATACACCGGGACATGCGATGAACTTTTCTGGATCTGCGAGCATTGCTCGGAGTTTCTCGACGGCTGTCATTTTGATATTCTTCCGTTTGTACGGTATCCCTCAAGTATCACCTAAGCCCTTCTTTCTTTCTTTTTTCTTTTCTTAGTTTATGTATTTGCCTAGCTCTTTCGTATATCTTCTGTTTTCATATGAATGTACGTTGGTTTCGAATGGAAGAAGAAAGCGACTAGTGGTTGGAGAAACTTTGTGCACAACGACGCAGGGTAATCTTATTAGAGATGGTTGTACTATTACTAAGAGGAAGTCTGTTCATCAATGGTAAGCAACAAGTCTATGAGTGATGTTAATCAACCAAGGCACGACAGCCCTGAGTTCGCCCTCCACTGGCCAGATCTCGCTGAGTCTCGGCGTATTGCGTAATGTGGTTCTTTGTCAACCAAAGACGTTGAGAAGGAGTCGTCGTTTTCTTATTCCTTTGCAGCCCGATGAAAAAATGTAAAGACCCACAACCAAGTGAAAATGATCCAAAAAGGGAAGCGATAGCTACATGAAGTCTTAAAACTAGGTATACATCCGTCCAATATTGCGGGAATCTGCGAGACAAGAGGTTTTTGGTTCGATCGAGACTTCGATCGTAAACCAACCGGAGAAAACTCCTTACGGGTTGCTTTGGCCTAGTTTGGTATGTATCGCGCTGGCATCGAAATCCTGCGGACCTAGTACAACCATGGGGACAAATAATGGTGGGAGTCCAAGTTGCTCATCCTAGTAAATCTTTGTGTGTGGCTTGCACCGATCGCTTTTCCGGTCGTGCTTTCAAGGATATTTGACCGACAGAACCAAGAGATAGGGCGCAAAGCGGAAACAAGTCAAGTAAAAACAACTTTTTAATTGTAACCTTTATGATTGACCATACAGCTGGGGAAAACAATTCAGCTAGGCCCCACAAACGGCAGCGAACACTCCATCCGCACGTGAGAAATCCATGTGATGGTCACCCCGCAATGCATCCTTCTCGCTGACGTAGCGTTGCTTGCCGAACTTCGCCGGTAGTCTGACCGATACGGGCGCCTCACGCGGGACCTCTCACTGGCTGGGTACAAGAAGCGCACAGGAAACAGTTCGGCTCCGCCGATGTCTGGCGCAATTCCCTGTATGCAAATGGTAACATCGTTTGAGAGCGAGGCATGGAATTGCCCCGATTGGTATGCTGACCGACGCCGACATATGTACATGTGCATAGTCCGTAAGATTCCGTGAGCCGAGAAGCTAGGTTTGATTTAAGTGAGCCGCTGGCCAGCAGAACGGCAAGCATTCCACTTTCGATTCATACTCGACCTCTCATCTGTCAACTCTTCCGGATCATTGGTGCTGTGATGGCCAGGATGTCCGGTTTCAATCGAAGTAGGTCAGGCGGATCTGTTGTAGTTCGATGGGTGCCGTCTACTCTTTACTGTCCTCCACCTCCCTTTCACTCTTGACTGAACAACCCTTACCAACCAGAAAAATAACTCTTCGAATGTACGGACACATGTCCAATACAAGACGACACTCCAATCGAGTGGCCTTTTCTGACCCGGACCACGATCTACACCATATCAGTGGTAGAAAAGTCCCCTGCTGCAACTGTTTCTTGTTTCAGCGCATCCGGGTTTGCCAACATCATCGTTCCAGTCTCTTCAGTCTACGCCTTCTTGTTTAGTCGTGCTCCAAGAATTGTGGTCAGGTAGGCAAACCGGTCCTTCTTTTTATCAACGACTGTCTTGGACTTACAGTCATGCTCATTCAAGCATATGGCATCTGCCTGTTTCTAACACCGATGCAGTCCAGGATCTGCAGTTGTAAATTTTGATGGCTCCCAACTCCCTCTGCCCGCCTAACCATCACAGGAGGACATTTGAGGCCATAAAATCTAACCATAAGTGTACCCCATGTTCGGTGCACCGCCATTTACAGGCATCATGGGGTTCATGGATCCAACCGGAACATTCGGCACTTCAGCATTGGAGAACTCAAACCCAGCAGCCCAATCATAATCCGGAAATTGTTCCAGGACAGGTGGAATTGCGTAGTCTTGACTATCCCAGGAGTCAAAACCACCACCCATTACCGATGGGTCGGGCTGCAGTTGAGGGTTGACTAAGCTCGGATCGAATTTGGTTACTGGAAGCTGGGACCTCAGCGAAGGATCCGTCAGCTGTTGCTGTTGTTTCTGCAATTGTTGTTGGATTTGTTGCTGTTGCTGCTGTTGCTGTTGCTGGTGCTGTTGTTGTTGTTGTTGTTGTTGTTGTTGTTGTTGTTGTTGTTGTTGTTGTTGTTGTTGTTGTTGTTGTTGTTGTCGTTGTTGCTGTTGCTGCTGCTGTTGGTGTTGGTGTGACATATATTCTTGACCTATTTGTCAGTTACTGATGAACCAAAAAGAGGTGGCCAGATACTTACGAGCTGCATTCTGTTGAGCAGCATCATTAGCGACGAGTGATGACTCTTCGCCATTGTAAGGATTTTGCATGTTGCCGAACTCTTCTCGCCAGTACCAGAACATGTCATAGCTAACACTCATGCTCAAACGGGTGCGTAACCTCAGGTATAGCGACTCCACGCGTCCGTCCTTCTTTCGGAACACTTTATCACTGCCCCACAGGTCTTTCATGATATGCGCAGTCCGGAAATGAACATCTCCAGGTTGTAAAGACACATTCTTCAGGAATTCGTACGCTTGACTAAAGGCTCTCTCGCCTGCGACCAAGTCCAGATGTTGCGCGAGTGGACTGCGAACGAGCCTGAGGATCGTAAAACCAGCCAGTGTAATGGATCGGTCAATGAAAGATTGCGATACGGAGGACAAAAGTGTTTTTGTGGCCGTTTGCATTGTCGCTGCCGACTGGATAACCGATATGCACAGTGCATAAAATCGAGATAGGCCCTCAGCATCGGGTCCAGGATTGGTTGGGTGAGCAAAGAAATGGAAAGCCATGACATGGATACGAGCACAACTGAGTTGCAAGGTGTCTATTCGGTCAGTAAACAATGATTGAATGCAGGAGGAAACTACTCACCAAGGTCGCTTGGCGATGATGGGGCTAAACTGAGAAGCTGTGAATCGAATATGCTAATCAGCGACCGTAGTACGCGGACATCGCAGTGGATGGATTGCAAATTGATTTTACCCATTGCAACCATCGCGCGCATGAGGATAATGTAGACTTTGTGGAGATACTGCAAATCAGCTGGGAGGTAAGGAACCATGTCCTCGCGCTCTTGTTCGTCTCCATCGAAGAAAGACTCAGCAAGGGGCGGTATGCCTTCAACGCAACTCGTTCTACCAGTCATTAGCCAAAAGAAACTCCGGGAAACGCATATAATCCGAAACCTACCTTATGGAGACGATGACACAGCACAACCAGAGTCTGGCGCGCTGTACCTTGAGGGATTGGTCCTTCTCGAGGGGCGTTCTAGCAAAATCTTGACCCACGCCTGCAATATGGAGACCAATTTGTGTCGCAAGATGTACTGCTGAGCCACACATGAGGTGTGATGTATCCTTGTACATTGAGTTTGTGGGTAGTCTCCATGTGCAGAGAATCAACAAGCCTTGGATGATGGGAACCTGTGAGGTGCGTAATGCCATTGAGGAAAAGGCAAGCTGAGTGACAGGTTGAGCAATTCTCTCAAGCACCTCGGGATAGTCAGAATACCGCCGGGATCCTGTGACAACGATGACCCAGAACAGGAACGGCGACTGATCGTAGTAATCATTAGGGGCAGTGCTGGGATCAAGAATTGGAAACAGCAGGTGATATTGGGTGAAGTAACTATTACCCACGTCAGCGGAAGAGAAGATGGACATGGCGTTCAACCTACAGTGCGAAACAGTCGTCAATTCGTTTGGAATCGAGGAGAAATCCATCTAGGACACGCGGGATGGTACCCTGGCTGTCGGAACTTTTCCTTGTGGGAGGCCTTGAATCGAAAGCTGGGGACATGGAATCCGACGCGTCGGTTCTCCCTGACGGATCGGAATATGTACCGGAAGCATGTTCAAGCGGGGTATAATTCTGCATGTCGACATTTGGCGAGGCGGTCGAATGGGGATAGCTTTGGTCGCCAGGGGCCTGGCCTTGCCTCATGTTCCATCGCAACTCCTCCAACTCTCGGCGCATCTCAGCCTTTGTCTGGCGCAAATTCCTGGTTGATGTGGGAAGAATGCGACATTCCAGACCCATCTTTTTGCAGCGGCCGCATGGGTCATGCGGGACCTTATGCTGCTCAACATCGCAGCGAATCTGTAAAGTCAGTATGTTGTCTGTTTGGCGATTGAGGGTGTCGCGCGTCGAAGCGAGGTGGAGGAAAAGTACCTTTTGCTGGCGACACTCAACACATGCTTTGCGTCGTGGAGTAGCCATGGGGGGCTGATTCATCTAGTTTGTATCCACACGTTTCTGGCGAGTCGCAGCCCTAGGCTACCGTTGATATTCCGCGTCTCAATCGGCGAAAAAAGGCACATAAGAAGGGTATAAGGGTAAAGAACTTCGCCATGAGCTGAAGAACCGCATCCGCAATTAGCACCTTACGTCGTCATCGGGGCGTGTGTGCAGTGGTGCGAGTCGGATGGCGGGGGAATGGGACCGAGTATCTGACCGACGGAGATCTTTTTCTCTTGCTTGCAGGACTCGAAGTTTTTTTTTCAGCAGCCTCCCCTAGGCTGCCTCGCCCTGTGCTAAATGTTTTTTGTTAATAAGCCGCCATGGAAGACCACGGTCGTGCGTAGCGAAGCTAACAGGCCTTGATGTCTGTGTGGAAGGGCACGCATGCATAGCGACGACACGCGATTTTACAGACTCCACCCACGCTAGCCATTGTTTGACTAGGGCATTTTTGCGTAATCCGCCTCAACTCCGTATCCCACTCGCGGCCCACGTCGATGCATCTGTAGAGTGAACGCATCGCCCACGGCAGCCAGCCAGACACGGCGCCTCCTGACCAGTCAAGCTTTTGGCGATCTGCAGCTGAAGCGCCGTTTTGCCACACCTTGTCGCAGCGTGAGCGTGTCTTGCCACCACCCCTTCTGTCCGCCCCTCTCACCTACCACTTGCTCTCGACCGTATGGTGCAACTGCCAGCGCCACTGCCACCTCGCTGAGCCTGCCTTCAAACGTGTTTGGTGGGCCGGGTCAATGCAGGCGTACCTGATCCTCATCTTGCACGAGGTCTCTTGCCCCTTTGCAGCCTAGGCCCTTGTCGGTAGCTTCATTTGATGGGCGGGCACTATCCATCCGGTGTGTCCATGGACGGGCTGGGCAAACTGACTTCGTACGACGCCCTACTATGACCGAAGCAATCGAGGGCCTGCGCCACACGTTCACCAATGACTATCTAGGGGCGACATTGAAGCTGAACTCAACACCGCAGTATCGGATACTGTAGTGACACGGTAGTCCAAGTCTGCCCCAGCTCCAAGGATCATCCGACCCATGGCTGCTATGCGCTAGTTACCTTGCTTGACACGGCTGCACACGGCAAAGCCACATCTCTAGCATTGCAAAACCACTCACATCAAGCCGTCTTACTCAAACAGCTCATTTCATCCTGACCGACTCTAGCCGTCTCTACCGTCTCCACACTGTACACAAATGTTCCGTGATGGCTTCCATACCTTCTAGCCCAGGGTCCTCTGCAAGCCACACCGCCGTCCAACGGAAAGTTTGGCGTCCACACCTTCCCTTCTTCCCTTCCCTTCCCCCGCAAAGTTCCGCGGACTCTGCCTAGGTGTAGTGTACACATGCAGTGCAGATCGCAGCGGACTTGCAGATCAACCACACCATCTTGAATGTTATCAAATAGACAGCCAATGAATGCCCTCTCCTGGCCGTCGCTCTGCCATTGTAGATCCAAACGTACGCTGATTGTGCGGAAGGTGTATTCACGGAGATGCTGGGGGGGTTTCTCGGAGCAGGAAGTATCCTTCCTGCTTACACCAGCTCAGTGCACAGTGTGTTTGAAGGCACTCAGGCGCGGACACTAACATTGCTTTTATCTCAGCCCACAATCTGTGGCCTGTCCCTTTCCCTAGAGACACGATTCGGAGGAATCTATCCCATGGGCCTGGGAAACGGTACTCTTTACTTTTTTGGCTTCTTGGGCGTCATCATATCCCAAATATCTCGCCTTTCTCCGAGCTACTATGTGTATGTGCGTACATGGTTTTACCGTAGAGTACTTACACCAAGGTGTAGACCTAGACGGAAGAGGATGCAGGTAGTTCAATTGAAAGCCAATGAGAACTTCCACACCATCATGGGAGTTCCTTGATTTTGTAAAAAGGGGCAACCGGCTTGTCTCTTCCCGATATCGCTGGCATATGCATCTACTCTCCATTAAGTAGGTATATGGGCAGCATCAACATGTCAAATCGCGGTCGGTGCAGTAGCTTACACTTGGCCTTTCTGCAACACACCAACGTAACACTGTGACCATGTGGGTCCACATTCGCGACCATGGTCATGGTAAGCTCCGGTCTCACGCCTTTCTCTCTCTGGTTTTATTTTGCGCCCCCCCCTGAGGCGCTCCACACAAGCTACTGCAGACTTACTAGCCTCGCATCGAACTTATTGTCTAGACCACGTGGAATGGCTTGGTGCACGTTGATGTAACATGACCAACTAACCGGATCCATCGTTCCGTGCGTTGGCCACTGGATTCTATCCGCGTGTCCGAATTGCAAATCACTAAGAAACTAATCGTTCTCTCCTCGGAGCCTCGACGACATAAAGGTTTTCAGGTGTACTTCGAAACGGTTTACCCCATGCAGCTTCTTAATCACTGCCTCCCTCCTTTCACCCAATCCCCCCTTTTTTCTCCACGTTTTCTTGGACGCCTTGGTGTGATTCCGCGCACCACGCTACTTAGCATACACATAGTTACAGGGAACTCCCCGATGGCCCACTCTTTCAACAGCACAATCACCTCATACAAACACCACACCTCAACAGATTTCCCCAATGCCCCCTCCCCCTCCAATAACGAATCCATCGCTCAACCTTCTTCTATCCTCTTGTCTCATCTCATGCCATCCCAATCAACCTCAAAAATAAATCTAATCACCCCCCCCCCCCCCGCACTTGTCATGACGTACCTCGTACCAGTCTTTCCCGCTACATGGATAGCCATGCCAACACAAAGACGATAAAACACAACCAAAAGAGCAGCAGCAGCATCCTTGACAAGAAACTTGGCACGATCGATGCAGATGTTGTTCTTGCCGGCTGCTTCCTTAGTGCTTTCGCTATTTCTCCGTCTTCGTAAAAGTATAGTAATGACAACATTATAGACAGTTTATAAGTGTGACGTAGGAACTTTCTTTTGGAGCTTGCAGAGTAGGTTGTTGGGAGTATGAGATGTGTGGTGTATTCGGTAGAGAGGCACAGAAGAGACTATCGATATTGGGTTACTGACATGCTTCTTTTTTCTCCTTTGGAGGGTTGAAATGATTGGTGTTTTGAATGGATTCTCCATGGTTCTCGTTGTACTTTACAGAATTGTGCGAGACAGCATCACTTGGTATCAAAGTCAAAAGTCACAAGCTGTTGGCGCACGCCTTTTAATCCATCAACTAAGGACATGTCTGATGAGACCTGCTCATGCTACTATCCATGAAGTGATATGCATAGCTCTCAAACCTTCTGTCCATCTCTCCCTTCTCTCATGCAGCATCGTCGAGTCTGGTGTACATTGCCACTTCACGTAGCAACGGTAGCCAGAAGAGTCTCATACTTGTTCTTCCAGTAGGTGGTGTCACCGTTGTTCTGCGAAGCCTTGGCTGTAATGAGTTCCTTTTGCAAACCCTTAATGGTTTTTTCCCTGTCGAGAGCATCCTTGCGATACTGCTCGGCCTGCTTGTACGTCGGAAGCATGTCCTTGTATTCCTTATACGAGCGCTTGGCTAGGTCAGTCCACTCTTCCAGCGTGTTTTCGAGAACGGCGATTTTCTCGGCCTGTTTGCGAATGAGATCGGCGGTATCGGAATCCGTAGGCTCGACTGCCTTGCTCAATGACTCCACCTTCTTGGAAAGCGCCTCCTTCTCAAACCTGGTATTGCTCACTTCATCTTGGGCCGCTTTCAACTGACTAGTAAGACTGCTAACAAGCCCCGACAACTCCAAGTTTTCATGATCGAGTTTGATGACTTGGTGGTCGATATCAGTAAGCTTAGCCAGGCGCTGCTGCAACTCAGTGTTTTCCTTCTGTAAGCGTCCAATGCCATTTTTCAGACCGTCGATCTCTTTGGATTGCTCTTTAAGTTTCTGTACATGTATTAGCTTCATCTGCACTTGAATAGTCCAATCGAATGTGCATACCACAAACGCCTTTGCATGCTCTGCTGCCTGGTTGCTGTACTTCTCGCTTAGAGTTTTGTGCTCTTTTTTGGCTTTGTCGGCATCAAGTCTGGCGATATGTTCACTCTCTCCTAAATTAGTGATTTTTGCCATGAGGGCTGCGGTGGTCTTCCTTTCTTCAGCGAGTTGACCAGTGATCAACTTCAACTTTTCGGTAGACTGTTGATCTGTATTGGTCTTGCCCTGATGTTCTTCGAGTTTCTGTCGCAGCGCATCGACTTCTACAAGGAGCTGTTTATTAGAAGCTGCGATAGTCTCTAGCTCCTTCTGCATAGCATCAGCCTTACGTAGGTCTTCAGCCTCGGTGGCGTGTTCCTTCTCGAGAAGCTGCATGTACTTGTCCACTTCAGTGCGGAGATTGCCTTTTTCAAGCGTGAGACGCGAAACACGTTCCTGAAGGGCCTCAATGTCTTTGATTTTGGCGGCAGTCTGCGCTTTGTATGCATGGAATGCTTCGTGGTGTTCGAGGATCAGATCATGTTGAATGTTAACCTGTGATTATTTCAAGTCAGCAAGTGTCATGAACGTGCGAAACCTTGTAAGGGTGAACTGACCTTCTTGTGCTGAATGTTTAGCTCGTGCTGTGTGTCTTGGATCATTTGATTCATCATGGCAGTGTGGTACAAGCTGATGTTGTTGCGCTGCTTATCCAGAAATGTGGGCAGTGCCGCCTTTGCATCATTCATTGCAGTATAGAGCTTTTCCAACTCACTCCACAGGGCCTCGACGGTGGCATTGCTCGTGTCAGGAGATGCCTCTCGAATGAGGTTGAGTAAACGGTGAGTGTTTGCAATCGTGCCCGAAATGACGGCGGACAATTTCGCAGCATGCTGATTCACCTCATCATAGAGACGGTTCCCATGGGCAATAGCGAGTTGAACGTCAGAGTTGTGCTGCTCTATATCTCGTGTATTAGAATGATTTGGTCATGAAAGTGCAATGTGCTCACCAATTGCGGTGGTGCTGCCGCTTTTCGGAGTGGCGACAGGCGACAGGAAAGGCGTGGAAGTGACCGAAGATGGTTTCTTGTGTAACGGACTGGCATACTTTGAGTTTTCGAGAGCTATTGGGCCACCGTATGAATTTGCAGATGCCATGCCTACGAAGTGGAGTTGGTTACAATGTACAGTTGGTATGACTTGAGAGTGGACTGTTGTTCAGAGATGGTAAGGTTTGTTGGTGAGGCTCGTGCAGTGTTTATCATAGTGAGTATTAGCAGGAGCGCCTCTCACCCACAGGTGAGGATATCAAAGTGAATACAGCAGAACAAAGTCTTTCACAGTCAATGGGTATATGAACAGAGAATATACAAGGTGTCTCATGATTAGCAAAGTGGAAAGTGTGTGTTGACCTGGGCTTTCAATAGCTGCAGAGCGTGCCAAAAGTAAGATCACGAGACGGCCGGCACGTAGATGGTGTAGACCCAAAGCATGGCTAAAGAGTGTGTTACTTGTAATATCTCTAGGTATAAGAGGGTCAATGCACTACATAAGATATATCAAGGCACGAAATGGTAAAGCAGAAGGCATGACATGTCAAGATATGTGGTATGAGATGTGAGGGCACAACAGACCCTGGAGCTACTAGGAGAAGCCCAAGAACTGGAGTTGAACTAGAGCCATGTGTGTATATGCCAGTGCACAGTAAGTTCAGTGAGCATTGTTATTGCTGTATTAGTCATGCCAGGGACTGGCAGTCGTGCCGACCTTGAACCAGGACACGAGAGGTAATAATACATAATATACGGATACACACATGTAAGTTGGTATGCACATGGCAAATGCAGATTCACACGGGGCCTAATCTCCACATGGGTGCCCAGCAGTGCAGATGGATCCAGCCAGAGGGGGAAAAAGCAACGGGTCTGAGTCAAGTTAATATTGAGGGTTTGAATGTCCTTTCCGGAAACAAACATGGTGGTTGTGACGGGTGGGGAAGCGAAGGAGAGGCGCGGAGAAAAAGCAAACGAGTACGGAGGTGCCTTTCAAAAGTATTGTCTGACGCTAATCTCGGCGATTCGGCGCAACTCTTCTTGGCGCAACTCCCACCTTCGAGCTGAGGAGCTGTTTGATCAGCCTACCTGCCACTACGTAGTTATCTTCTTACTATGGCTCCTTATACTGATATATATACCCGTACCTTAATAATCGCGCTAAAGTCACCTCCTATTGGCAAGAATACGTCACAAGTTGCTGTGCTAACTGGTGTTAATCCTCGTACTGTCGATCGTATCTATAGTAGAGCTATTGCTGCAGGCTTTGAGCCAAACGAACTTCCTATTAAGATCCTTCCACACCACGTTCAGGATGCTCCAAAGACTGGTAGACCTACTAAGCAGGCAGAGGAGGTGAAGGAGCAGATATTCCAACAAGTACGACACGATAGATATGGACGAGAGAAGAGCTGTGCTGACCTTGCTGGTGGGCTCAGTCTCCAAGGAGTCGAGATCTCTGCCTCTACCGTCTGGAGGGTATTAAGAGCAGCAGGATACAGGAAGACCAAGCCAACGAGGAAGCCTAGGTTAACACAGAAGATGAGGAGTGCTCGTCTTAAGTAGGCATTAGAGCATAAGGACTAGACGTTGGAGGACTGGAAGAATATCATCTGGACAGACGAGACGTCCGTAGTAATTAACCACCGACGTAGGGGCTATAGAGTCTGGAGAAAGGCAGATAAGAGAGTAGTTAAGAGCTGTATCCGTAAGAGGTGGAAGGGATACTCTAAGTTCATGTTCTAGGGCTGCTTCTCGTACGATAAGAAGGGTCTATACCATATCTACTAGCTAGAGACAAAGGCAGAGAAAGAGGATACTGCTCGTCGGATTGAGCAGCTGAACGCTGAGCTTAAGCCTCTACAGAGAGAGGAATAGGAGCTGTTAGAGTCCATAAGGAGAACAGGGCTACGTAATAAGCGTGGCAGGAAGCCTCAATAGAGATAGATAGAGAAGACAGGCAAGCTGGTACGCACGTCTGGAGGTGGCATAGACTAGTGGAGATATTAGACCTGCGTTCTAATCCCAAAGCTAATTCCTTTCGCTAAAAAATGCCTCTAAGATAGACCTCAGACTGTTGTAATGGAGGATAAGGCACCTAGCCACGCCCACCACTATCAAAGTGTGATCTATCGCCTGCACGATATCGAGAGACTACTCTAGTGTGGTAACTCGCTAGACTGTAACTGTATTGAGCCATGCTGGTTCTATATGAAGAGAGAGACTACGAAGAAAGGAGCTCCACAGTCAAGGGCTGAGGCAGTTAGAATCTGGCAGAACTGCTGGAGAGATCTCTCGCAACTCAAGATCCAAGCCTGGATTGAGCGAATTCTTGTACATATTCAAAAGATAATTGAGCTACAAGGTGGTAATGAGTACATAGAGGGGAGAGACAAGCCTCGGCTAAGGCGGCCGTACTTCGGATAGATTATTCTTGGCAGACAATACTTTTGAAAGGCACCTCCGTAAGTAGGCAGTAGATGATATGGGCGCCGTGCGTCAAACGAGCAAGACGGGTGGGACTCCCATTCGGCAGTGTTAAATTGTGTCGCTGTAATCTCGGCATATCAGTGGTGACAGGACACTTGTGTCTCAACAGGGAGCGTGCCGAGGTGGTACTTAGTCGTGCACCATGCAGGCTCCCGATCGTGGCAGGACAAAGCCGGTGGTCCCAAGCGGACGACGGCTCAGCGCAGCGCGCCGTGTGACGTTTGGCAGAGCGAACTGCGAGTTGACTGTGCGGGCTGATGTGGAGGGGGCGGGCGGGCGAGTGGTAGTGGGAAGAGTGACAATGGCAGTGGCAGCGGGCTATTTGCAGGCATGTACACTAGTATGTAAGGGGGGTGCGGGCACGGGAGAACCTGTCCATGTTACCCGCAGCATGGGGCGGATGCAAGAGGGGGAAGGACCCTCGATGACATGCTGGGTGGCTGTAAGTACACAAGTACATATGTAGGTGAGTAAAGAAAGCAAGTTAGTATATAGGCATGGACGCATGTAGGCAAGAGGAGATGGAAAGCAGTATAGCGGGTGGGGACTGGAGAGAGCAGCCCTTGTGCTCGGGTCGGCTCAGGAGAGACATGTTCCCATTGCTCTAAAAGCAGGCAAAAAGGTGGGCATGGGAATGCAGCGGCGGAGAGGTGGACAAGCATTTGGTTGCCGTGGGTCCACTTTCGGAGAGTAGGGTTGCGGATAGGGCCGTCGTGTGTTTCTGCCTTTTCTGTAGCTGGATGCGCCACCCACCAGCCAGCCAGCTAGCCAGCCAGCCAGTGAGTTGATCTTAGCACGCCTTCCTTGTCCATAGCACAGTATACAACATATACTACATGCGTGGCACACATGTAGTCGACTGCAGCGCTCGAAGCAAAGCGCGCACTGCCCGGGACACGCGGCTTGGTTAGCAGGCCATGTTGTGTGTGTGCCAACATGGGCGGGCATTGGGCTGGCGGGCTTCAGCATTGGAGCGGCGGCTTCGCTGGTGGGACTGCTACTGGCAGTGAAACGTCGAGGCGGCCGCATCCTCTTCCCCAACCACACCCACGAGCTCTAGGCGGGCACTGATTCGTCCGCTTGGCTTGGCCTGCATCCCCGACGCCGAGGCTTGAGACCTTTTTTTTTTTCCCTTCACTTCTTTTCCAGGCCAAGGCTTAATGCGATGCAAATACACTTCACACTGGCCGTGGCCGACACAGATGAGCTGCGAGGGCGAGGGCGAGGGCGAGGACGCGAGTCCGCCACGCTGGGCCTGCACTGCTGGGCGCCGCAACCGAAATCGATCGCCGCGCCAGCTTCCCGTGTCTTGCGCGAACAGGTCCATGATTGCATGCTCGCAGTTCCCATTGCTGCTACCGCTGCCGATCGCTCCCCCAAGCAGCATCGACGTGCACGCACACGCCTGACCTGCCCTTGACTGCCCGCGTCACAAAAGAACATGTGCGGGCGAACATAGTACTTAGCACTGCCCGTCCTGTCCCCCGGCCCACCGTCGCCGCTGCAAGACGAGCAAGGACCGTCAACACGAACGGCGAAGATCAGGGATTCTTCGGCAACACGTTCGTTATTTCTCAGACAGCCCAGGCCTATCTCGCGCCAGTCTGCCCAGCTCCTCTCCCTAGTGCCTCGATGGCAAATTGCATGCCGCTTCTTTTGTAATTCGTCCTGTGTCCACCGGCACTGCCTCGTTGCTTCTTCGTCTGTTTCTTCATCATCACCATCATCATCATCGCCGCCGCCGCCGCCGTCGTCGCCGCACCCCGTCGTCGTTTGGTCCGTCCCTCGTTGTGCACTGCCCTCTTCTTGCTCGCTAGCCCTTTTTACCATTTCACCTTGGGTCCCCCAGTGCACCCCTCCCCCAACGGTAGCGCCGGCACTCTGTCATTGTATCATGCTAGTCACGGCCATCCAAGGCCTCAACTGACGCCCTAGTAGAGTAGGCATCTGCCTGTCAGCCCACTGCCGTGTGCTTGCCTGTGCATCATCTGTTACGTCTTTATCCCGCTCCATCGCGACTGCCCCCAACAACACAACTTCACCTCCCCCCCGTCCACATTACATGGCACCAGCAATCATGTGCTTTGGACGGAAACCCTCGACTGCGGACCCGGAGTCTACCAAGAAAAATGCAGAAATAGAAAAATCGCTCCGCACCGACAAGAAGCGGGCGGAGCGCGAGGTCAAGCTGTTGCTGCTCGGTATGCATGTCCCCACCAACCACAAGTCCACTTCGATTGAGATCAGCGTGCAGGTGCCGGTGAGAGCGGCAAGTCAACCGTCCTCAAGCAGATGCGAATCATCAATGCTGGCGGTTTCCAGGGCATGGAGCGCAAGACCTGGCGCGCCACCATCTTCAACAACCTCGTTTCCGCCTTCCAGACAATCTTCCAGGCCATGCAAGAGGACAACACCGACTTTGAGGATGAAGACAACATTGTACGTGTCCGCACGCGCACGCGCACCCTTCACCTACGTGTCTCCTAACCAGCTATAGCGCTACTCTGAAATGGTCAACGCTGCGCCCGACATTGGCACCGAAGAGCCCATGCCGGAGGAATTTCTTACGGCTTTCAACTGCCTATGGGCAGACAAGGGTGTGCAGCTCACCATACTCAAGGGCAACCAGTATGCGCTGCACGACAACTTGAACTAGTAGGCCATCTGCACCACTTGCGGCGTCCACCACTGACAACCCATTAGCTTCTTCCAGGACATCGACCGCCTGTTTCAAAAAGATTTCCTCCCCACAGACCAAGACATTCTGCGCACGCGCTTACGAACCACCGGTATCTCCGAAACCATCTTTGAACTCGGAAATCTCACATACAAAATGGTCGATGTTGGTGGTCAACGGTCAGAGCGCAAAAAGTGGATTCACGTCTTCGACAACGTCCAGGTGGTGCTCTTCCTGGTCGCCATCAGTGGTTACGACCACGTGCTAGTAGAAGACAGAAATGGGGTAAGTCATAATAACTCCTCCACTAATGGACTCTACTAACATATGCTAGAACCAAATGCACGAGGCTCTAATGCTCTTCGAGTCCATATCAAACTCCAAATATTTTGAAAAGACTGCTCTCATCCTCTTCCTTAACAAGATCGATTTGTTCGCTGAAAAAATAGCTGGAGGCATGAGCCCAATCAACAAGACGTTCCCCGACTACACCGGCGGGCCCACGGACTTCGAGGCCGGCAAAGAATTCTTCGCCAACAAATTCCGCAATCTCGTTCGCCAGCCAAAGAAGGAAGTCTACGTCCACTACACAAACGCGACCGACACCAACTTGCTCAAGATCACAATGGCATCGGTACAGGACATGATTGTCCAGCGCAATCTCAATGCCCTGATACTATAATAATTACAATTGGTCGCCACGCGCAGGGCGGCCTGGACAGCCGTTTACACTACCCCTGCAGACTGTACACGCGCTGGAGCGAGAGCTCCAATGCATGTACGTCCGCCACTAATAGACCCGCCCTACCTAGGAGGGTCGCAAAGAGCAGGACCGGACCACAGACAGGCTGTTTAGTGGGTTCTAAGAGAACGACATCCACTGCTCCTTTCTTTTTATACCCCTATATCTTGTCTTATTTTCTATTCGTCTTCCACCAGTGTACGACACTTTTACGATATAATCGCTTGGGTATTGTTAGTTAGCGAGCAAGTGGATCAGCATCTGTAGCCTTGTACAGCATGCAGATTCCGGGTATAAAGCGTATACCCCACCGGTCCGTGAGCGGATAATTGGAGGAGCGCCACACAGAAATCATTTCCTTTTGTCCCAGATTGAACTCTCCGGCACACAATCTTTCTTGCATGCATCGGCGTCTACTTAGGTGGTTTTGTGCTGCTTTTTCTGGTTTGCCAGAGCGTAGCAAAAGGCTTCCCAAAAGCGCGAATCTATACAGATTGACACAAGGATTAGATTGGGGGGCCTGAGAGACAGTTGCTAACCTCGCTTTGGTCTGCAGCCAAAGACGAGCTAGCCTGTTTTGCTGTCACAGCTGCATTTCTGAGCATTACCTACTCACTTGCCTACATATGCACCTTCAGACACTAGTATAAATGCACTCTATGAACACATTGCTCAGCTTCTCTATCAGGAATGTGCAAAATAACCGACCCCCACCAGCTCCCCAGCCTCTCCCAATACAACACCACACTGGAACAATCAGTCCCAATTCGTACAGGATCTAACTACTAGTGTCTCACTGCTTTGTTCTTCATTAACAAAGTCCGTGCATGTTGTATTTACCCGTCAAAGTCCCCTTGTAGGTATGTTGAATTAAAGCTGGGTCCGCGGAGGTCCTCCAATGTCTGCCCGCCTCTACGGCGTGGTCCGGTAAGCTAGTTACAACCTACGTGCAAGCGGTAAAGCGGCATGACACGAGCACCAACTACATAGTTCAAAGCGTTGGCGTGAGGCTGGAGCTAGAGTGGTTGGATACCGATGGGTCGTAGGAACGTATGCGACGTTTCTGGCGCCTGTCAAGTTTTGACGGGGTTGGCGGCTATACAGGGCTATGATATGGTTGGAACAACGTAAAGTGGAGTTGCTAGGAGGATCAAACGAGTTGCATAGCTGAGACTGTGGAGAAAGAGCTATTATCCCCAGGTATATCAACAATGTGTTGTATGGAAAGTGGAGTAGTTCATGTCCAAACGGTGATTCTACTCTATAGGTTTTATTGTGATATTGTGCCGCTCATCCTTACCTGGTCTCCACTATGGTGTCTCGGAAGAGTGCGCAGCGGGGCAAACCGAGCCATTCGTAGTGAAAATTCGGGGAAACACTATTAAGGAAACAAGGTGATATCTCGTATAGTCACGTTGAATAGGGAGTGCGCGCATGCGTCTTGATCATATGTGCAATGTCCGCCTGTTCCGAGTCGGTATCGCAGTTCCGATGATATGCCCTCGTGACATGTGCTAATGCTAGTGCCATTCGGGGAAACATCGGAGCGGTGCAGCCTGCAGCAAGTCCTGATAGCCGGCCGCCGCCTTGAGCCTCATCAACAACACCGTCATACCTGCCCCCTCTACCTGACTGGCCATGTTCTCGCCAGCCGTTGGCAGAGTCGCTCGCTCTGCAAACACTCTCTCTGCTGCGCCTTTTGCCGCGCTAAATGCATGCACCCGCTCTGCGCTGAGCACAAGCAGTGCACCGCAACAACCTTTTCGGCCGAGTCACCAGCGCCGCTACTCGTCATCCAAGCCCTCGACCCCCGCGAACAACAAGAAGAAGCCCGCCGAGTTAGATCAGAATGCTACAGCAGAACTTCAGGGTGCAGAACAGAAGACTAAGGGGCAGAAGAAGTTGAAACAGCCATCGACTGCGACCTTGGGCAACAACGTGCCTTTTGTGCCACCGACCAACCACCTCCGGGAAGATGGTGAGATGCAGAAAATATCAATACCCCCCATGTATATACTAATTTGGTGTAGATGTCAAGTTATCGGCCTTCTTTGGTCTCCACCGCCCCATTTCTATTTCGCGCGCGTTCCCCAACTCGACCTCAACCGCCGAATTTGACGCCTTCTTCGACGTAAACCGAGCTAGTCAGGTCGAGAGGATAGAAGCAACCAAGAACGTACTCAGCGGATTCCTCGAGCGTATGCATGCCGAGCTTGATGCGCAGGAGGAGCAACGAGCCGATGCGACACAGTCGGAGCAGCAGGTATATCACCTTGATGTTCAGCCGACACAACACAGTGTAGAGAGTTGGGCAGCTCGTCTCGTTCCCTTTCAACCGCCGGCGCCACCCGAGCCGTACGACCCCTTGGCGACGGAACCTGAGACTGATTCATACTCGGCTGAGGGTCTCTCAGCTAGCATTAATCAGCGTATAACTGAAGTCACGTTACCTTCAGAAGAGAGTAAACTAAGAAGCTTCCGGCAACACGTTGCAAAACGAAGATATGGAATGTATCTGATTAGTGTAAAGAGGCAAAGGAAGCTCAAGATGAAGAAGCACAAGTATAAGAAGCTCATGAAGAGGACGAGGCTGTTGCGGAGGAAGTTGGATAGGACATAGTGAATGCTTGGTGATGACGTTGTAGACACTGCAACCTCGGGCCGTAGAGCCGAATGATACGGACTTTGTATACTACAGCCAGGTTGCTAATATCGACCGTCGAACGCGCAAGCGTACACCGGCACAGTGCAGTCTGAGGCCATGCGCCCAGCTTACTCACTACCCCTGGCCCCCTTGGGATTCGCTTAACATCAGGTACCATGAAGATAGTATGTACTCGACTCACGTCTTGACTCCTGGGCATGTTTTCAGTACTATTGGGTATGACAGTAATGTTTTGATCGCATTCAGTGCCCCTGCAGGGCCGCGTCTTCTTTCCAAGTACCAGCATCTTGACATCATTGCCGCCCACTCCCCTTGCATTGTGTTTGTATACATGCATTCGGAAACCGTTTTGTTGTGCATTGCGAAATCTGTTTTTTCCATGGTTCACAGTCAAGCTCCAAAGTGTCATGCACTGGTGATCGCCGCTGTCAGAGGGTGCTTTTGCCGGTGGCCATTGGTACAGCGCGGTGTCGCAACGTCACATGAAACCCTACCGCGACTGAGGCCGTCACAACCCTACTTCAGGCATCCGGCAACGTCGACGCTTCGAGACGTTGACCCCGCGCCGAAGCCTTAAGGAGACGGACACCAAGGCCTACCAAGAGTCGCAGCCCGGCAATCATACGTCCCATCATGCCCAAAGAATGCATGACGCCTTGGCAGGAACACCCCTAGATCATTCTTTCATCACGTTTTCGCACGCTCCGTTCTGTTCTAGGTGATGATGGTAGCTGCCACATGGATCTAGGCGCATGGATGAGACGTGTGTACGATCCTAGAGGCATCACTTGTCATGGCGGCTAAAGAACAATGTCTTGGGTGAAGGGTGGAGAAAAAACGGTGCGCACATATGGTTAACGGACGTAGTATATAAGTTGTTGTAACGTTCGCCTCGTATTGAAGGTCAGCAACTTCGACATCATCAAGTCAACAGTAGCATCCAGCAATCTTTCCCTTCGCTTTCTCAGCACCTTTTTTTACATTCATTCGCCCAGGTTGGCAGTTATTTTTAACTTTTTAACAACACCCAATCAAGAGCTAGTTCTCTCGTTGTTTGTCCTTCCTACCCCCCAGTTCATACCGTATTACGACCGATAAAATTTAACTTTGTACCCTTACACGATTACCCTTTTTGGAATATACACCTGCAAATCATCCAACATGGTCTCCAAGGTTTTCATCATCGCGGCTGTCATTGCCTACGTCGAGGCTCGCTTCGGACAGGAGCAAGTTCCTATTGCAGCCATCAGCGACGTTCAAGGTGGTGCAGGCGGCGCTGCTGCTACCATTGCGGGAGCTGCCATTTCTGACTTGCTGGGTGGAGCCAACTCTTGCGACAAGGTGCGTACTTGACTGTCTTTGAGTAGTTTCTTTTTTACAGCATTGTACTAACAACCAGCCAGCTCGTCCGCGCTGACCAAATCTTCACTGAGCTCGGTGGTGGTGCTGATGCCCTCGCTGCCGCTATTGGCATGGTAACAGCAGAGAAGAACACCAACCCCTTCGCCAACGGCAACGTTCAGAATGTCTGTGGTGATGCCTCACTTCCTGTTACCCCCGAGCTCCGTGGTATCACTCCCCTCATTGATCCTGCTGTGGATGTCAATGGCGATGCCGCCACTCTTAGCCAGAGTTCTGCTGCTAATCCCCTTGCCGCTGACGGGCTGAGTGTGTTTGATCTCATGGATCAGGCTGGACTTGGCGACTTGGTCGTGAGCCAGGCTTCTGCTGGTGGTGCGGGTGGTGCCGCTGCAGGAGGTGCTGCAGCTGCTGGTAACGGAAACGCAGCTGCTGGTAACGGAAACGCCGCCAACAACAATGCCAATAACAATGCCAATAACAATAACAATGGCGCTGCCGGAAACCAAGCTGCTGCTGGCAACAACGCTGCTGCTTGCGACAGCAATGCTGCTACTGGTAACGGAAACGCTGCTGCTGGTAACGGAAACGCTGCCAACAACAACAATGCCGGCAACCAGAACAACAACAACAACGCCAACGAGGATGCTGCTGAAGAAGACGACGACAACAACAACCAGCAGAACAACGCCAATGCTGGCAACCAGAACAACGCCAATGCTGGCAACCAGAACAACGCCAATGCTGGCAACCAGAACAACGCCAACGCCGGTAACCAGAACCAGAACAACAACGCCAACGCCGGTAACCAGAACAACAACAACGCCGATGCTGGTGCTGGTGCTGGTGCTGGTGCCGGCGCGGGAGCCGCAGCCGGCGGCGCAGACTTCGGTCTCTGCACCCCAACCATCACCTTCCAAGGCGGGGAGAACGGACGCCCCGCCGACGAATTCACCTTCCAAATCGCGGACCCCGTTGCACGCGGCGGCCAAGGCGAAGCCCTCAACCCGGACATCATCACCAACGCCCTCTGCAATCAGCTCACCAACGTCTGCGAGGCCAACGACGCCGCCGTCGCCCAGTGCGAGAGCGCTGCCGCTGCTGTCCAGGGCGGAACCCGCAACAAGGCTCTTGCTGATGAGTTCAACACGCTTATTGGATTCCCTGGTGCGGTTACCAACCCTGATGGTGGGCCTGAGGATGTTGCTGCTGCCAAGCGTTCCATGCGTAGGGGGTTGAGGTTGTAAGGAATACGGGGAAGCTCGTTACGAGATGGCTGAAACCATAGGGGGGAAGGAAAGAGCAGGGGTCAGGGGGTTGGGGGTTGAGGATTTTTGTTGAGGAGCGGAGACTGGATGCTACTGCTACTGCTGGACTTGATGAAGTTACTCATCATCTAAAAATTTGTTTTCTTTATACGTTTTCGATTCTTAACTCTTTCAGTGCATACGGATAGTGTGTGCTGCGCTTTATATCCCCCTATACAAATATACCTTTTGTCTTGCAATTATTTCTTCTGTGTGCTTGTGTGGTGTGAGTGAAAAGTGGATTGGTAAAATCAAATTAGTACGCTGTGTTATTTACCTGCCAGATACAATGTTCCTAATGTATTACGAAACCCCCTTCTTCCCTTCTTTCTTTTTTTTTTAAAAAAAATATCCACCATCAGGGATATACGGTCACCCAAGCGAACATCAAACAACACATATTCGCCTCACAGTTTCCCTTTTTCCCCTAAATGTCACATAGTAACTTTTCCGTGCTACAATGTCTTTTGAATTCCTTCCTGGCAGATTCCCACGAAGAAGAAGGAAAAAAAACGGACTTTTACAAATACCAGTGACAATAACGCTACACAGTTCCTCTTAGCTCTCTATGTTCCTATACAACAATGTCCAAAGTAAACTATGCACTGATATTATATACCCTTGGATGATGTTCAGTTCCATCCCGATTCTCTGGAAGAAGAGTGTTGTCAAAAGGAATATCGTACAAGTCTACATACGGACTTGATAACCCAATATGTACCAAGAAAGATGGGATGATACACTGACTGATTGAGCAGAATTGAGTTGTGTGTGATGTAGATAAATCTAGGTTGGCGGCGTGTGAGGGACTTGTGGCTGACTGGGGTGACTTTTGGGGAATTAGGGGGTTGGGTGGTGTAAGGGTTGAGTGATGGGATGTTAATGTTTATTGGGCATTCTTTGGTAATCAAGTGTATCATGGTAAGAGATGAAATCTCATTTCATCTATTTGATCGTTGCTATGCAGGTAGTCTTCTTTCTCGGTTTTTGGCTGCTGGTTCGTGGTTCAATGGGATAAGTCATGTGTTTATGAGTTTGCCTAGACGTTGTTGTGCTCTTTTGTGGATGATATGTTATGTTCTGGAGCAAGTTCCAATGACTCGTTTTGAAGATATATATATATATATATATATATACGTGGTTCTGTATATTCCAATGGCTAACTGTACAAATGATGATATGCTGATTTGTCACTAGTCGTTCTGTTGTTTGTACTAAACATATGCTTTTGAGACAGTGAGTGGACACTGAAAATATGTGTAGAAAACATTGTGAGAACATGGAAATAAACAATGTCAGCTTCTGTCATTCGTGGATTATTCCGTGCACTTGCGTTCGTGGTATTGACTTTTGCGAGAAGCTTACTTTGCATTGTCATTTTTTGGACTTTGTTCCCGTCACTACTAGTAACTGAGTGCGTGGTATCCCAGATACGATGTAAGTTGATACACGGAGGGATTGGGTGGTATGCTGGAATAATATCTAAATACATCATGTCACATTTTCGTGGAGTTCGCTTCGAGTGCCTTGCTGAGCAGTGATGGTTCACGGGACACGTGGGTGAGTTCTCAGCACTTTCGGCGATTTGTTCAGTGTGGAACACGATGTGGATGCACCGCAGTGGTACCGAAAAGGAGAGAGATAACAGAAAGTGTTTTCGTGATGCAAATGGCTGGACGATGCAGCCCTTTAAAGGGACTTGAGCGCTTGATTATTAAGAACAGTCGCTATTCCGATGTTGAAATTGGTGATAAGGCTACTGCGCTGGCCACAAGACTTTGAGATTACTTTCGTGCGCTCAAGCCTTGGGGTTGCGGGATCGAAATGATGCATGTTATGAATACGAGGCAAAATGCCATACCGTGGTCGAATAGGGAAACTATGTGTAGCTTATGATTTGGTGTACACACGTATTGTGAACCATCAACCCTTGATACTAATAAATACACTTGCATAAACATAGATAGTAGGTCTATGCGCAAAAGGGTCTCTTGTTTGTTTCCCCTAGGCTAGCCTAGTGAATGCACTTTCAGCTGAGCCCAAATGGCCCGCAGCCCGAGGGGAACTTTGGAGATCCGATTGAGTGCAATCTATCGCCGTTTATTAATTAAGATCGTCATCTGCCTCTCCCACGTGGCATTTTGTCGTCCTGTGCTTCTGGACCCCACGGCAACAAGTCATGACCCTTTGCCCTCGTGAGAACCTTTGTACGCGGTTCCAACGTGGTATTATGAGCGAAATCAAAGGTTCTATTTTGAGTAAAAGTGTGTGGGCTAGTAGGGCACTAACCCGGTCACTGCGCCAATCATAATCATACTTGCCTTGGAAGATATAAGCATAATACTCGGAAAGACACGAGGTAAATACAGACAGGCGATGTTATGCAAGACTGTTCATTGGAGATACATACGGACGTAGCGTCCATTGTACATACCCTTTCTTGCGTGCTTGCCCTAACGAACTTGCATCATCCCAGTAAGACGCAGATCTCCAAGCAGGGATATCGCTACCAGATATGAACATGCTTCACTTACTGGAAACTGTAGCGGTCTATCAATGCGATAGGAAAGAATGTTGACCAGAACTTGCGCCGCCAAAACAGTATCACAACTTTCAATACCTTTTTACCAATACTTTACCCTTGACAGTGTTGAGTAACATGTAATCACGAATACCAATATTTTCTACTTGAAACGATGTCGTATACAATTTGTGGCACTATTATTTATAGCGATTTGGAAGTAGTGTTCTCAGCTATTGTTACAACCCCATATTTTGGCCGACTTTCTCGCCGCGTACTGAGGGGTACGTAGTGCGACTCTCTCGAGCTTTGAGCATGTCATCCGCACCAGCCAAACTTTCAAATCAGTCATTCAGTCAAAGAAAAGGCGTGTTTGGACTTTTTTAGAGTTTGTACAGATGAACGTGGAGTTTCCACGCGAGTGGACCGTGTCTTGCTTTGATCTCCATCTGGATTTGCGTAGGCGCTAGGCATTTGTTTTGCCTCACAAAGTCGCTTGCGGGTCGCACCATGTGTGAGGCTACTCTTATACGAGCGAGCTGTTTACTTATCTAATTGTCAGATTAGTCCATGTTGTCGAAGACGAATATACTAGTTGTTACACACAAGAATGATTAGCCTATTTACTCTGATCGTGTTTCCACGCTGTCACGCAGCTGAGACGGCTACATGTCAAGAGACCGAGGTATCAGCAGCGTGCTGAGGCGCTTTTGTCATAGGGAGCAGATAATATATTACAATCCAAGTCTGGCCGACTAGCGTCGAGGAAGGTGTGGCGGCGCTCTGGTTCACTGGTGCGCGCGTTTATTCTTTCGAGAAAAATCTCTCAATTAGCATAGCGACACGCCATTCAATACTCTAAGACTGTACATCAATCTATCTACCCCATGTTTGGAAGTGCATGTGAGTGTGTTGCGGGTAGCGCCAAGTGCCGAGCTGAAACTCGTGTTCTACACAGTAAGGACGATACCCGAGAGGATGACGTGCAAGCTCAGACCGGACCCGGCTTTCCCTTTTGTTGGATTTTGAGCCATGTCATGTTTGCTTGGCACGTGATGGCTTGAAACAAAGCTCCCTATTCCGTCGTTCGTGGTTTGTCGAATCCGTAGTCATCGCCGTCAGAGACTCCCGACAGCAGGGTCTGCCCGCTGGGTACGCCTGTCTTTATCACACGGCATAACTGCGGGGTTTTCCTTTGGGTATTTCCCCCCTCCCGCTGCACTAACCTGGCTACTGACAAGTTGCGTCAATCAAACTCGATTGTACCCGTGCAGCCGCCTTACAGGGATACGAGAAGAAAGAAATTCTCCGCCAGTCATTATAAGCTTACCATACCAATATGGCGCCCTGCAGGAGTTCTATTTAGATCGAGCACTGCACACTTGTGGTAAACCGAGCGACGGTTTGCCCTCGAGCGTTCCGAAACTGTCCAAGGCCTGGGAGAGGCGCGTGGCATCTGTCTCAGATTCCATCGTGCTCGGAGATTCATGAATGGACCCACCGCTTAAACAAACACGGCATGGATCGGCCTGTTCCCTCCTCGGTTCGACTTGACAGTGGGCTTTCCGCGTCAGTCCACGCCTCTAGAAGCCGGGTAGGAATAAGCCAGACTTGCTTTTGGCTAGCAAGCCATATGAGGTTCCCCAGGATCTAACGGAAACAAGACCGTTATTGTGCAACGGCCCCGGTGACTTGGCCATTACTGGACTGGTGGTTCCACCAATCGTCCTGTGGGTCGGGACCTCATTTCACCTTTTCTGGGTCTGGAATCCCCGGCATATTGGTGAGCCATGCGAGGGAGACAGCCTGAAGATAACTAGAGCATCACAGGTCCTCGCGCCAGACCGAGCGGGGGGGTTTGAATCATCTCGAGCCTGGTCCAGCTCCAATCCTGCGCGACGATTCTGTCGATTCCTTTGTCCACCAACCACCCCGGTCCTATCTATTCTACCTGCAGCGCACCGGAAGATTTCGTTCGCTCGTCCGCTCGTTCATATTCTCTTTTAAACTTTCTTGGTCTACAGTTACCTTTACACTCTTTTCGATTCCAGGCGCCTCGTGTAGTACGTCGGTTGCTGTTCCGACCGACATGACAATATGATCTCCAGTAGAAAACACGATGGCGCGCAACACGGTTATGTGGATCCTGCAGTCCAACTGAATGTCGGGCTTTGGACGCTCTTTGCCGGTGCAACTGCTTTCTTGGCTATGAGGATATGGATCAAAGTTACTCGTCGACATGGTTTGTGGTGGGATGACCACATTCTCCTCATTTCATGGGTGAGTAACCATGTGCGCGTTAAGGAGTGACTGCTCAGTGCTGACTGTGTCGTAGGTGATACTAGCTGCCAACAACTCCATCATTACTCTTGAATACGCAACTGGTTATGTCCAAGCTACCTGGGATGATCGCATGCACATACTCATCAATATCACTTCATGCGGCACTCTTATCAACCAATCGCTTACCAAGACGGCATTTGCAGTCACTCTGCTGAAGCTTACCAAGAACTGGGGAAGATGGATCCTCTGGTTCTGTATCATTTCTATGAACTCGTACATGATCGCAAAAGTTATCCTGCAATGGGCAAAGGTCTGCGGAAAGTCATCCTACGACGTCTGGTATCGTCTCGACTTCTGTCTCGAGCCAAAGTTCAGGGAGGATTTCAAAGAGGGTGGCAACGTCTACAACATTATTATGGATTTCGTCCTGGCAGTCTTTCCATGGGTCATTACCTGGAACCTCGATATGCGAAGGGTTGAGAAAATTGGTCTTTGTGTTGCCATGAGCCTGGTACGATATACGCGCTTTTTGAACCTTGATTCATCTTTATATCAACATTGCTAACAACAATCAGGGTATGGTTGTCGCCGTTATATCAGCCATCCGCACAGGCTGGAAGGACGAGGGTAACCAGAAAGACGAATGGTACTTTTGGCGCAACGCCCACTCCAACATCTGGTACTCATCGGAGATCGTCGGCACCATCATCGTCCAGTGTATTCCCGTCTTACGACCTCTTATCCGCGATATCAAAACCTCTCTCACTTCGAAGAAACTCGCATCTGGCGATGAGTTGACCAGGCGCAGCAGGTACGTTGAAACAAAGGTGGCGTGATGACCCAGGTCATCAACGGAACCCATGGAACTGTTCGCCCCACTTTAACTCTATCTTCATCTATATCATCGACCCATTGCTGACATTATTACCGCAGAGGCCCATCCGTTTTCGGCTTCGGATTCGGTCCAGGCCCGACCATTGGCACAAAATCATCCCACAAGGCACACATCTACTCCGACGCACGCACTACCTTCAACGACACAAAGAGTGATCCCAACCCCGATTCGTGGGACAACCAAGGCATCTTTCAGAAAAGGGAATTCGAGCTCACCACCATGGAAGTCAAAGCCCAAAAGGGAGCAGAATTGGTGTGAAAGCTTGTTTTTCTTTTTTATTTCTGGGCGTAGTTGTTAGGATTTTGGGGAAAAACACGGTCAGAGTAGAATACAATGCTTCGCGGCAAAGGAAAAAAAATGATGTTCGCATGCTTACAAGTTCCAAATGAGCATGGCGGGAGACCAATACAGCCTTGGCACATGCAGCATAGGCTAGGACGAGTCGCGAGCAGGGAGGCAGATGATTGAGGGATGGAGAGAAACCAAGGGAGGGGTATAACGAGGAAGAGAGATACATGGAGCGACCAGCCTTTTTTCTATCGCTCTATCGCGATGAGTTCATGGTCGCTGCCCATGCAGTACAGTTGGACGAACCTGGGGTTCAGTCCTGCGGTGCCCTCCGCGTCCTCAGCACAGGCTGGCTGTAGCAAGACACTAGATTGTCTTGTAGACGGAGATATTTTCTCACTCAAGCGAAAGCATAGATACACGCTGTATATACGAGAACGGCCTTTAGCAGATAAATAGATTCATCTTAATACATATAAAATCGGATTTAGCTAGAGAACACTTTGCAACCTTTCCCCTTCTCTTCCTCTCACACTCCCTCCCTAACCCATTCGAACTGCGCTGGACTGGACTGGACTGGACTGGACTGGACTGGACTGGACTTGTTTACCGTATACTCCTCACTAGCTCCCTTAAATCCCCACCTTCAACCCACTTCTCCTCGCCGCCACCCCCGACACCCAGCCCGCCGCCTCCGCCACCGCTAACACCCCATCCCTCGCCTACATCGCCGACGACTCGCGCTGGCCGGCCTCCGATTACAGATCCAGATGCAATGACCATGTTTGCAGGTATAACTGTATGGGGCAGTATCTTTACATTCTCCTTGATGATAACAAACGGTCCGATAGTGCAATTATTGCCAATATGCACATGAGACGAGATAGATATGGCTTGGATAGTCGAATTAGGACCTGCTATATCGTCAGATTTCAAACCTTCGTATTCCATATTTATGAGATAGAATCCATGACATGATCTCTTTCCCCCTCCCTCCCTCCCAAAACCGCTCATATAACTATGAATAGTAAAACGAAACAAAAGGAAGGCAAGTGTAAAGTCAAACGTACCAACAAATACATTATCCCCAATCTTCATCGGATAATAATGCACCTGGCCCCGACTAATCCTGCTCGGCGGCTTAATCACGCTGCCCTGGCTAATCACCGTACACCGCCCGATGCTGATGCTCGTCGGGGTGACGTCCTTGCCGGACTGCGAGGGCGCACTGCGCGTCGGGTGCAGGTCGCCGCGGAGCTGCACGTCGGCCATGATGACAGTGCGGCCGCCCAGCGTGATGTTGGCCGTGCCTGTGATGGCGCTGCGGCGCGAGACTTTGTTGCCTGAGTCCTGGTGGGGGGCAGGGAGGGTTAGAGATGGTGGTTGTGGTGGATTAGTGACATGGTGGGGTTTTGGTGAGTGGAGAGCGATGGGGCAAGTTGGAATAGCTTATGGAAAGGCAATGGGGTTGATTGTTTCTCTGGGAGAATAAAATGTGCGATATAGTGATGTTGTGCTGGTTTGGACGCACCGTCTCAATGTACTCGCCCTTGGGTGCCGCTTTCCGCGCCGCTGGCCTTGACATGTTGCTTTTTGTGCAAGATACTACCGGACTAATGTACTATATCTCTTCCCAATGGAGCCGGTAATCAATGTTGGCTTTTGTGTTTGTGTGTCGCTGCTCGAGTTGTGTCGTGGTTTTTAGATCAACAATGATTGTACGCGGAAGGTGCACGCGATCCAAGCTTTGATGCTCAGCCAATCAGCGCGTTGAGCACCATCTGAGGTAAGTTTGTTTAAACAGTAGAACTCAAACATTATATGGTTCTTTAGGTAGACATGAGTTCCTGGGCATATAGAATACCCCAGAGTGTATAAAAAAACCCTAAGACCGCAAAATCTATGGCGAATTTGTGTTGATTTCTGACCAAAGCAACATGACTTCATCTACTCTCTAATTACGATTAAGACAACATCTACCACAAGTTCAGCTTTTTCAACTAGTGTAGCTAACCAAAGAAGAGTCAGGTTGCGGTCTCCAACCGAAAGATAGTATTATGTAACGTTCGTGAAAATTTACAACCGTGATTTAGCAAGAGGATGTCAAAGTCATTGACGAACGACTATTTGCTCAGATAGCTCATATTCCAAAGAGGCAGCAATGCTGTGAGAGAGAAGAGAAAAAGTTTCATTCAATTCGTGCATCAAGTCACTAGACTGCGTACATCCATAACACTTTTTTTCGGACCATGAGTTCCCCATTTGCGCCAACCCACTCCGATAGCCCGGTTTCCTTACATAAATATAGTGAGTGAAGGAATATGTCGTAACATCGTCCCTTCTTTCGAATATGCGCAGTAAATTGCCAATCTCATAAGAGATAGGTCTGCGGACCTAGCCAAGATTGCCTCATGCATGGAAACCTTTATACAAAAAGAACCCTAATACATAACCCGTGAGATGTAAAAACGGAACGCTCTTGCATTCCTTCCAAACGCCTGCTGATTAAAAAAAAAAAAAAAGGAGAACAGTGCTTTTGATGGTCGGGTATGACATCGAAAATAGGTTGCCTTGACCTAGCTCGTCTGTACATCCGAGAAAATCCATGTCAAAGCCACGTCTTGAAGTTTGGTGTTTTGTTTTGGTTGGTGAAGCTTCGGAAGCGCTGCTGCCGAGCGCAAAGGATTAAAAATGTCGTAGAAGAAGACTTCGAGGACAAATGCTGGGGTCGCAAAATAGTCCTCTGGTAGTTGATACACGTTGTGCAGCAGAAATGCGAAGACGGTTAACAAGAATAGTCACCGAAGAGATTCCGTGTCTTATGGTAGTGTACAGGTTCGGTGACAACTGGTATTTACTGAATGGTAGAGTTTTCAGCACGCTGGCTGATATGGTGAGCGTGTGCTTCGAGAGCACGTGCTTGGATATGAGTGACTGCGACAACATTAGTGCTGATATACACGGGTTCTGATATTTACTCACCAGGCCAGACAACTGACTTGGACAGCATATAGGCCGTCACCATCAGTAGCTTGGTACCATAGCCGCAATGTCCCAGGTTTGAAAGACCACCTAGCATCGGCATATTGTTTGAGGAGATATCGTAGGCCAGCTTCATATCTGCGTGATGAAGAATGTCTGCAATTTTCTGCAACAGCTTCACATCTTCCTCTTCGAGTAGCAAGATGGCTGGTACTTCTGAGAAATTGACTTCATCTCTGCCCAATACTCCAAGATAGCGTCCGACACGGTCTTGAAGGGTTGCAACCCATTCGGCCAGGACCTGTGCGCAGTCGAATGTGCATAATGCAGAAGAGTTGGGCAATTCTCTTGCTGTAAAATCGGCGAATGAGGAGTTCAGCTTATGCGCCATGGAAAGAGAATCGGCGGCATAGAAGGCAGCCTTGCGGAGATGCCTCTCGCGTTTCGAAGAAGCACTGTTCGGAAGACCATTGCCACTGTTTCCAGGGCTAATTTGGTCCTGCGAGTTCATTTGACCCGGAGAAGCCGTCTGATTTAGGTCCATAGAAGAGGCCCGTTCAGGTGAATCTTCCGTTTGACCTACAACATCGACACCTCTGGCCAGTTCATTTGCCATGCCGTCAAAGTCACGTTGCCACAAAAGCTCCTTTGCTCGACCAAGATTTACGAAAAGCCTTACATAGGCAAGGTCCAGCAGCGGTATGCAGTCAGCAGACAGAGGCCCAAAGGGACTCGGTCGCTCGATGCTGTGGTTTGGATTGGCTCTCCAAGCAACTTGCCAAGCCTTGAGAGCAGGCTCGACTTGCGCATGCATAGCTTCTGTCTCATGGGCCTTCCACAAGCGACCATTGTGTCTATTCCTCGTCTCCCAAATATAGACGTGCATCGCGTTTATAAGCACGTAGCAACCGAAAGTGCTCGGCCGAATATCGCTCTCAGAAAGGTTGTTGACAGTTTGGCCTCCTGAAAAGGCATTTGGGTAGGCATTGCGCATCCTTGAGGTTGATTGTCGTGTACTAGCTTCAAGGAGGTATGTCATTGCGGTAATGAAGGACAAGCCCCGAGTTTGCGCAAGCATCGGTCCTCCCATTGCTGCCCATGCTTGAGGGTTGTCGACGGACCAGAGATCCTCTTCACAAGGGAGATCCAGATGGATCTCCGAGTTCAGAATCCGAGGTGAGTGTGCGTATGCCGAAACAAGCAAGCTCGACATTGAGAAGATGGCGAAGTAGGTTCGCTTGCGCTCTTCAGCCTTCTTCCATTGTATCCATTGTGTGTGCTCATCTACGGTATCCTTTTGCTGATCAAGAGACAACTTGGAATCATCTGACATGTTGAAATCCCCATTGGTATTGCTTGGGGGGCTGGGCATAGTTTGCTCTGGAGGAGTGGGCTTGTCTAAGCCTGCAGCTTTTGCTAGGCTCACGAGGGCGGCACAATGTGTGCTTGCGACCTCTGCAGCCTGCCGGTCGCCACAGTTGAGTCCAAAGATGAGATTGAGTAGCATGGCCTGGACCAGCCACAAGGGTGGTTTGTTGATGTTATCATTGGCAGCACTAGGTCCATTGACAGCGGATAGACCGGCTTTGCGGCGCTCGTCAAGATAGAAGAGGATCAGCTTTTTTGCTGCCTCGAACAAGTCTTTGGCTACGTTTTGGTCAAATTCGTATAGGGCCCCAATTGCAGCCATTGCAAGAATCAAACAACCACCTCCTCCAACCATGGTATCTTGGTTGAATGTGCCAGCAGTGCGGAGCTGATATGTATACGCTGGGGTATCGAAAGAAAGTGTTGGAATATGTAGGAAAGGCATATGGGGATGGAAGTATTGTATGTAGGCGTTCACGTAGCGTTGAATGTCGAAAGTACTGGGCAGTAGGCCAGCCAGATTTGAATGCTTGTTAGTCCCGTTCGAGGACAGAGGAGAGCTGATGGCTGGCTGGGAGAACCTTCGTTGAGGTGTTTGGCCGTAACCCATGGCTTGACTCAAGTTGTGCATCAAAGCTTGCCTTGTAGACTCTGTGATTGTTTCAGTGGAAAATGAGGAAACGGAGCTGTGCCCTGCGCTGCCATTGATAGAGGATGATGATATGCTGTTGGCATCAGAAGCGAATGTCATGGGCGTCTGAAAATACTGGTTCGGCATACCGGGTATTCCAGCTGAAGGGCTCATGGCCGCTAAAGGAGGTGGTGTAGAGGTGTAGAAATCATTCTGAACACCCTGATCGCCAAGTTCCTGTGAGGTGCCAGTGTTCATCATGAGCTCAGGAAAGACTGGAGCCATGGCGTCGAGAGAGAAGGCTGTAGTGTCAATGCTAGTATGCGTCACCAGAGGGTTGTGCCACATGGCTGCCGAGTTTGGCTGGCTGGAGCCATCTAGCATCATGTCATGGAAGGCACCTTGGCTGGCAGTACTTATCGCTGATGGTGATGAGCCATCCAGTGCCGACTCGTTTGCCCCCGAAAACATCATGGAATTGTCCATACCCATGCCCCAGCCAAAATCGTCCTCCTCGATCGGGTTGTTCCCAGCGAACGGGTTTGCAAATCGTTTAAAGGGTGACGCGGGGATTCCGACGCTGGCATTGAAATGATGCAACTGGTTGGGGTTAATGGTAGAGGAGGTCGATGTTCCAAAGAATTTTTCGAGTTCACGGTCATCAGGTCCAGCCATGCCCGGGATTGGAGCTGTGCGAAGGCCTCCGCCCATGCCAAATCCAACATGGGTGTCCAGTCTCGGCAGAGGCTGAGCTTGTCCGTGGTTGCCCATAGACGTGGACATGCCCCGGTAGTCAAACTGACTGATACCAGAAAGACTTGAGTGATGTGAGTGACCAGGAACACCTCCCCTGTTTGCTGACACCGAAGATGCGAGGAAGCTGCTGAACGAGTTGGGATCGATGTGACTGATGGTATTGGCGCGCGGCCTCATGGTCTTGGCGACGGCGCCACCAGCGTTGCTCGATACTGAGTTTTTGCGTACTCGGGCAGTGGGGTTGGTTGGGAGGCCTGTCGTACTTTCCCTACGTCCAGTGCGGGGGCGGGCAGAAGTCGCGCCCTGCTGGTGGAGCTTTTGTTGATGGCGCAGGAGCAGGTCGCGCCGTGCAAAGCATCTTGTGCATTGCGGGCACTCGAATGGCTTTTCTTTTGTATGTGATCGCTCGTGTCTCTTCAAATGTTCTAGTCGCGCAAAGGAACGCGTGCATGTTGTGCAGATGTGAGGCCGGGGCTTGTCGTTCTTGGGTGGAGGAAACGAGTGGACGGTGGGTGGGGAGGCTTCGGGCTTCACGGTGGATGTGGAAGCTGTAATTAGCAGTTGCGGTTAGCTCTCCGCGGTGTAAAATTTGTATACGTCTTGTACTAACAATTACTGCTGTTGCCAGAGCTATTGGAGTCATCGCTCGGCGTGTTCGTGGGGCCCGACAGGCTCGTGCTCTCGACGTTGGTCATGGTCGTTCCGTGTATGGGGCTGGTACGACCGAGCAACACAATGGCTCACCACAGCACAGTTGTTTCGGCAAGCTTGAGGGCAGGCAGTTAGTACGCTGAGTAGGCCAGTCCCAACCCAACGTGTCTCAAAGCCAGGTTTGAGAGCTAATACAACGGTGACCGAAGTTGAGTGGAGCTCGTGGAGCTCGTGTGGGCGGCACGGTCGCCGACTAACTAGGCTGACAGCTTGCAAACGCGGCGGCTGCAAGGAGACAGGAAGATCAGCAGACAGTACAGAAAGGCAATGGAGCAGATCCAAGGTACCTCGACAGGCTTCCGGCAAGACACGGAATGTGGACGAGCTGTTTGGAGCTCTGATACACAAAGGAGAAGAAGACGAGTGATGGCACGAAGCCAGTTGCAAAGTTGAGTTATGCGGCGATAGAATTGGACCTTGGGAATAGCAATATTCGCGGACAGCCAAGGCCAATTGCGAGAAGAGGAGAGAGAGATAGAGAGAAAGAAGACCGTCGGCGATGGTGGGGGAAGAGTGGTTGGAGTAACGGGGCGCAAGCAGAGCAAGGCTAAGTTGGCCGAAAAGAAGATGCAAGGAGGCGATGGGTTGGCTGGAGCTTGACCGGTCCGTACATAGGTCGGCTGTACAGGAATAACGCCGCTGGACGTGGTGGTGTGAGTTGAGGGTGGTGCAAAGAAGGGCGGCGCTGGCAAGGGACAGTAGGCGAGTGGTAGCAGGCAGTGGACGAGGGTCCAGCGTTGATGTAAGGGTGCGTGAGTGAGTGAGTGAGTGAGTGAGAGGGCTCGCAGAGGACAGAGGGTTGGAGGGCGCGCAGGCGGGTTTGTGCTGGTAGGGCCCAAAAGGCTAGATTACAACGCAGACACAAGCTTGGGACCCGACGAGAGCAATTGGGCGAGCTGGGGGCGATTGGCCGGGCGCGGGCGACAGGTATAGGTGCCGAGTCTGGGGAATTGAGCACAGGCCAGCGTTCGTGGGACGGGGGCAAGGGTGGAGGAGGGGTTTATTGACGAGGGAGAAACGAAGGCGAGGGTGACGGCGAGGAGCAAGAAGGGACAACAGGCGGTGCAATGTCACTCGCACTTGGGAGGGCTGGAAGCTATGGGCGGCGGCAGCAACGAGGCAGGCGGCATTATAGTACAGTAGGCCATGGTAAGCAGAAGCGCAGAGGGTACGGCGCGCGCAGGCTAAGCGGGCAGCGTGTTATGCCACTGGCCAGCGGCGCCAGGAGGTCGTTGGACGGGCCCTGCAAGCATCAGGGCTCCTACATACAGTACAGTACATATGCAGTGGATCCCCCAGCAAACGGCGTTTCTGCCGCAGGGGCCTAGTCCGGAGTGCCTCCGCCGCCCACTCGTACAGCCTCCTGCTGTCTCCTGCCGGCCTCGATGGGCAGTGATGTGCGGATGCGATCAGCAGCACGGCCTCGACAAGTCGCCTTTTTGTCCTGCCGCTTGGCACCACCACCATGCATGGCCTGCGCCGCGGGTCGTCCACTGCTGCGGGCTCGGTTCGGATGTATGTATTCGATATATAACTACTGTAGTTAACTATGTATGTATGTATGCATCTCGCTGGAAGCATGTCTATATGTATGTACTGTAAGTAGTGCAAGTACATGCTGTATGTAGTATGTATGTATGTATGTATGTATCGCGGTGGAGTGGTGCCCTCGCTCGGATTCATCTCGCCTGCGACGACAATAAATTGGCCGCGTCCTGCCAGAGGCCGGCGGCATATTGCCCATGTCCTGTCCTGTACATGTGTAGCAGCATCGGTCTCTGACGCCAGCCAGACCATACTTTTGCTGGGAGTTGCCTGCTGGCAAAAAAAACCGATGCTGAGATGCGAGTTTCAAGAGCCTGTCAGCGACCCAGGCGGGCGACGGGTCTTGCATATACGCGACCCACGTCTCTGCTGCCGTCAAGCGGCTAGCCATGGCGACGGCCAGCGACCTGACAGCACGCTACGCTGGGTCACGCCAGCGCTCGGGACTTGGGTGTGTGCAATACGGACAGCAGCCGCGTAGGCTGACATCGGTGAGACGTGGCTGCGACTGCGACTGCGATTGCGACTGCGACTACGACTCCCGCGCTCTTCCCCAGGAATTCGAGGTCAAGCCTGCAGCGCTCGGACGACGGCAGCGATTTGCGCTAGCCACTTGCGGCAACATCTGGGGTAAAGTGACCGTTAGCGTCGTCACTAGTTTATCGCATGAGTCCCATGGGCCGCCTGAACCTCCAGCCACTCATGGCGCCGCATGACCACGGCCTGCACGCGCGCCCATAGCCTGAGGGCTTCTCACTCGCTGCCGCTCGCTCTCTCTCTACCACGCCCTACCCCCATTACGTGGGCATGCGGGCGACGGTGGACATGCCTCTGCACCTGACCTTGGACTGGCCCGGACCCTGACGTCCTGCGCCTGTCCTTGGCCGCTATGCCCCATCGCGACCGGGTCCTGTCTAGGCCAATGTACTGACGCTTCCGACCTACCTACATCCATACTGTACATGTGCACATGGTACATGTCTGCTCTCTCCTACGCTGGGCCCTCCCTCCACAGCCCGTTACGCATGACGGCATCCTGCGCCTGCCCTCGCCTGCCCTCGCCTGCCCCCTAAACTCCCTTTGGTCTAATTCCGAAGCTACAGCCCCGGGTAGCCATGTCGCCGTTGCAATTCACTCTTGTCGATGCTGCAGAGCCCTACCCAGCCTACCCAGCCTCGGCCTCTGACGTTGCATCGCACCCAGTGGCAATCGACTCGGCCTCGCTCGTGGCAGATCTGCGCCCGACAGCGCGCTGGTGGAGTAGCCCGACAACTGTGGCGAAGCCATCTACGTCAATCGAAGCATTGTAGAAGAAACAAGCCTGACGGAGCGTGAACTGCTGCATGCGCAAGCAATGCCAGCCTTGTCCAGCGTCGGATGGCTGATCGTCGCTAGCCGTCCAAGACCACGTGATCTTCTGCCTCTGGCTCCACATGCTACTCGATCCGCACACACATCCTTTACTAACTCCTTACTTATGTAGTGTAGTAGTATGCGTCCCTGCGCCTCCTTGCACGCCCCCAGCCTCCATCCATGATTTTCTTCTCTAACCATATCCTGAGCGAGCTTGCAGGACGCAAAGTCCACTGGCCCATACAACACCCTGGCAGCAACAATGCAACTTGGTTCGCCTAAGCAGAGTGATACCATTGCAGCCACAATAACGAACGCGCTACCATTGGTCCGGCAACAGCTTGTCTATCACGTGACACATCCTCCCCATACTGGTCTCGATGTGTATCGCATCGCCCTGCCATGTTTGCATCCACCAATCCAATAGCGCCTCCCCACTATTCTTGTCATTTTCGCTGCTGTTGCATTGCGACCATACCGTGTTCCACTGCACGCATACATATGACGTGCCTTTCTTGTGAAACACTCGGGACCTCTACAGCACCGCTCGCAGACATGATGCCGACCGGCATGCCAGTACGTGCAGCGACTTGATGACGAACGCCTGCTTCCTTCAGCCTGCTGTCCAGCGGCTGCCCGGGTAGCTCTATGGAGCAATCCCGATGCACTTCCCCAGACACTTTGCCGCTCGCGCTGCATCTCGAGGTATGCGAACCGCCACGACTTGCGCCATCCAGCTCCACCTATCATGCTGTTGAACGCAGGGAAGTGTGAGGCGTTACGTGCAGGTGCAGCAAGGCGCAGGTTGCTGTTCGGACCAACAGGCGCGAAATCCGGCTTTCTACGACAACAAGCACAACCCGTTCGACAACGTACATACACGTTAGCACCAATACCAAGTTTGTCACTGTACACACTGTCGACACATTGCTCTTGCTTTCTCTCTCTCTCTCTCTGCACCCGCTGCATGGAGTGCATTCACCTCGTAGTGGCACCATTTCATCTGGCTATGTCTAAGTAGAGGACAATGGCCCGCAATGGCAGCAAACTGGAAACTGGAGCCGCCAGTCCACCTCCACAACAGCCATCTGGACCTCAGTGTTAAGAACCCAAATATAACGCAAAAGATGCTGACGCCGAGCACCCAACACGCTGCACAAGCACCAGGATAGCTAGATCTGGTGGATATTGACGCGCCACTGAAGCTAAGCTAAGGTGCAGTAGTCTGCGTCTCACGTGCATGCTAGGTGCGTACCTCACTGCCTCCAATGACGACCCACTACTGCTACGTAACTGGAGCTCCGCAACCCTTTGAAGCTGTTGGAGCATGTTTGACAAGTCATTCCCATTTCTTCCTGCCGTGCTTGCCACATTGCAACGAGTCAGCACCATCACCACATTGCGCCACGCAAACCGCTGTGGATAGCAAATCATCTTCAGCCCGTTGGCGGCACTTTTTAGCCCTCCAGCAAAAGCCTAGACAATAGAGCACTACCGCTTACCCTATGGTTGCTATTCTCCGATAGGTTGGAACCGCTCCTTATCTTCCGCGAGAGCCGGTTCATGTAACTTGTCTTAAGTCCGGAAGGCTGCGGTACTTGTCACATTTCTTGTTTTGGATTAGCTGCCGGACTTGCAATCATCCGGGTCCGAGATAGGGTTCACGGTACCAAACATTGAGTGAGAGAATCATCACTTAGCATGTTTCCTTGGCTCGTCATCTCCATCGGAGCTTTTGCTTAGAATCCAGGCACATCGGTAATTACCTCTTTTTGATACACGACCCCCGGCTCGGTAATGAAGACAAGGTCCCCGGGTTTCACAACAGTGTGACTAGTTGTTATGAGTACAGCAATTGACTTTGTGAAAGGGAAAAGAAGATAGAAGAAGAAAACAAAAAAACACTACTACTGGTACTTGAACCGTCTCCGCGGCTTAGCTAACCTGCAGAAAAAGCCCTTTTCTTTTGTTTTTCCCTTCGATACGCTATTGGTCATACTAGTATACTATAGCCACTTCCAGTTCGCGGACCCCCATTCAGCATAACATTCTTACAACCGTTGAATTCCACCCTTGGAGCCCCCCCCCCCCCCGCCCCGTTCTCGGAGGCCCACACACCATCCTTACAATAATTCTTTACCTTTCACGAAAGGTGGCGGCGTACGGGAACATCGGTGCTAACCTGCAGACCCAACAAAGCAATGCTACCGTTGTCGGCAGAAGCCCCGTTTGCTCCTACGCGCGCCGCCTCCCTCCACCATGGGAGATCTCCACTACAAGGTACCCACTCAATCTATACTAGGAAGAGACCAAGACAAAACCACGGCTCAACAGCGGCAGATGCCCACTTACTAACTGTTTCTCAAGGATCCCTAGCCATGTGGGTCTGTTTCTAATGTGTGGGTTTTTTTTCTCGTTGCGTTTATGCTCAGCCCTTCTTGTTTTGGCTTTGCTACTGCTGGATGACCGTCCTACACCCGGCGCCCAACGTGCCACGGCTCTATTTTTTTCCCCAATCACCTCGTCTCGCCACGCCTTTTTCGTACATCTGCCCCGTATCTCTATAGCAGACAAGAAGTGGCAATAATCACACTTTTTTATTTTTTTAGATTAGTAACAAGAGACGAGAAAAAACTTCGAATGCGAATGACGTCTTTTAACCAAGCTCGCTCAACAACCGCAGTCCCCTTGCCACTATCCCATACACAAAACGCTTTCTTGGCGAACCGCCGCGAGGTTACGTATGTCCGCTGACGTAAACACCAGACTACTTTCGGGCTCGTGGCACACCTTTTTTGCCTTCGCGGTCGTTCTTCCTTCGGCAACGGCCCGGGGGGGAAGCTAACGAAAGCAAAATAGAGAGTCAAGACATTTGCATGGCAAGAAAGTACACGCGGTTGCAAGTAACCATTTTGTGTTTTTATTATCATTCGGAACCACCAGGCCTGTCCTTGTATCGAGATGATGCTAGTTAGTTACTGTAAAGTCAGCGGTGCAAATTACTACTTACGTACGGGGTGTTGGTGGCGAGTGGCGCGCACCAAATTTCTCCATCATTATCATTATGCCTCAGTGTTGTGTGACATCGGGTTGGGGGACGTAACAAGGTTCCAGGTAAAACTCGGCTTCTCCCCTAGCAGCAGCATAAAAGAAATCAGATAACAAATCAACTGTTCATCTTCCAATCAACAAGAGGATACTTTCATCGGTCGCGGCCCCATTTCACACGTGTGATGGGCAGGGAGTAGGTGGTCAGACGGAAGTGAGACTGCGGTGGTACTTTTTGCTTGAGGGGGAGGACGAGAGCACGAAGAAGGGAGATCAGGGAAGGGGAGATATCTTCCGGACGTGGCTTGTCCAGCTCCACCTTGGAAAAATGCTTATACGGGGGGGGGGGAATATTCCGTTGAGCGAATTTGAGATGAGTGATGGAGTAGCTTGTTGGTTCAGAATCTGGGGCCCTGTGGATGTATTTACAGTGTCTTCGTGGTTGTTCTCGGATGAGATAGAGTAGTTGTTCATAATTGACATTACACATGTAGATTCTTGGTCGTAGGCTTCTAACTCTTAAGTTGTTTTCAGATAAAGTATTGCAGGCTTCTATCGTAATGCTCTACACATAGGCATGGTATAATGGCAATAAGCATGGTGGAAATAGAAACAATTGAAACCCCTGTAAAAAACCACATATTTGTCCATAGAAAAATCCAGTATATTGATATCGAGAAGCCGTTCTTCAGATACACAATAGGACTCCTGAAGGTCGGCACGCTTGGTCACATTTTTTTTCCCTCGAAAAAAAAGCCGGATTTCTTGATCACGAGAAGATGGCGTGAGCCAAGTCTTATTTTCATCGTCACAGAGAAATAACATCAGAAGAAACAGGGAAGAAAGGATGTGATTCGGGTTTACACAAGGAAAACGATAGTCACACGATGAATTGTAGAAGAAAATCCAACAAACAATACTGGAGATTAGATGGTGGATGTGAGCATCGTGCATTCTAATCCATAGCTGTGGTGAGACATAAGCGTCTCTCCATTTTTCGGTCGAATATTGAGAACGTATGACGGCAAGAAAATGGCAGTTGTTTCGAGCATAAACCTTGATGCACCAGGAGACGTTGGGCTGGGGATTCAAGTATCCAAGCAAATGCATGCTACATCTTTGTATCAGCGGAAAACATTGTACAATTAACATCACACCAATGACTTGAAAGTGGCAATAATAGTATCAGTATCACGTTTCCGTATAACTATATAAACTAAACAAAGACACCATTTCCCTTACACGCCGTCATCCCAGTCATATCCATCGTCACACATAAATATCCCCCCCCCTCCATTCCATCCACCCTAAATCCCCCATCCATTACGCAGAAACCCATTGCGCACAACCAAACACTGAGAAAAAGAAAAGAAAAGCAACAGTTACATGCAAAAGCAGGAAGAAAAAGAAGAAAAGACAAACAAAAAAGGGAATGGGGTATCTCAAGGCTCAGACGAATTATGTAGACTGGAAGAAAAAAGGCATTTGAAACGCGTCGCTCGCACCGAGCGTAAAAGCCCTTGTTGTCAGTTCTCATGGGTTCGTCTTCTCACGAGCCGGTGAAGAGATGGGGAAAAACGCAAAGGAGACGAGAAAACGAACAAACAGAAAACATTGAAAACTTTACTCTTTGAGTAAAGACTCCAACAGTGCTTGGAGAGAAAAAGGAGGTCAAAGGAGATAGTGAGCTACTCCGACATGTTGAGTGCCGGTTAGTCACCTCTACTTAACCTTCTCGAGCTGGTAAACGTGGTGGAGTAGATAATGGACATATCAGAGCTCCATCCTCTCCACAACGCCCTCACTCATTGTCCGTACTTTGCTCACGGTTCTCTCCCTGCCAACGAGTGATTCGACATCGCTGTCTCCCTCACTCTCATAGTAGTAGTCGGCATCCATGCTCATTTCTCTCGCAGGGATGTATTGCTCCTCTTCCGCATCGACGACCTCACCCGGGTGATCAATCACCATGTTGTCGAGCTCATCGCTATCGCCATACGCCTCAAGTCCCTTTTTAGCACGAGCTCCCAGCCAGTACTCGGCGCGCTTCCTGCTGCCCGCATTGGCTGAAGATTCGTATTTGGATGCTTTGAACTTGGACATGAGCGACATGGCGACGCTAGGCGAGTTGGAGAGTGCCGATATACCACGCAGGTAAAAGTAGGCGACTCGCTTGCGCTCCTTGTTGTATAGGAAGAAGTGGTGACTCCAGATTGCACCGTCATCGGAAAAGGGATCGTCGGACGGCTCCCAGGCATAGTATTCGCAACTCGACATATCCATCTCGCTGTCAACGAGCTGCCACGAGCGGGGGCTCCATATCGGCGAGCCGAGCGGGGTGACGGCGCCTGCGGGGAGACCGGCCGAATACACCTGGGGCCGCAGGTAGTACATGGTCGTATCGATTTTGTGCATGAAACTGTGCATGGTTTCGCGACGGAACTCATCGGGGTTCAGTGTGTTTGCAAAGTCGTAGTCAATGTGTGTCGCATTGAGCGTTGCAATAAGGTAGGCAAAGGTGTGACGGTTCGCGGCCTCGCTGAATGTGCCAAACGGGCTATCTCTGGAAATGTCGAGTTGGTCAGCGAATTGCGCGGCGGATTGCTCCGACAGCCCCGCAACCGCCGATAGCAGGTCCTTGTGTCGCTCTTCCAGTGTCTTCTCAATGCGCTTGTATAATTTCTTGTCACTTCCAGCTGCCTTTACAGTCCATAGATCGCATCCACCAATGATGGCGGTATCTTGGGTGTCGAAGTTGAGGGCGAGGTTGACCTCGTGGAGGGCGCACAGGTCGAGGTACTGCGTCACCGGATCAGCTACATCACCACCACCACCACCATCACCGGGGCCTTGTCGCATCAACTACCCACCTTCATCGTGCCAATTCTGGGCTGTTTTCAATCGAAATGTATGTAAATTTAATGTCCAAGTTGGTTTTTGATGTCGTAAGGAGGATAGGGGTTCAGAGCGCAGTGGCTGCTGGCTGCGGGCGGTGGTGTGTTCGGGAGGGATGGCCTGCGCGAACCGATACAACGAGTAGACACGACTCTAGGCTGGCTGCAGAGAGGAGAGAGTACTGTTGTTCGGCCAGACAGTCGTCTAGCAGGCGGTTGACATGTGTATAGCGTGAGCGGAATTGTGGTGTGAGGTGTCGCTGTTACGACGTGGTCGCGATTGCGGAGACAGCGGTGATCAGCTTGGCGGTGTCGCCGAGCTAACAAGGGCATGTGTGCCGGGTTAGCATTCCTGATTGGTTCATACAAGCCCAGGTCCTCAACCAACAACAGCGGCTGATAAGACCAGATGGGTAACTTGTGAGAGGCGACTGGTGTTGAGCGCCGATGTCAGTTGGGTGCCGGCAATGCGCAATGTTGCGCGAGTACGTAATGTGTCATCTGAAGTCGAACGAGCATGTGAACTAGGACAGGTCAATTGCCTGGCAAAGAACCCCACTGGATTCGGCAATGTGTCATTTCATATGTTCCTGGCAAGGCTCTGGGTAGAAGGACCAAGAATTGATCCGAACCGACTGCTGTCACAAGGTGCAGATGCGCAATTGCTAGCCAGGTATGGACAATGTCTGTTGCTAGGTGATTAGGTTTAGTGAAGCAACAAGAAAACGATAACAGAAGAGAACGAGCGACAATGTCAAGGGCAGAAGTCTCGATGGCATGATGTATGATCACGTTCGAGCTCAGTAAACCACTTGTGTAAGACCTAGCTGTGTCGAGCAAAGCCCGCCAGTCGGACGTGTTTGATTGTAGTAGATAGAGTACAGCCACCGCCATCCGCTCTACAAGGCAGGATGGCAGGTGGTGCGTTCTCCAATAACCCGACTCCCCGCGCCGTGTGGTATCGTATCGCCGTAACGCCTGTCCTTGAAGTGTGTCTATGGCATGAACCGTGTCGTTGCCGTATTCCCAAACAAAGCCCCACCATTTTCCCGATGATTGACGCCGTGAATCAAGGTCCTGTACGCGAATTTGGATCTGGCTTCTCACATGATGCCTTGCTCGCGGAGCCGGGTTTTGAAGAGTTCGGCACTGCCACCATCATCCTGGAGGCCGAAGGCACGGTCAGTGAGGGCTAATGGGACGAGGCAGGAACAGCAGCCAGGCCGAGTGTATGTGATTCAATGCTCCGTAGACGGCTTTACATGATCTTGGTAACAATGTCGTCCTCAGTCTGGACGACAGGCGCGTCAGCCAGGCGGCGCTCTGGGCGTAGCGAAGCGGACCGGAGACGCATCACACTTCACTCACCTCCATGTCCTCGAGGCTGTCTTGCTGTCCTATACACCGCAGTACGTTTTTCTTGCTGCTCTCCTGCATCTCTCCGGCAAGCAGGAGCTCGTCGAGAATGAAGTAAGCCTTTTGGAAGTTGAAGATGATGTCGAGCTCGCAGACGTTGCCGTAGTACTTGTCCATCTGCTCGACATAGCGATGGACGATTTCGAGCGTAATCAGCTCATTGTCGGTGGCGTCGCATCCGGCGATGAAGAAGAGCGAGGCGTAGCGGCGGTAGACGACCTTTGTATCTGCATGCTTGTGAGTCGAGCAAAGGCACTGTCTTCCAGGGGCATACTGACCCTTGTATTCAAGGAAGTTGCACATGCGGGTGCGTCGGGCAAGGACAAGCTGTGAGACGTCCTTGACTATCTTTGCCTTTTCCTTGGGCGCCAGCGTGGTGAACCATTTGGCTAGACGCTACGTGGGAGCATCAGCAGGGGGAGCTTTGCATTCTGAGGTGGGGGACCAACCACTTTGCCCTGCCGCGAGAGCAGAATAAGATATCTAAATGAATCGTCAGTGAGTACACTGGGTATAATAAGAGTGTGCAGGCGCTATCATACTTGATTGTCATGATGTCGTGTGAGGTGGAGAGGAGTGGCTACTGTAGTAGTGCCGTGGAAAGGTGCAACTTGGGCGATCGGCGGTCACAGGCCAGCCCCGCGACTCTTGAGACGTCAATGCGTCCTCGACCATGTTCCCCGCCGTTGCCTTTGCCTCGAAACTGATATGCAAACACATATATTGTGAACTTGATGCGCTAACAGTCTTGCCGCATACACAAAATCACTCTCTTCATATCTTCTTCGTCTTCGCTGTTCTATTCAGCCGCGCTATAGCGACCTCGGCGCAACCTTTTTTTGAAACTCGCCCCACTGGCTGACAAACATAGAGTGCATTGCAACCTTCCTTTCAAGGCCCTTCTAACCCTATACCACCACAAAATCCGGGGGGAAAGACTTAAATATACCATCTTCTTCACCGAGCGACCTGCACCATACAAACCGCAGCCATGAAGCTCATACTCTCGACCTCGTACGACCACCCCATGCTTGTCTACTATCAAATCTAACGACACCAGGAATATCATGTCTGGCGGACCCTCGGTCATACGACGTCCGCTATTCGAAAAGTCAAACACTGAACTCACATCCTCGCTGCGCGCAAACTTCTCCGCCCACCAGCCCTCCCCACCGCCCTCAAAACCAAACCACCGCACATGGACGACCGCGACCGACTCCGCGCTATATGTACCCACACATACCCCCTCGCCGCTGACCGAGCCCCGAGAGTCCTACGATATCACAGTCAAACTATTCTACCTCCCAAACATACCTGCCGACCGTCGCTGCGCCCAAACAAGGGAAGCCATAGAACTAGTCCTCAAAGAGCTAGGAACATCCTCAATAGACCTCTTAATCGTCAGCTTCCCAGGTATATCCTTTGACGCCGACGACGAAGAATCCGACTTTGAGGACGACGACCCGCCCTCTCCCCCTTCAGCAACCCAATCCACATCTGAAAACACCGCTGGTGACTGTCTAGACGCCGGTGTGCCCCCAGAAGACCTCGAGACCATGATAAAAACATGGCACGCGCTCGAGAAACTGCAATCAGAGGGCCTCGTCTCAAAACTCGGCATCGCGGAATTTGGTGTCGCACGCCTGACGCGCTTCCTCGAGCGCACGAACATAAAACCGAGTGTTAATCAGATCAATGTGAGGGATTGCTGTGTTGTGCCCAAGCCGCTTATCTTGTATGCGAAACAACAGCAGATTGAGTTGCTGACACATAATGACTGCACGAATATCCTGCCAAGGGGAACGCTCAGGCAAATATTAGGTGCTGGTGAAAACGGTTCTGGTGTCTTGGCTGGTGAGGGAAATGAGGAAGGGTTGAAAGGGGATGTGGAACCGCAGTGGGTGGTCAAGTATACGGCCGTGGTGAAGGATAGAGGTGTGGTCGAGAATAAGGGATACTTTGCTGTTGCGGAGTTACGGGATGCATAAACTTGGTGTGATATGTAAATATCAAGTATGTATATGATTTGACGCATTTATTGAAAGTTCATGATATACAGATATCGTCTATCCAGGGTTTCATTTACAGTCTTTCCTCTTGACATTCAGCTACCTCCTTCTTCTAAGTCCCACAGAAAACCCCGCAACTCTTGCAATTCAATCCCTTTCCTACGTTACCCAGGTTCGAGGAGACTAGACGTCCTCAGCGTACACTACAATTTGGTCCATTGCTTTTGTCCTTTTGGTCCTTGGACATGCTGGAAAATATTTGCTTGGCTTCTGGAGGTATGCTGAGTGCGACTTTATGGATATGGTTGAAGTGGATGTGATTAAGTGACAGAAATGATGATACTAGGAGTAAGAACGGTGAGTGGCGAGGAGAAGAAAGGAGGGAGATGGGGGCTTCTTATGTGGTTGTGATATTCAATGCGGAATCAGTATGGGATTTCAATCGGTGTTTCTGAGTGTGTACTATGAGTAGTGAAGAATTAGAATACGTTGATTTTATTGCTACTCTAAAATTCACAGCTCCAGGGGATCGTGCAGTCGGTGATGGACTCAGTACGCCCTCTCTTTACTTTTCACAACCAGGAGGTGGTTTCATGGCCATATAGCACTACAACATGGGAATATGTGAAGTTGGGTATACCAATACGTGTATTCAGATATCCCCTCACAGTATTTTTCACGTCAATCGCCGTTTACTGAAGCGATAATTGGAGGACAGTCGCAGATACTGGCATTGATGGTGCTATCCACGCCCTACTCATCAGCACCATTTCCAGTCCATTTCTTGCATCCTGTAGTGTCTGGCTAACAGTAAAAGGTATTACTTGCGAATGCAATGGTTATTTTAACCAGTAATCATATAAAAAATGTTACTTAAGTAGTCAAGTGAAATATTTTACATATCAACGCTGCATACGGGCTGAAATTATGGTATCTGGTATCACTGGCGGGCGACAGACGCCGACTGGTTTCACCTGCCAAAGGAGCAATCTGATCATCTCCCATAAGCGAAAACATCTCAACTACTAAGATAACATTTTCAAATACGCACCAGAGACCAATATCTACATCCTGAGCTACGGTCACATCTCTCCCATCTCCGCATACTCAGAACACATCAGTTTCTGTACAATAACCACCTCTCCCACAATCAATAACTTGACTACATGGCTTACGGGAAGGCAGTGATTCAACATTCTATGTTGATGGCAAATGCTAGTAGCTCCTCCTCCAAGCGTATATATCTCCATGTAGGCAACAGCTGACGATGGTTACGACAAGGGTTCTGAACATGACATGAGTCCGCGCACAGCAGGATATCGCACTGAAATTTTAAGGAAGGTACAAATGGAGTATATCGTAGCGGCGTATGTAAATCGTATAGAGTCCGTCTAGCTCCTCCGTATCTACTATTTCATCTGAGCCGTGTCGTTCAAGCCAATTCGTCCGAGCCGTCCCTATGAACTACCTCGTACGAGCTGTTCCCTACAAGCCATCTAGGCCATGCCAACAAACCAAGGGATGCCTATCTCAGCCGTCACAGTCAATACTCTAGATATTCACACCGTGGAAATACGCTATTGTACATGAAATGTGAGAACATGGTTTCTTCAGAGAGTAAACTGATTACATAGAAATGGTAACTCACTTACGTCTATCAGGATTGCGTATCTAGATCTTACCAGAACTACTGCGCACAGTTGGTTATTGGTTGGAACACTCACCTTGCCGTACATGGTGCTTATACTTTCTCACTATCAAAATCAGAAACCACATGACACAAGGTATGCTCCCTGGTGTTTGTCAAAACTGAGCATCATTTTGGTATCTGGGTCTTCATCTAAGCGACATGGAAGTGCCGTATCTGCCAATCTTACTGACTGCTGATCTTCGGACTGTAAGTACGGTAGCAATGTCGGCCTTGTCACTGGCACTCAATGCAGTAAAACGATCACCGTCTTTGGCTACTATATACGTCACTAACTCCGAGATGCTCAAGATAACAAAGCTTTCTTAGTAAATTCTGATCTAAACCATACAATTGTCGTTGCGGATAGACTAGACTACGCAAGCGAATATTTTGTATTAACTCCACGTACGGGATTACGTGAGATACGAAAGAAGATTAATCACATACACCAAGGCCCAAAAGTCAATGCCCTGAAACTCAACCCTCAAAAATAGCGGCAAGGTAAAAATAATCACGGCAAAGCAAACACTATTTGCTTTTCCCATTGCTTAGCCTCATCGTGATGCTTACACACATATCCTTCCCTCCACGTGCATAAGCTTAAAACTCTAATGCTACAACCTAGTTATGATTACACGTACATCGGCCCCGAGGAGCGCATGTTTTGCACCGATCTATGATGCAAATCCGCCCACGCACCACCTACTTCGTCATCGCCGTCGTCGTCTCAGCCCAACCCGTACGTAAGCGAGATCAACGGCTCGTAGTTACCGACAACTTACAGCATCAGCCCAAAGTCACGCACGCACATACACACACGTAAGGAATAGTATGTAAGCCTCAGCCTCAATCCGCACACACCTCCTTCCCGAAACACACAACCACGTTCCCTTCGAGCCACACCCACACCCTCAATACAGTAAGACCCTACCTGTGACTCTGGGCGCGGAAGCCCGCGGTACGAAGGAACACGCATACGACTAGTTTCGAACTTTCTTTTCTTTTCTCCCTTCTATCGTAAAACGCCGCTGACATACGGGACATTCGGCATCGTGAATCCGTCGTAAGTACATCCTCCTTACCCCCGTCTTCCCAGCAAACGGCGCAAACGCACGTAAGAAAAAAAAACCGAAAACGAAGAGGGATGGGAAATTTGACTTTGAATTCGCAAAAAAACTACTTGGAATAATCTTCTCTATGGCAGGTTGTGCGCGCGCACTACTTCCTTACCTTGCGTAATATTCCAATGAAACCCAAATACAGTAAGGGGGGAGTGGGGACGACGGCGCACACGTTTATTATTTCCCCCATCTCAAATCAACTATATAACCTATATCATCCATATGCTATAAGGAGTTTTACCGACACGATAGTCAAGTATTGTAACGTTGCGCCGAAAACAGGTTCATCGGCGCTATTGGGTGGGCTCAAAAGGGGTAATCCCTGTATGTCGACGAAGCCGGTTCGGGCTTGGTTTTGTTGGAATTGAATTTGGGAACCCACCCATCCCTTCCTTTGGCGGGAACCTTCGAGGGTGTAGGTGGGCCAGGGTGGGTGGGGATTCAAGCATAAATCGCTTTTTGTGTTATTGACCGATTGACCGAACGGCCGGACCGAGCGGCGCGTCAGAAACGGGAAGGAAAGAGAATGTAACATTGAATAACTATGCGGTTTGTGTCTGTTCGCGATTCTAAGAGGTAGTAGTGTGGCTTTTTCCTTGCCCTTGATCCCCGAATTCCCGCTCAGAGTGCGGTAGTAAACAAGTGTCATATGGAACGAAGCGGCCACGCTAATATCTCTCGCTATTTCATTAAAAACTCACCAATTTGTCGAGCTGAGCATTAAAGAAAAAAAAAAGACATGGTGTCATGTGGGTAACTAGTAGATAGCAAGGAAAGAAAAAACATGAGGGATAACAGGAAAAAAACCTCCATTGTTTACTTCTCCCCATATCTCCAATCTCACACCTTCTCTCTCTCTCTCATACTATGCGTATCAGCCAAGAAAATAGAGCAAGTTTAGGAACGGCCAGAAACGAAATTACCTACTACCCCCAATCTTGCCAAAGGTAGTGATGATCAAGTTTTTCGAACAACGAACTATAATAGTTGTGACTTTTTTTAATCTACCTGAGAACAATTAACCCGCTTCGCAACAATCTTATCTTCCACAGGCGTTCAAACTATTCACAACCTTGTCATCGCAACATAACCTACACAGACCCGGCGCGCACGCACGGGAAGGATGTCAATAGGCGGGTTGCATATAGAAACCCACTCACACAACCATGTGCAACCATGCAAAACCGGCGGCGGCGTTCGGTCTCGGCGGCGGCTCGCTCGGACTACTACGCATGCAGGACCCATGTCGCACAAATTGGAAACACTGGCCAACGGCTCGTGGGGGATTGGGGGTTCGGGTGTGGTGCGCGATTTCGCGGCATCTCTGTCTCTCTTTCTTTCTCTCTCTCTCTCTCTCTCTCTCTCTGGGAAAAGGCAAATGGGAAATGGTGAGATTGGGACGAATTCAGCCGCGTACATACCTAGTAGTAGTAACGCGAAGAAAAGGCGGACAAAAAAAAGCATGCTAAAATGGAACAAATAAGAACAAAACAATACTTTTCATCCATCCATCCATCCCATTTCCCAAAGAAATCCCTTTTGAAATTCTGTGTGACACGAGGTCCCTTTTCCGCTAGAAATGAGAAAAAGTAACGTAGACTACGTGATCTCCGATTAGCTCTACTTACATGCTTATTGACGATAATATCCCGGGGCTGGCTGGTTATCGCTCTTCCCCCCCCCCCAAAGGTGAGACTTGCGTTCGGTATTCAAGGGATAGGGTAAAATGGGTAGCGTGCGGGCGGGTGGACGGCAAATGAAAGAAAAAAAAACGGTCGCGGTAAAAGAGAGCGGCAAAGGAAGTTTATCCAGGTTACCGGGAGAAGGATATGTAGAAGATGTGAAACACTCCAAGTACCGTGTATACAATGGATATCCCGGGATGGGGCGGAGGAGAAAGAAGAAGAGAGACGCAAGTTTAATTTGAGCCAAGGAATTTTTTACTGTTCGAATTCTTGATTTGATTCTTTTTTCTCTCTTTCATTCAGCTGCTAATCTCCTCGGGTTACAAAAAAATTTCGTCTAAACTAGATTTGGCCCTATTTTCTCTTCTGGTCTTCCGTGTCAAAAGTACACTACCTTCAAAGTTCCCCCCACGCAACTAATATGCCACCCTCTGCATATTACTTGCTAGTTCATCAAAACGATTGTAGAGAGAGTGAAGAAGAAAAACTCCGTTCGTGCCGTTTGTCTGCCAAAAACCGCTGCAGCATGTTTGATATCCAAATGAGCATTTTGTTGTTGTTGTGGTGGTGGTAAAGGGAATCCGCAATGAAGCGGTATAGCCAAACCAATGCCCATTTGATACATTTTGTTGGTTGGTTAGATATTGTTAAGGAAAGTCGAGGGGCGGTAAACATAAGCCGCCACAAAGGAAATAAAAAACAAAGGACCAGTCAAAGTATCCATAGATTGTGTCTCAGTTCCATGCTCCAAATGCGAACCACAAGATCCTTAGATACCGTTCCCCTCCAATGTTCGTACAAAGAAAATATGCCGCAGTCAAGGAAAGTAGAGAAAAGAAACGAAAAAGTCCAGTTCGCGTACGCATGCATCACAGTTGTGTTATGCGCCATTAAATAGTCATTCGCTGGTTTAAACTCCGAGGTCATGCGAGAGGGAAAGGTGGTGTGTCGAGCTCATTCGAGCGAGGCCATAAAATCGTGGTATCAGGTGACGGTTGCAGTGAAGCAGCCGCACGTTGTTGGTTGGGTGGAGGGCGAAGACACATAGTTTCAGGATTTGGATGGAGAAGGTTCCCTGGTGTACTGGAAGAACTTTCTCAGTCTGCTGCCGATGTTCTTCTTCTTCTTTTCGCGAGAAGGCTCGCGATGTTCTGATTGCGGGCGTTGCTCAATCGAAAGCTTACTGCGTTCGCTGTTCGAGGATGAAGTGCCCATCAAACGAGACAGACTCGCAATGCTGGAACGCTTGCGACGCCGAGACTCCATCTCACTGGGATCAGAAGATAGAGACGACGTGCGCTCACCGAATCGATGCGGGCTAACAAGTGGGAAACCGCCCTGCATCGCACTAGTCATCGTTGACCGCGAAGATGTCAAAGACGGCACTTCTGTAGAAATGCGGACTTCTGGACCAGGTTCGCCAAAGCGAGGAGATGGCATGACAGGGTAATCGGTCATTGAAGAGGTTGCAGTGCCTCTACGCTCAGTATCGAAAATTTGGCTGGACCGATAGTCTGGCGATGAAAAGGACGATGCGATCGTGTCGGGGGTCATCATACTCTGCTGGTGAAGAGGAAGTGTCAAGTTCATGACAGGCTGACGTTGCTTGGGTGTATCTTCGGTTGTTTGAGCGGTAACAGTGGAATCGGAAGAATGTGTGAGGGATGATGTTCGGGGCTCCTCGTAGTCTTCTACGACTTGGACAGGTTCAGATTCCTGCGGTGATGGGTCATTGTCCTCGGTGCGGTCATCAGCAGGTGATGTTGCCCGAGGAGACAATGGCTCCGAGGAGTCAACCTTGTGCGCTTTTGGCCTCCTGTTAAGACCAAGTCCATCCTTGAAGGTCCAGTTGATTCCAGGCCCTTCTTGTTTCGAATCGGCTTCCACCACCGAAATCTTGAGCTCTGAAGGGTCTGCAGTAGCTGGCCTTGTCTTGGTCGCCTTTGCGGGAATGGTCAATTCGTCTTCAGGCTCCTCTTCTTCAAAGACATCAGCCATGGGCGAAGTATTCGCAATGACAGACGATCGGTTCTCGAAAGGCACCAATTCCGGCGCGCTTTCTGTCCTTCGATGCGAAGGCGCAATGCCATTAGCACTGTGCATGGCTCGTCGATGCGCTGAAAATCCACGCTGGTTCATGCGGGGGCTAGAGCCGTTGGGAGTGTTGAAGGGTCCAAGCGCGGCATCCAGGTCGATAACCGGGCTCATAATGTCAGAGTCGACGCGTTGCAGTGGGCGAGGTTGCCAGGACGCATAGCTGGTATCTACCGTTACTTGAGCCGCAGGGGTTTCACTGGGGGATACGATTGTAACAGTCGTATCCTCATCAAAGTTGGGCTCAAAGTCAATTTCCTCTGACTCATCCGACTCGTCATCATCAACAACAGCATTGGGTGGTGGCGTCGGGGAGCGTGCTTTCGACTTCTTGCCGTGCTTTCCCTTGCGAGTGATGATTGAATTTGCCCAAGACTTGACTTTACGGGGTTTGTGGCTGCCCTTGCGGGAGGCGGATTTGGGTTTTCCAGAGTCTTTTGTAGACTCGTCGTTCTCAGACATGGGTGAGGGCAAGGTTGCATCGAAAGACTTGGAGAGGGCAGGGTCAGATGCGCTAGTAGGAAGAGTCGGAAACGAGTTATCAACTTTTTGCGTATCCTTGTGGTGGAAAAGACTTCGTCGTTTGGCCTGTGCTTTGAGAGTGGGAGTGGGAGTGGGCGCAGCAGATGGAGTTAGTGAGACTGCTGAGACGGGTCGTTTGCGCTCAAGGACCTCGCCGTTCAGTTTGCCGCTGATAAACTTGTCCAGTACCATGCCCGCCGTGCTGGGTCGATCTTCGTCTTGAACTGTGTTCAGCGAGGGGCGTGCTGCTCGAGGAGGCGCCGGAGCGTTGCCGCTAACAATTGACGAAAGACTGTTTGCTGCAGAATGACCGCGGAGAGTAGACAGAGATGTCTCTGTCTCGGAAGAAATGGTCGAGAGCGGACGGATGGTCTCGATTCTATCAGAGAACGTCACTCGTGCTCTGGACGGTGGCCGCGCCGGATCGTCGTCAGACCTGTGGTCGCGTAGCGAGGGTTGAGAAATAGACCTGTTGAATTTGTGACCGGGTGCAAACGGGTTGCCCTCAGAGGGTGTGTTGGGTGCGCTGCCAGCTGGTGCTACAGGAGGGCTCATAATCGAGGTCAAGTCATGAGAGGAAACAGCGCCTGAACGACGGTGAGCGTGTCCACGTCGGCCTGGTGGAGGACCTGGGCGTAGTGTCGAGCTTGGTGCAGGAAGAACGTCCTCGCCCTTGGTAGGGCTGCTGCTTTTCAATGCGGTGCCTCCAGGCCGGATGTCACCACCAATGAATTCGCTTCCTCCGCGTTTGTGTCCGTGAGACGGCTTCGAGGGCGATATTGGCACACCCAGCGTATTGGGTGATACTGGTGGTGAGGGCTCTTTGGCGGGCTTTGGTGTTCCGGCAGGATTGAAGGAAAAGTCTGGCAGGGCATTGATTGATTTTTGCCTGTAGTGTGGCATCGACCCTCTACGGCCGGACGGATAGGCTTGTAGTGACATTGGTCGCGAGTTTGCTGGCGCAGGAGCTGAGGAGACGGTGTCTGGGTCTCGCATGGGAAACGAGAACTCTGGGTTAGGAATAAGCTCAATGGGCCCGGCATTTGATTGATGTCGACGCTGGTACAGGGGCGCACCAATGCCAGACTGCGACTGTGTAGCGCGGTGTCGTGGCATCGCTGTTTGAGCCATGACTAGGCGATTAGCTGGCCTTGGTGGCGCAGAGAGGTGTGGTAATGAGGCTGGACAAAACCAGAGCCGGTGTCGCCAACGGACGCGCAGGATGGTAGTTGGTCTGCAGGTAAGACTGGGGGGCGCGGAAAGCGGAGACAAGTCGGAAGATGCAGCAGGGCGCAGCGTGGTTGGGCGACGAGAGAGACCAGAGGTGCTACAGGCGCGGACACAATGGGCGTAAGACGAAACAAGCGCTCTCGAGGTACAAGAGCGGGCGCGATTACTACTGACTGACGCGAGAGGATCAGCACAGGCAGCGAGCAGATTGCAGGGCGATGTGCAACGTGACGCGAGAACGATGGGTGCGAGGGCGAGTGCGTACAAGACGGCGTATGGTGTGGTTGGTGTTGAGAGCGAGTCTGGTTGGTGGACCGAGTGAAGCCAGTACACCCAAGAAGAAGAATTAAGGAACGACGAGCAAGGGAAAAGGAGCGGACAGATGCCTAGAGTCGCCTCGGGGAGAGTGAGTAGCGACAATGGGCTCCAGAGGGGGAGAGAGTTCGGGGGGTGCGGCGAGGATGGCGGGGGAGGAGAGGTGTTGACGGTGAATAGGCGGAGTGGGCGAAAGACGGGCACCTGGGCAACCCATCTCTTTTGTCGGTGGTTCCTGCCTAGTGCAGCGCAGGCAGGACAGGCAGGCAGGCGTCTGTGCGCAGAGTGACAGGGATCAGGGATCAGGGATCCCATGCCACCTGCTCGTCTCTCGTCTCCGTCTCCTCCTCATTTCGCGCTGGCCTGCGTGCCTGTCCGGCCTGCCTGTCCTGCCTCTTCCTGTCTGCCAGCCAGCCAGCCAGCCCGCCCGCTGCCCACCACGCCCGCTTGCTTTTTCTCCCTTGCACACCACCCACTTGCATCCACCAATGCACGCACTTGCCCTTGCCCTTGCACCCTAGTCGCTCACTACTCGATGCGGCGCGGGGTGCTGGTGCTGGTGGTTGCGGTGGTAATACCTGGTGGTGCTCCATCATACCATCATCCCATCATCCCACGCATCCATAACTGTCTGTACTTGGTATTATATAGTACCGTACATATGTATGTATCTAGTGAGTACTAGATGTAGAAACATCGCCCTCTTTGTGCACATCTCTCCGCCCGCCTGTGTCTGTGCCTGAACATCCCATGCCTCCCCATGCTCGTCACAGGCCCCCCTCTGGCGCACATCATGGCCAGCAAGCCAGGCAAGCCGTCGAGGGAGCAGTTCGTCTCGGCGAGCCAATGCCAGGCCACAGCTGGCTAGAGCGGCTTTGGGGCTGGCTTAGCTTCGTCGTGGTGGTTTGGCTGCTGCGTCACTTGACTGGATAGCCGGCTGGCCTGCTATACCGCCAGGAACGGGCATTAATTGGCATTGGCACTGGCTCGCCTGCCGAACCACTCCTCTTGTCGTTGCAGTCGCTGCAGTTGCATGCGGCTCCCTCAACGTCTGACCGCTGCTCCGGTGCGTGCGAAACATGGTCCTGTCTCTGCCTGGCCATCATCTCCTTCACCGTCTTGGCTGCATGTCGCAAGCCTGAAGCCTTGCCACCTCTCTCTTCATGGCCCCGCTACTAGCAGTCGGACAGCGCGGCTACCTGCCAAATCACAACCAAGCTATGCCCGTTTTACCGCTGTCACCTCCACGTCCAACGTTGTGACGCTCCGCCCTGCCCTGCCCTGCCATCCAGACGCCAGCCTGGCCCTTCCCGGTTTCGCGAGCAATGCCCTCCTTCGCTGCCCGCCTCGAGACATGAAGATGGACACGGCCTGTTTCATCCTACCCGTTCGCAGTGGGGGGCTGCTCGCTGCCCGGGATGGACAGCCAAGCACGGATTCGATATGCAGCTCGGACAGACTACGCTCGTTTGATGTCCGCACTAGCCAGGGGCACTGACGCCTCGCCATCTCGCTATCCCCCTTGCATCCACGACCTGAGCCTGTGCTCGCCACCCATAAATAGTCGTAGACGAAATGCGGAGAAGTGGGATGAGATGACAGCACCAAGAAGCAAGCATTGTTTTGTTTATCATCTCACCTCACCCACCGCCTTGCCTCCGCGAGGCTGGTTGCTGGCCCGTCATCCCACATAAGATCCAACCTCCCCGAACACCACGACACACTGCACTGCACTGCCCTTCTCTCCATGCCGAGGATGCATCCTGACTCAGTCCTGTTGCGGTCCCGTTTTGGACCAATCTGGTGGTGTGCGTATGCAAAGATAAAGGAGCACACACGCAGTACATAGAGTACACCCTCGATGCGACAATGCTATGCACATTGATCCTCACTACATTACTGATATCCCCCACGATGCATCTTGGCAACGTGTCAAGCCGGACAAGCACCCGTGTCTTGAGCGGTCTCAATGGACGGCCACCGTAGCCTGGCGTTCGTGAAATGCCACCTACTAGTTTCCGCCTCTACCATCTTATTTTTTTGATTCTCCAATGGCTGCAAAATTTGCTCGGCCGTCTAGGAAGTCAGGGTCAGGGCAAGGCTAGCATGACCCTGCATGCGCAATTGCAGCTCGCATTTCGTCGCACACACACCTGCATATACACATACGCACACACAACACACAACCCAATTCCAGTCCTGGCTACTTCTGTTCATATATATACTCTTTGCACGCCAACGCCTATGCGCTGCCATGCGCGCGCTCCAGGTTTGTGTGCTCGCAGGACGGGTTCGGTCTCGCACCAGGACCATGCTCCTATTTGGTTTATTGGCTCCGACGTCATGAACATGGACTACCATGTCTCCCGCTCTCTGCATCATCTGAATGATCTCCAGGGTCTATCTATTCTCGACATGCCTATACACCTGTCATGGGCTGAAAAACAGGTTCCGCAAAATTTGTCCATCTTCATTTCTCACGATCCACCTGTCGTTGGTGTCATCGTCATCTTGGAGAAAACAAGTCTTGCCAAGCATGCTCGGAGTGAGCGGCTTTTCGTGCTGGCCCGAAAAGGCTGGCGCTCAAATGAGCCTCGCAGCCAAACCTATACGCACTGTTCCGTCTGGCGCTGGCAATACGATCTGTGGAGCAGAATGCCCGCAACGGCGTCCCTTGTAGCTTCCATTGCCTCCATGGATCTGCGCCAGCAAAATCTACGTAGCGTCAGTGTTTTTTTTTCTGCTATGACCAGCGGTGAAGAGAGCAGAAAAAATTGTGCGCGGCAAATACCAAGACTATTCATCTAATTGCGAATGAGGCTGCCAAGCAGTATGTCGCTGCGGGACAGGCTATAGACACCTTCAGGACTTACCGTGTCCTTTTGCAAAGCTCAGACATACGCATTCGCATGCGAGTACATAGTACTTATTGGTGCTGCACCGCCACTGTGCTTCTCCACATGTCGCAAATCCCTCCGCGGCAACTGTTTGGTCTACATCTGCCGACCTCCCGTCCACCTGCATCTCAAATCTTCCGCTGATGCCCATCAATATTGCGCATCTGTACCTGAGCAGTCTATGTACGTATATACGTATACAAATGTTATGACCTTTACGATGTACATTCGCCAACCCTCGCTCAGGGGCGAAACGTCGCCCCTCCTGAATAACCGACCAAGGAACGAGACGTTGGCATGTAGACGGCCCTGTCGGCGAAAGCTGGTAATACCTGACGTATCATGTATTATCAGCAAGGTCCTAAGGTACACGATTGCACAAATTACGAATCTCGTTTCATCTGTGTTTTGATGCTGGATGAACGACGAGATTGCCAATTTCCGGCTTCTATTTTTCCCTATTACCGAATAGGGGATGCGCCACGAACAATTCGATAACTCTGGCCAATGGCAGGCACGTAGCCACCGGCTGCGCCTTACTTACTTGCACCCAGACCACCTGACCATGGTTTACCCACATCACGGACAAGCACTGGATCCGAGCACGGCGGTTTTTGTTTTTGTTGCCTTGTTTTCTTCTTTACCACCATCATCGTCATTGTTGTTCGGGTCGTCGTCGTTGTCGTCTTCTTCGTTGTCATGGCTCCAGGACTCGGCGCCGGCTTGACGTGGCAACAGCGTGGGTGTTATGAGCGAATTTTGGGAGATTGCGCTGCTAGGTGGGCCTGGTAATTTGCTCTACCAATCCGCGCTGTGAACACACCAATACGTACACTCATTCACTCTCCAACCATTCACCACCTAGGAAGTGTGCTGTTGAGACCCGCAGAGCCGCATACCCAAGTTGCGGACAGCCAACCACGCTTCATCCCAACAAAACCTACCTCTCCAAGTTCGGAGCCAGTGAGATATGCTGCCAGCGCATTATCGACCATAGTTCGTCGTCATGTGCTTGCTGCTCACCTACTCCAAGGTCTAGGCCACCTTTTCTCCGGACGAACCAGAGGCGCCTACCCCACACCCAGGCACCGCTCCTGAAACTATGGCTGTATGCGTCTTGTCTCGCCAGCTCCAGACTCGCCAAGCAAAAAAAAAAAGAACAGCTTCGGTACCTGGACTTGTGGATCGACGATAGTGCCTGACTGTTTTTTGCTGATGGCTTATTCCTAGACCAAAGGCACGAGCAGCTGTTTCTACAAAATTTCGATCAAATATGCCAAGCATAATGTTGGCACTTGTGTTGAGATATCTGCTGATTTACTCGCTCCAACACGGCAAATATAGAGAGTACCGTGATAACTCGAGTTCTTGGTGTTGGTGACGCGGCTCGCGAAACCATCACCAGACGTGCTCTTACTCTGGGATTCCACGTTATCCGAGTTACGGGCTGCCAGTTAACTAGGTGACGCCACGGGGCGCCATCACACACCGGAGCGTCCGTCGCATCCTGCTACTTCTCCTTTGAATTACTCGATTGGTTGAATCTAATTCCAGACGCGGCTGAGCCGACGCCTAATGCTCACACCTTGGCGACGACCTGGAACATGAAGCCCACGACGCTCTAGCCATCACTCAGCTTTCATGACTAGACCTCATGCATCGTGCCGGGAGACACTTGCCAGATCTGTCCATGAACTCTGCTTATTTAACATCATATGTCGAGGAATACCATAGTGTTTCCATTGCTTCAATCTTTATTGATGGGCGATGTGCAAACCGCAGTCCGCACGTCACAAAGCGACGCGGTCGCGGTTGGTTATCGGGTCCTTTCCACCAATCCTTGATTCAAGGCCAATGATCGACACACCCAAGGGGAGACCAAGCATTTGATAGACAAAGGTATCCAGCTGTGAGGACCATAGGCGCTCTAAGGTGCGCAAAAAATTCCTGACTTGGAGTAGTCAAACAGACGCTACGAACGCGTGATGGAGGCCGACTTACACCTAATACGTTTCCCCGGTGAAAGTGCAGTCGTGCTAAACTTGCGTAGGATAGAAATAAGCTGATTCGATGCAGAAATCGCTGACAACCTACATGAATCGCCGGGTCAGTACGTAAAAGCCTACGTGCGTATGGAGACTTGTCACGCCATGGCACTCGTCAAGTGTTTCCAATGGCGATCAAACCGTCTGGCACCCATCAAGCCATCTCATCACCGTCGCTACTGAAGATCAGCGATCAGTCAGCAGTCCTGTGACCCAGCAAAACTCTATTGCTATCGATAAGAATCAGCTCATAGCCAGACTCTACGTAAATTTCCACTATGGGCGCTGGTTCAAAGGCAGTGCGTGCTCGCGCGCCGCGGTTCTCGGCTCCAAGCGGAAACGCCACCAACCGCTGTAGTAAAGATAATAACTACCGTGGCAAGCTGATGCATCCAACTAAGCGAGGAAAGTAGTGGCGTTTTGCGCATGTAGCGGCGTCTATAGCTTGGTGGTGGAAGGCGCTAATGCAACTATGTAACAACCGACTGTTCTGTCTCAGCTGGCACTCGCGGGGTCATTGTAAGCCCAGTTGGTCAGCAACACGTGTGTATTACATGTAGGTGGGGTGACTTGTGTTGGCCATGAGACTAAAACCAAAAGATATACAATGGCTCTTACTGTGAACGAGAGTTTTTTTTACAAACTGATCTTTGGGACGGATTAATCAAACAATGGTAGGTTTGATAACGTTGCTGGATACAAGGCTCTGGGATACCAGTGCTTCGGTTGCATTCACACGTGAAAGAAAAAAACATTGCATGAATTAGACAAAGATACGAGGAGACTAGGTGGTGAAGAACTATACATGGCCTCTATTACCTGACTACTTACATGCAAATCCATGGAAATGATGTTATGTCTAGTATTTTTGGTATACCCCCTTGTCTAAAGTTTCAAGTCTTATACCCATAAGACGACACCACTATTGAAACTGGGTCTCGCTTGGTATCCTTGGTCATCTCTTTCTCGCTAAATGCGTGACTTCCAGTGTCACATAGACACACGAGAGTGTCGTTTGTAAAAAGCATGATTTCCAGACCAGAGCTTCATCACTAGCATGGCAACAGATGTAATTATATAACGAGCATGCCAGATGACTACGAAAATTGTTGATTATTGATGTACTAAGTTTTCATGAGAAGAACGAAGGTTAAGCTCGCATTCGATGGGGATTGAGTAACGTCACTCAGTATACACTATTTATTGCTCGTTGACATAGGACTACACAAGAATATCCCCTGAGAGCAAATTCTGAACTTACCCTTTACGTATGGGCAACAAACTATTCGACCACAGTCATTTGAAAGAACTCAGATGAATAGCGTGCAATATATGCTACGATTGCGAATACAAATAGCAACTTGTCGTTCGACAACAGCTACCAAATATCATGTTGAGATTTCCAAAGTGTAACTGACACTAAGCCTTCCAATGTCACAGAGTATCTTGAATTAGTATTCATTGAATGTACGTGTCCACGCAGACGGTGTAGTGTTCACTATCCAGGATAGTGTAGACGATTTAGCTATTCTATATACGGACTAGCGTAATCTTGCGGCGCAAGTTGGCATCATCGGGGTCCTGGATACACAAGCTCCCCCACATTCAGTTATCGAGCTTCGCGACCACTTACCGACCGCTCTACCAAAATATTATAGCCTCTACACAAAATGGCGGACGAAGAAAAGGAAAAGGCCGAGAAGATGGCGGCGGCGAAGAAGCGCGTAGGTATTTCTCTTGTGTGAATTTGGTGCTTTTGAGAGGTAGTGCTTGGCTATATAGTCACTAAGCGCGATGTTACCCATACAGTAGATACAATAATACTGCTACTATGTTAAATGCCAGACACTAACCATTCACTGTTAGTATGAACAATTAAAGAAGCAGAAAGCGAAGAAAGGCGGAAAGAAGAAGGAGGATAAGACTGAAACTCCCGCCGAAGCCGAAGCCGAAGCGTCGACCGAAGCCGCGAACACTGAAGAGAGGCCCGAAGAGAAGACTGAGCAAGTCGCACCAGAACCTGTAGAGGCTACCAGCGTACCTCCGCCTCCAGCCGAGGACGAGGAAGAAGACGAGGAGCCCTCAGAATTACCCAAGCAGCCGCACGGTCGCAAGCCTTCAGTCGCTATCGAGTCGCGACAACGGTCAGAGTCGTTCTATCGCTCAGGAGCTGCTGGGCCTTTGTCGCCTGGGGTTGGGGTAACAAGTGAGGTTTACCGGGAACAAGCGCAGAAGATTGAAGAGCTGGAGAAGGAAAACAAAAGACTAGCGAGTGAAGTTGAGGAAAATGAGAGAAGGTGGAAGAAAGGCGAAGAGGAGTTAGAGGAACTTCGAGAGAGCAGAGGCGATGCTGCTCTTGCAGTTGAGAAGGGCAAGGAGGCTGACGCACTGGTAGGTGCTCATGCTGTCTACAATTTTTTAAGGGCAATCCTGACCTATCATACAGAGAACGGAAGTCGAATCGCTCAAGAGACAGCTTTCTCAAGCACAATCACAAAGCAACAAATCCACACGCCGTACAGCGACAGCATCGCCAAGCCAAAGCGCATCGATTGACGACCTGAATGCACAGGTTGCATCCAAGTCTGCAACTATCGAGTCACTTGAACTTGAGATTTCAAATCTCAACAGGCAATTGTCAGAACAAACAAATAAGAACAACGAGCTCCAATCGAAGATTTCAAGTCTTGAAAGCGCAGTGGAGAAGGCAGAGCAGGAGGCTAGTTCGACAAAGACGGAACTACAGGAGTTGAAGGCGAGCTTGGATAAGGCTGGTGATCAGGCAGAAAAGGATGGATCGGATCGCGACTCCGCGCAGACCCGTATCGCGCAGCTAGAGGCTGAGCTGGGCACTGCTAACCGCAAGGCATCAGACTCGGTCTCACGCGCTGAGTTGTTAGAGAAGAAGATTGAGACTCTGACACAGCTACATCGTGACAACGACACACGAAACCAGGCACGTCTACAAGAACACAAGAAAGTTGAGCGCGAAGCCGCCGAGTTAAGAACCCGCATAACGGGTCTCAGCAACGAGAACGCGCGTCTCCGAGAAGCAGAGCAGCGCCGCAGAAAAGCAGATCTTGGCTCCATCGAAGACTCTAGCGTCCAAGAGCTCTTGGACGAGGAACGTGACCGCCTCCTTGCCAAAGTCCGTGAACTCGAGGAAGAAAACTTTGAGCTCCGCCGCGGCGTATGGCGCGACCGTCGCCGCGACATGCAACCCTCAATCGACGACCAAGCGGATCCCAACAACTTCGACGACATCGACCTCTCTGGAGCACCCTCCCGCCAACCCCCACCCAACCGTACCCATTCATCTTTCCAAGATGTTATCCAGTCCGGCATCTCAGCCTTCACTGGCCAAACCCCCGCACTCCACCGCCGAAGCGACGCAGCTAACAAGCCCAAGCCGCGACAAGAGAGTCTGGGCAGCCTCGACGAGTTTGAAATCGACGAAGACGCTTTCAGACGCGCGCAGGAGGAGGAAGCGAAGAACCGCCTCGAGCGCGTGCGCGAAGTCAAGAGGGGACTTGTGCAGTTCAAGGGCTGGCGACCTGATCTCGTTGATGTACGAGTGGGTATGGGTGGTGTTTTTGAGATCTAGAAAATAGATGACACACACACACACACACACACACACACACACACAAATGCCATAAACAATACTCTAACCATTTACTAGCCTACTCATGCTTATACATACTGGCGTATAGAGTGTTGGGCTTGTTGAACATAGCCATGTGAATTATCAGGGTCACATGTGTTTTCTAAAGTCGTAACAGTGGACTCCACTGTCAGACGTCTCAAGTTGGACATTAATGGCAAGGATATACCCAAGAAAGTGACACTCTTTCCCTGACCAGGCTAGAGTCTCAGCCTTCCTTCCTTCCTTCTTCCTTCCTTCTCCTTTCTACAGCATGAATATGTCCGGCTGACAGACCGTGTAATGCACTACTTTTTGAAACCACGGGGTGCTTCTTTTTTTGTATAGGCTAAACATGTGTTACGACTTTTAAAGAAAAAGTCACTTTATTTCTTACTGTCAAGGTCCACCGCATATACGTATCTTGTATAACTATATATAGTTATATATATTTAGTGTAGTTATTCTGTTTTGTTTTGGAATTCTATAAACTTGGATGTTCCTTGCCGTAATGTGAATGCAAAAAGGGACTATAACAAGCTTTGATATCGATGAGAAGCAAGACCGGAAGGGAAGGACATAGTGTGTGTGTGAACTGGCATAACATGATGTTGAACAAAGAATATAAAATTCTCACGTCTAAAATTCCCCAGATAGCTGAAAACTAAAAACTCTAAAAAAAAAACGTTGCCCGCACTGGGTCGTTGCACTACATTGATCCGCGAGCCATTTCTTTATAAGAAACGGGTCTAGACGATGAAATAATCTATGGGAGCGCGCGCCCAAAAAAGGTGTAGTAGTAGAAAACTTGAGTTTTGATATAATAACTCGGCTCGAGAAAAGGCCGGCAAAGTGTTGTAAAATAGCTTACAAAACAAGTGCGCCACCGAAAAGCGAAGAGGCAAGCACAACCGCACCGCAGACAATGGGCGCAAGACCAAAGCTCATAGGACGCACATTAGCAGCCGCGCCAGGAGAGTTGGCGGGGGAGCCCGAAGAAGTAGGCGTCTTGCCTCCAGAGGTAACAGCACCGGCGCCCGCATCACCAATATCCGGGGTGGAAGAACCCGCATCCTGCGAACCGTCACCCTTGAGACCAGGACCATCACCAGCGCCCTTGTTAAAGAAATCCTTGGCACCATCAGGCAGGCTGGGCAACTCGTTGCTCTTGAGCGTAACATCCCAGGTCTTGGACTGAGAGGGGCACTGCGATGCCTGGCCGTTGGCGAGGTAGCCGCCGTCACCGGTGGGGTTGGGGGTACCCGCGAAGGCGGACTTGAGGGCGGTGAAGTCGGGGAGTTCCTTGACCGAGCCGCCGTTGATCTCGACGAGGCCGTATTTGGACTCTTCTTGCGAGTACTCGTAGACGAGACCGCCGCTGTAGGACTTGGTCATCTTGGGATCGTAGAGAGCCTTTACTTCTTCGAATTTGCGCGTGTTGGTGTTGCAGCCGTACTCGGAGAGGCTTTTCGTAATGTTAGAAAATGCTGGTGCTTGTTTTATGTGTAAAGGGGAACTCACAAAATGGGGATGCTGTAGTTGGCGAACTTTTGTACCTTGATGTTCCAGCCAGACGTCTGGTACGAAGAGGGATCGCACCAGGAGTAGTCGTTGAAACCGAAAAAGTCGCTGCGGACAGAGTCGTCGCCGCAGTTCATGTAATCGGCCATCTCGTAGCGGTTGGACTCAACGTCGGCGGCGGAGTAGCCGACGGGGACCTTGCGGAGACCACGGGCGTTCATGTACGACTTGAGGTCACGAGTGACGGCCTTAACGTAAGGAGCGCAGTCAGTCGTCTTGTCATCGTTGATGACTTCGTTGCCAGAGAAGAACAACAGAGTGTTGTCGTACTTGGAGAACATCTCGACGGTAGCGAACAAGCTCTGGAGGTAGACCTTGTTGTACGACTTCTGAGGGTTCGCACGGTTGATCGAGTACTTGGGCGTGTTGACATCGAGAGCCAGGTAGATGCCAGCGTCGGCGAGGAGACCCATGCAGGTGTCGTGGTTAGCACTGTTGTCAACAGTGTAGACACGGACGGTGTTGATGCCGAGCTCCTTGAACTTGGAGATGTCACGCTTGCAGCCCTCCTCATCAGCAATGGGGTCCTTTGCGTCGGATGCACCACCGGGCTGGTAGTCAACACCACGGATGTAGAAGCGCTCGTTGCCGGCCCAGAAAGCTAGCTTCAGTCAGCAATCGCAGCGATGGCTCAATCCCCAAAGAATGACATACCGTTTCCCTTGACGGTCACTGGGGTGATCTTGGAAGCACGCTTCTGCTCTGTCGGCTTGGCAGCAGCAGTAGCCGCTAGAGCGACTGCGAAGATGTAGGTCTTCATGATGCTAAATTTGTGGCGGATGATGCGGATTACGAATGGTCTTTCAGTTCAATAGAGAAAGCAAGCGAGTGCAGAGGAGGAAAGCGTAGTCGGGGATACAGCGAGCAAAAGCAACTCCCGTATAAAACGAGTGTACGAAGTTGCAATGGAAATTAGGTGAAAGTGAAAAGGGAAGAAACAAAGGTGGTTGTAGCTAGAGAGAAAGCGACAGACACAATGAAGGGTTATCAATGAACAAGGACGGGGGGAGGAAAGTCCACAAACAAGATTAATACCACTGGCGCCAGCCCCAGACAGTGACAGACGCAGAAGGCGACGCGTCCAATTTTAGTGGGACATACGTCTGGCCCCGCTGATTGGCCATATGAGCCCGTTACAGAAAACGCCAACCCCTGACTAAGGCGCCAAGATTCACTCAAGCGCAGACTAGGGCCCCCAGTAAGCTCTTCCAAGCCGTGGCAACGATGCTTGGATCGACTGCCCGTCATCCTTCTCCCTATGACCAAAAAAAAAGAGTGGGAACGAGACACGCGTTTGTACGTCAATCACTTCTCTGTTGTCGACTACATATCTCCTCCCCACCTTTTTTGTTGTTGCAACGGCCGATCGGAATACACTATGCAGGCATTACCCTCCCCCTTGTATTGTCGTCACCCTACCTGGCGCCATTTTCCCTCGGGCCCGAGATTAGCTTTCCTGGGAAAAAACACCGGAGGGCTTGTTAGTAGCATTTTTCTGCACGAATGCATCGGGAAATGATGACATGTTCCCGATGTCAATGAAAATTACCTGCATGTAATCATGCAACTTGCAAACTGGGTCGTGGAACACTTATTTTTTGCCTGCTGTGGGAAGGTGCCAAAACACCGATATGCTTGGTTTCAGCTTCCATACGTCGAGATCCACTTTTGTTGCTGATCGAATGATGCTCAGTGGTTCTTGCGATGCGGTGCCTTTCGTCATCGTGTTTTATTTGAAGCCGCATTGAGCGTCCCTGACTATCCGTATTTTAAACTATAGGGTTGGGGGGGGGGGTGTTACGAGCTGTGATGAGAAATGCGGCACTTCTGCACATGGCAAGGTAAGTAGTGTACACGTGCATACGACCCTTCGCATTTGGACAGGGCTATCAAATACCTCCATAAACTAGATGCATATCTCTACGTCGAGCTTTTGCGCTAGAAAAGACCCGTTGTCGAATATTTTGGCATGGTCATCTATAACCTCACTGCACGCACAAGGACCACTCCCGTACCAAACACCCCCCGAATCCATCGTCACATGCGATAGCACCATTAATGATCCCACATCGTATCCTCAATCCCACCAAAAACACACAGCCACACGACCCTACCCAAAAAAAACCACCGCTTCCACACGCGACCTCGCCACCGCCGCTTCCCCAAGCGACCCAAAAATAGCCACTCGTTCCCCGCCACTAACTAGACTGCTACTAAAATACGACAAGCGCCACCTCGTGTCTTCCACCACACTATCGGTGCAACTATTGCCATGCAACTATCGCCATGCGCCTCCCTCGTTTTAATAATCTCGTAACCGTGTTTTCGCCTTAATCGTCTACACCTAGTGTTATTGCAAGAGAGAGATAGAGAGAGCATGTGGTCATCGGATCCTATATATGTCCATACTACAATTTCTGGAACCCCACCTACAGCGCTTCCATCGACAAACGAACGAGTACTAGATTTATGTTAGTCTTCACATTCCCTATCACGAGTAGTTATTCAACTTGTTACCGGATACCCACGATTCGCATCTCTTCGCTCTACACAGCACCCAGCACAGACGTGACATCGTATTGTCGTCATCTCAGAATTAATTACTTTATTATTATAGTTAATATAAGAAATAAAAAAAGGGTTAAAAAAGGAACCATATAAGCCCCTCAGCATTTATCCCATAGCCATAGCCATACCCATTCATACCTCATTCCCTCATATCCCCCATTCCCATTCCCATAAGCCCGTTATGTACATACGTTATCACCGCCATCACCAATATACCCCCTAGTACACCTGCTATCCTACCTAATTCTTTTTCACTTCTTCAGTCCAAAGTAAAGTCCCAGCACGAGCGCGATAACGCACAGAATGGCAATGACAGTAAGAAGAATGTACCATTTGAGTTTCCGCGCGCGCCTCGCAGACTTGATACCCTCTTCTAGCTGCTTGTTTGCGTTTTCCGTGTCGTCTTTGACCTGAACGGTTTGCTGCTCGGCTTGCTGGATTTGCGGTTCTTGGTACATGACTTGCTCGTTGAGTTGGGTGAAGAGGAGGGCGAGCTCGCTCATTGTCTTTTCGATGCGCTGGATGTCGTTGTGGCGGGCGCGGACGGCGCCGAGGACGCTTGCTGCTTGGCCGCTGCGGTTTGATTTGAGCTGTTGATATGTTAATTGGGGCATATCTTGCTATGCGGCTTTTGGTTTGCACTTACAGCTTGGGTGAAGATACCCTCGTCGCCCAAGTCGGCATTGGCTACCTCTTCGACTTCGGCATCCGTAGCATCTGGGTTGATGATGCGGTACTGCCTTCCAATAGCCTCCCGGTACCTCTTGGAATAATCAGCCTCCTCCTTCTGAAAGTCCTCGAGCTGGCTCTTGAAGGTCCTTTTGAGCGCCTCGACCTGAGACCTCTTTGTCCTATCATTGGGGTCGCGCAAGGCGTCCTTCTCCAGAAACTTGATCTCGTCCTTGATTTGTGTGTTCCTGATCTGCGTGTTGGTTACAATGGCCTCGAGTTCGGCACTGGAGCGGTTGTCGGGCGAGGAGAGCATGCGCTGGTGAATATTGGCAATAGCTTGGATGTCCGAAGTAAGCTGACCGATGCGCTGCTTTGCGCCTTCAATGCGCGTGAAGAAATCATCTCGGCTCAAAGGCTGGGACCCGGGCGCCTCGATGGTGTTGCCTTGGCCAGGCAAGCCGTTGAGGGGCACGTCTGTATGAGGGACGTTTTGCCCATTCGTTTGCGCTGGGCTCAAGGCACCAGCCTGCGAATATTGCGACGGCTGCGAGTAATTGGACTCGCCATGGCGCTGGAGAGGTGCTGGAGGGTTTAGCTGCTGTTGCGGCTCGTCATACTATGCTGTCGTATTAGTCTTGTCTTGTCGTGTTATGGGATGCGACTACTTACACCTCCGCTGTATGGGTTGGACGAGCCATAGCCGCCGCTCCCGCCGTATGGATTCGAATGCGCACCGTATTCTTCGGCCTGGCCGTAGGGATTCCCACCGTATTGCTGGTAATTCTGCGACATGTCGGAGATTGCTGGGGTAGCTTGGTAGCGAGGAGAAGCGATGGTTTCGGGATGCCGCGGTGGAGCTGAAAGAACAACCGCGGAAGCTACGGAAGAGAAGTGCCGTTGGGGTGCAGGCTTGGCTGCCTTGCGATGCTTGTATAAGCCGAAGCTGACAGCTTAAGAATCAAGATGTAATCGACTCGAGGGCTTAACAACAATTATCTCGAGCCTGTCGCGAGCTTGTTTTGTTGTGGGGAGGCCAGGAAGTTAAATGACTGCGAGACCCTGTTGAACCCGCCCAGCCTTCTGAGCCGCGCATAGTCACGTCACCAATGTGACGGGAACAGGCAAACTCCCGAGGCATGCTCTCTTTCCAACATTCCCCCAGTGACATCTGCACGTTGCGACCGCAATGCGAATGCACACACATATGCCTTTGGCAGATTTAGCGTGCTACTATGCTTCTGAGACAACGCACACATTGAGGCCACAGTCTTACGATCATTGTTCTTGGACCTATCTTGAGAGTCTGACATGTGACGTAACGCTGATCACCCAATCCATCTCTGTTAGGTAATCTACAAGGCGATTCAGTATCTCGAACCTTATTACCGAAAGCTCTTGTCCATGTGCAACATCCTCAATTGTTCAGCTTCGAAGCGATATGCAAAGAATCCTAGAGTTATGCGCCTGCTTTTTTGGTACCTGACCTTGCGCAAAAGGGAAAAGCACGAACCCTCCAAAAAGTAAAGGAAAACCACCATCATTTCTTTTCTATCAAAAAGAACAGAAAGTGCATAGGCCCACATTTTCCCATATCCTACGGTAGTCAAAAGGAAAAACATTACAAAACCACTTTAGCAAGTCCCTTCTACTTCCTTGTACTGTCCCCATTACTGCCCCCACTACCGTTCGCGCCCCCAACCATACATGTCCTCGCATCCTCGAGCTCAGCTACGACTCTCTCCTCCAACTCACTCGGCGCATCCTCTCCCTTGCCCTTGGCGCGATTCAACATGTCCAACTCCTTCTCATCAACCGCAACAAGACGTTCTCTAAGCGCGCTCTTACGCGATAACCAACTCTCAACATCTTCTTTGACGGCATCCTTTTCCCATTCCAAAAGCGCCACTTCGTTGGCCTGAATACCTAGCTTAGGCCCTTGTTTGCGCACGTTTTCTAGGATCGCGGCGATAAGGGCCAAACTGTGTATTTCAGACGCTACAGAAAGCGTGACCTTGTTGCTGTTGGCTGCGAGACGAGACGATGAATTCGACGAGTTGATGCTTGATGCCGAGCGGGCCAACTGTTCAGGAAATTGGTTGAGGAATGAGGAAATCTCACCAGCAATGGGGGGCCCGACGGATAAGAGGAGGTTGAGGCAGAGGGGAAGGATTCCCTTGGTCCAGACAGAGTACATGCGAACCGGGCTGTCAAAGGGACCAGTACCGTTTACTCGACGGTAGTAGTTCATAATGTTTGCAGTGTTGAGTTGGCTGAGGATACCTTCAACAGCCATGGTCTCAGCTAGAGCTTGAATACTGGATAGCGAGAGCAAGAAGAGGATGCTTAGCTCGCCGTAGATAGGATCGTCTATGCCGTTGTGTGATATTGCTAGGCGATCGGCCCAGGAAAAAAGGCTGGTGGCGTAGCGTACTGTGTTGTTGTTTGCAAAGAGAAGCGCTGCTTGTTGCTGCCACTTGGACATTTCTGGTATCGCGATGATGCGCTGTAGCAGCGCGGTAAGAAGAGCAAAGTCTGATGGCAAGACGGACAAGGGTTCCGCGTGTAGCTGTGTGGCCAAGCTACGGAACCCCTTGGCTACTGTATCGGTCAGAATTTCGAGAAGCTGTGTGGAAATGGGTTCAGTGTAGCTGTTGTGACTGCTCGGCATAGTGCCACGGAAGCTTGAGCGGAACGAGGCATCGCTAGACTGGTCGGTATCCTCAATCAGATGGAAGTGAAGAGCGAGGTAGAGGATCCGTAGCAAGGACCGGTAGTAATGGACCGAGTCGCTGGAGAAGACACTATCGAAGTCCGGAGTAGAGGCGCGAATGGCGCTCCATATTGGGCTGAGCAATTGACGCGCTTCTGTAGTTCGGACCTTAGCCTCTACGAGTTTCTTCAGTAAAGCAAATGCCAGATCCGCTCGCACAACCATGAGCTGACCAAACAATGCTTCCGGGAGGTTTGACTGGGTATTGGCAGCCATGCACTTTTGAACAACACCGATGAGGACCTTGACGATTCGCTCGTCCTTTGCTACCACCTGGCTAAGCTCCAGAGCCAACAGTTTCCAGCCGTGAAGTAACAAGACTTGGGATTCTACGAGTCCTAGGTTGTAGTTTGCCTTCTCGACTTCAGATGCGAAACCCGTGCCCTCCCTAGGGCCAGCCCACTTGCTGTTGAAACCCAGGAGTTGCTGAGCAAGATCAATGTCATAGAAGAATGCCCGTCCAAAGGTCTCAGGGTACAAAGTGGTCCGCTTGAGGTTTGCTAGAGAGACACCAGGGTACTGTTGCTCCAGGTTCTGCTTCAAATATCCGTGCAGCGACGTACTGTAAGATGGCAGATCCAAAGCGGTATCTTCCAAGTACGTCAAGCTGGGAACGATATCTTTCAGTACGGTAATGTCACCGACCTGGCGCGAGCTATGAAGGTACATGGCAATGACCTCACAGGCGAGAGATGCGAACTTGTTTTGGAACGATCGCTCCAGTGTCTCTTCATTGCTGCTCATTCGCGGTTGTTTAGACTGCTTTGCCATCCATTTGAGGAATGTGAGCAACTTCTGAATCAAGTCCTTACGCTGCCGTAAGTCGCCCATTGCCCATGACCAGTTGTTTTGCGCTGAAGAAACGAACTCGAGCATGGCTGTAAATAGCGGCCATGAAACGCCAGCAGGTTCCTTTTCTGGGAGAGTCATATTAGACAATGCATCGAAAGCTCGTGTGAGCAGGGCTTTGTTCCTTGAATCCTGGGCCACGTTTCTTTTGCTTCGAATGGTTTCTCGTGGAGTGCTTCCGGTAAGCAAATACAGAGAGAACCACTGCTGCTTGCACGTTACTACAGCTGAAAGTAAGTTCCACACGTTCCGTTGGATGTCCACGATCTTTAGTGGCTCATCTAGTCGAGAAAGCACACTGAGGAAGTTCTTCGCAGTTCGTGGCCCCAAATGGCCTAGTAGCGAAGGCGGTTCTCGCTGCTCAGTCTTCTTGTCGGCCGTTTCTGAATCTTCTTGGGTGGTAACACGGACCGCGCCACGGACCAGAGCTTCCAACAACAGCACAACCTGGGACTTCCACTTGTCACTCGTGGCGTACAGTCGGGCGAGTAATGGTGTTGCTTTAAAGAGCTGTTGCTCCATATGGGTCCAGGGCTTGTTAAGTAGCATAGCAATTCGGACAAGTAGGTCGGCGAATGCCAAGGTGCTTTGGGTCTGTTGAGTCCATAGTGCACCTGAAGTTGTGAGCAAGGTGTTGTCGTTGGGGCTGACCCCGATGATCAAAGATGTCATGAGCGGGTTTGTAGGCAGGTTGGTGTCGGAGCCAGCAAGATAGAGTTGAGTGAGATATTCAGCGATAGGTGCAATCGATTTCGTGAGCTTGGTAGACAGCTTTGGCGCATCGTCTACGCTGTATGCAAGACTCAAGATTGTGGTAAAGACTTCGCAAATGGCAGTGTTGATTTCGGGACGGTGGTCCAGCTGCGAGTACTTCCAGTTGAGCGAGTTCTCGTATATACTGGCAAGAGTGCGACCAAAAGTGAACAGAATGGTGCTCATAATCTTGTCCGAAGTACCGCTGTCGGCGGGAGCCGATGCATTGAACCGACTGAGCGCCTTTGTGGGAACTTTGCGGGACACCGATCGATCGACAGCATCTTTGACAAGACCCTTGTAGAGTCGAATACATCCAAGAAGGAAGTCGTATCGTCCAAGAACCATCTCAGTGCTGATTAGGATGGTTGCCAAGCTTCCGTTGCCATCGCCCTCCAATAACCTGCTCCTGGCGAGCCATGGCCATACTCTTTGAGGGGAAACAATGACCAAAGCTTCTAAGAAATGAGTGCAGTTGACCAATAGCTCCAAAGATACCTCGTTGCTGGGTTCCTGACAGAGATATAAGAGTTCTTCTTCGAAAATAGCGAGCACAATGTTAATAGTGTCTACACTACCCTCAGCTCCGATACCAATTGCCTCTAGAAGCTCAGGTGAGCAGATACCCTCGGACGAGTGCAAGGATGAGTGTATCAGGTCAGCAAAAAGGCCAATGATTTCTACGACACTCTCACGAGACGCGGGTTGCTGGGTAGCAGTCTCCACTTTGCTGCTTCCGACGGGATATGTCGAGAGAAGTTCGACAAGATATGACAAGGTAGAGTGCTGGTGATGCCAGACAGCTACATATGGCTGTGAATTGTCGTCAACTATAATGCCTTCTGTGCCAGCCGGAATAGTGGAGAAGCCGTGTGCGTTTCTGAAAGTGCCCGAGGCCATCAAGCGACGCTGGGCACCAAAAGTGGATGAGCCTGCAGAAGAAAACAAGGGGAGATCAGCGGTAAGTTCTACCCAATTGGCATTCTCCTCTTCACGCGTTAGCTGGTAGTCACGGAATCCATCTGGAAGGCGTTGCATCAAGCGGTTGTGGTTCGCAAGCTTATCAACAAACGAAGGCATGCCGTTCTGCATCGTCTTATCTCCACGAGTCAATGCGCTGCAGAATTTCAGAAATGGTGTCATCTCATAGGGATATCGCAAACGGGCTTCGTTGAGCAACATCGGCCTGAGGATGTATTCGTCCTCAAGGAAGTATGCCACAATCGGATCGGCATGTCGGGAGAATTGACCATTGTCCCACCGGCGAAACGTGCTATCGCCAGCCAGAATAGTGTACGTTGTGACAATGAGATCTGGACTATATGCAACAATCTCGCTCCCAACAGCAGCGCGAACTACGTGAAGGAACAGCAATCGAACTCTGTCCTGAGATATCCGATCAATGGACGTGCCGAACGCAGGGAGACTGGCTTCGACAAGCTGGTTGATGATGGCTAGGACACCTGCTGCTGAGCTGACGGTAGCAAGGTCTTCGTATGGCATCTTGCCGTCGAACAGCTCGTGGTTCTCGAGTTTTGTAATTACCAAAGCAGCCTCCTCAAGGGATGAGGGCTCGGATTCGGTGTTTCCGATGCCATTTGATGATTCGAGGAGACGGTCGCGCTCTTGTTCCTCGTAGCTCGCACGGCTCGTAAGTTTCCACGTTACGAGGGCCCAGGCAAACATGGGTGGTGTGGCAGGACTGGCACCCAATACCTTGGCCTCTCCGAATATGGTCGTGATGGTCTCCACAACATTGGTGTTTAAGATGTACGACGAAGAATGCCAGGTGTTGCAATCGCCAGATTCGAGATCGTCCATAATCTTGTCGACCTTCAAGATAGTCAGGGACATGAGTGAAGTCAAGAGTTGAATGACGGGGATAAGAGGCTCCTGGCGAGCGGTGACTGCGGGGAATTCACGAAAGAAGCCGCGGAAACTAAAGGCCTTGAGCCAGTCTTCAATCGTGGCGGCCGGAAGGAAGTCTTTTGCAACCAAATCGGCATGTACTAGTGCCAAGTGGAGAATGTGTAGCAACTCGGTGGTTTGGGCAACGACCCACTTCTCGGATGCTGCTTCGAGTATTGAATCATCCACATTCCACGCATAGCCGGTATCCAAGGACTCGCATCTCTTTGAAAATGCCTTGAGGCATTCGTCTAGCGCCTTTCCCCCCGAGGATCCGTCCTGTACTGCCGCGATAGTCTGGCCGAGCTCTTCAATCCATCCGGCGCCAATGCTGAGGTATTCGGTGCCATATATGGTCTGATTGCGCAGATTGGATGCGCAGCCCCACGAGACCAGAAGCTGGCTTATGCGAATGATGGAGGCACAGGTCGAGTGGTAGATGTCGAGGATGTGCAGACGGCGCTGGTTCTTCGTATCGAGGTGGGCGGTCTTGGAAGCGAGCGGTGTTGCGAGGAGGGACGAGTTTGGGACAAAAGTCGAGGCGCCTAGGTTGGCGATTCCGGCCGCGTCTTGCACACTGAGCGCCTCCTCTTCCGTCAGGCCACTCAGCAGCTGGGCGGCAGGGCGACCCTGCCATTCCTGCACAACAAGCTGCAAGGCTGCGTATTCTGAGATTTGCGCTTCCTTGGCCAGCCACAGGCTGTCTTCTTTGATCTCCTCTACATCATAGTGGTCGCTTTGCGCGGGAGTGACGCTGATGGGCGCTGTCTTGGATTCAAACTTTGACTTTTCCTGCGACGACGGGTCTGGGAAGGGCCGCCATGGGTGGGTGAGGGTGTCGATGTTTTCCTTGGTGGAGAGGAAGGCGCGTAGGGCGTCGCTTTTGGACGCGGTTGCAGGGTCACAGAGGGCGCGGTATGCGACGTCCCAGGTGCTGGAAGAGTGTGTTAGAAGGGTGGTGGGTGGTGGAGAGAAAGAGTGCGAGGCGGTAAACATACACCAGCTGCTGCTCGCCGTTGAGGCACTTTGCCAGGTCGAAGTCGGGCGATTGAAGGGGGGCCATGTTTGCGCTGGGGTGCGCGACGTGTAGGCCAGCTAGCCAAAGGCCATGAAGGGGGTGTTGGGGCGCGGGTGGGCAATGGCCGTCTGTTTGGCGTCGACGTGAATGTCTGTATGGAATGTCTGCAGTCGCCAAACCTAAAGCTCACGCGAAAGTCGGGCTAGCACGTGCAGGGATCAGGACCACCCAACTTTGCCCTCTACGTACATTACACATGGCCATGGCATGCTTTCGTCTCAACACGCCGGCACAATGTAGTGAAGTGTAGTGCAGTGTCATGCAGTATAGTCGCATTCCGTTGCCTGTGTATTGTACATGTGTGCAGCACACCCTGCCCAACTGCCGTGATTTTCTTGCCCTGCAATGGCACCCAGGACTAATGCGTGTCACCTCCGTGTTAACTCCGCAGCCTCAATATACATCTCATTGACACATCCTTGACTCACCTCACCCCACCGCACTGCCCGCCCATACACTCTTTTCCACCGAGCCTCCGGCAACTGCGTAATACCCTCCTCCACCACCTGCATCCCACCTCAACCCCCCGCCAAATACAACGTGTATCGCCGGCAAAGCACCGAAATCTTGTGCCGTTGCCCAAGTGCCGGAGGCGGCCCCGATAAAAAAGCTATATACCACCTTTCCTGGCCCGTTGTCGGAACAGTCTTACTGCCTCCCCCTAAAATGTCATCCCTCAACTTGATTGACCACTCACCTCGCAATCCCAACCCCTCTCCGCCGATACCCACCGCCTCCAATGTGATCCTTATAGACAACTACGACTCTTTCACTTGGAACGTCTATCAGTACCTTGTCTTTGAAGGCGCATTCGTAACTGTCTTTCGCAATGACGAGATCACCCTTGATGAGCTTATCGCGAAGAAGCCCACTCAACTTGTCATCAGCCCAGGTCCCGGGCACCCAGAAAAGGACGCTGGCATTAGCAATGCAGCCATTAAGCACTTCAGTGGCAAAATTCCGATTTTGGGCGTGTGCATGGGAGAGTGAGTTCCTGCCCTTTTCTTTTCCATCGGTTGAATCTTGTGTTTGGCATTCGTTGTATAGTTTCGTTGAACAATACCACTGCATACTATCACGAAGCCTTGTATGGCGTGAATGGCACGTTATTAACACACTATAGACAGTGCATCTTCTACAGCTATGGCGGCACCGTAGACGTTACTGGTCAGATTCTCCACGGAAAAACATCTCCTCTCAAGCACGATGCCAAGGGTGTGTTCTCAGGCGTGCCCCAAGATGTGCCAGTTACTAGGTATCATTCTCTTGCTGGCACTCACGGCACGCTTCCAGACTGCCTTGAGATTACTGCAACCATCCCCGCAAATGCAGACGCTGAGATCAAGGAGGTCATCATGGGTGTTCGCCACAAGGAGTATGTGATTGAAGGCGTGCAGTTTCATCCAGAGAGCATTTTGACCGAGCATGGGCGTCTCATGATGAGAAACTTTCTCAAGATGCAAGGAGGCACGTGGGTCGAGAATGACCGACTGCAGAAAGAGGCACACGCCCAAGCAATTGGAGCTGCTTCTAACGATACAGCTAACGGCGCAAAGAAGGACAAGCAGACCTCCATCTTGGAAAAGATTTACGATCACCGCAGGGCAGCCGTTGCTGAGCAGAAGAAGATCCCTTCTCAAAGACCTGTTGATTTGCAGGCTGCATATGACCTCAATTTAGCCCCGCCGCAAATCAACTTTCCGGAGCGTCTTAGACAGTCTCCTTTCAGACTCTCGCTCATGTCCGAAATCAAGCGTGCGTCGCCTTCCAAAGGCATTATTTCGCTGTCGACGTGTGCACCTGCTCAAGCCAGATTATATGCCAAGGCTGGTGCTAGCACCATTTCTGTGCTCACAGAACCCGAATGGTTCAAGGGTAGCATCGAGGACCTCAAGGCCGTTCGACAAAGCATCGAAGGCATGCCCAATCGGCCTGCCGTGCTGCGCAAGGAATTCATCTTCGACGAGTACCAGATCCTCGAGGCTAGACTTGCGGGTGCCGATACCGTGTTGCTAATTGTCAAGATGCTAGAAGAGCCAGTCTTGAAGAAGCTCTACGACTACTCCAGGTCACTTGGAATGGAGCCCCTGGTTGAGGTGCAGAATGCTGACGAGACTGAGATTGCGGTCAAGTTGGGCGCCCAAGTCATCGGCGTGAACAACCGGAACCTAGTAAACTTCGAGGTCGACATGGAAACAACGAACCGCTTGATCAATATGGTCCCGAAAGAGACGATCTTGTGCGCGCTAAGTGGCATCGCTGGCCCCAAGGATGTAGAGCCGTACATCAAGAGTGGAGTTGGTGCAGTCTTAGTTGGAGAAGCGCTCATGCGGGCGTCAAACACTGCGCAATTCATTTCAGAGCTTCTAGGTGGAACCACTACTAAGGGAGTTCGGGCATCTTCTGGTCTAATGGTCAAAATATGTGGGACACAAAGTGCAGAGGCTGCCGTAGCTGCGGTCGAAGCGGGAGCTGATCTTATCGGCATTATTCTTGCTCCTGGACTTAAACGAACAGTAACAGCAGAGACGGCCCTTGCGATATCTGAAGCAGTTCATAAAACCAAGAAGCCGAATGTCTCAAAATCAGGACTCCTGGCCGACTCAAAGACCGCGTCCGACTTTTTTGATCATGGCGCATCACGGCTTGTTGGAAACAATAGTCGTGCGCTGCTCGTAGGAGTCTTCCGTAATCAGTCGCTAGAGTATGTGCTTGAGCAGCAGCAATTGCTGAATCTGGATGTTGTGCAATTGCACGGCCAAGAGCCAGTCGAGTGGGCGAAGCTTGTCCCTGTTCCTGTTCTGAAGGCATTTAACCCGCGAGACCATGGCATCGGCACAAGAGGTTATCACGCTCTTCCCTTGCTAGATGCTGGTTCGGGAGGCTCTGGCCAGCAACTGGGATTGTCAGACGTCAAGGCAGTATTTGCCAAGGATGATGGCATCAAGGTCATACTAGCAGGAGGCTTGAACCCAGACAATGTGCAGACGACGCTCGCTGGGCTTGATGAGTACCGAGACCGGGTCTATGCAGTTGATGTCAGCAGTGGTGTTGAGGAGGATGGTCAGCAGAGCTTGGACAAGATCCGTTCATTTGTGAAGGCGGCTAAGAGTTTGTAGACAAGTCTCATGAAGACGCATTGTTGACAAGGTATCTAGATCGAGGCTTTTCACTTAAATAAAACGTATTTAACAACACCTTGCTTCTGGATTTTGAATGATGTGATGCAATTTTGGTGTTTCAACTTGGCCTCGATGCTATCTTGTATTGGTGTATGGGACAGTTTGTCGTGAAAAATGCGGTCTGAGGAGGGTTGATCGTGTGAGTGCGCAATGGTGTTCTACCTTGTAGCCGCAGCGTCATCGCATAGACAGACCCAGTATCACCCTGAGCACTGTAAACCACCACAAGGTAAAATAACTCCCAGAGATGATGCAATCAACTCTGAGACACGTAGGCGGTGACCTCGTCCATATCGATACTATTACCATCTCTTCGACACCACTGTCCAGAGTACTCCTCCTCCACCCCAATATCCACAATGGGTATCCTAAAGAACCTCATCATCGCCACAACAGGCACCCATATCTACCTGCCCAAACAAATCCAAGGCTGGATCGAACGCAATGGCGGCCGCTACTCACCCACCGTCCACGAAGGAGTCACCCACCTCCTCGCTAGCGAAGTAGCGTACAAATCCAAACAACGCACTGAAGCAGTGCACCAAGCACTCTCACTCGGTATCCAAATCCTCAGCTACGACTGGCTCGACGACTCTTTGAACGCTCGCAAGAAACTCCCTGTCAAGAGTTATGTGCGGGAAGTTCTGAGCGACAAGCGGCGCATGGCTAAGAAACTGAAGAGACTTGGGGCTGAGGCTGATGGTAAGAAGTTTCGGGAGGGATGTGAGGAGATTATGAAGTTGACGGGTTCAGGTACGTGTAAGACTTCTACTGGTACTAGACGTAAGCCGAGGAAGAGTAGGAGTTTTTTCTTTTCTTCGCCTTCTTCTTCTTCGGCGCCTACTTTTGTACCCGTACCTCCTACACCCTTTGTCTCCGCAAAAGAGGATCTCCTGCGTAGAAGAACGGAGCGAGCAACAGCGCTGCAAGACGCTGAAGTGAAGGATACTTCAAATCCCCCAACGTTGAGCACAATACCCACATCTACCACTCTTTCTTCCGCACCGAATGATTCGAGAACACAAGCTAAATCCCACCGGAAAGCCGAATACCACTACTACCAAGACACCACGGGTTTCGATTACAAAATCACTCTAATCCAAAGTGACATTTCCAACAACATCACCGCAAAATACCACATCGGCCTGCTGGAAAGCCACACGAAACCGCATACGTACTGGGGCCTGGCACAGTATCAACCCGTCGAAGTCACACCGACTTCACCCTTACCCACCACCATCAGCTCAACCTCCCCCACGACCGACCATAAGAACCCAGACATAACCCGCGTAGAATCAGAAAAATCCTGCCTCCTCTCCCTCATCTCTCCCCCACCCCCTAACCCCACCACGTCCTTCACAAACCCCCTCTGCCCCCGCAACGCTTCCTTCGCGATAGCCTGGCGCTCCTTCCGCCACGCCTTCCACGACCTAACCCTCATACCCTGGGAATCCCGCTTCGACGCCCACGCCACCTCTCTGCAAAAGCGCGAAGCCGCAAGGTTGGATGTCGAGCCGTATAGGTATGTGAGGCCGAGGTTGGGTATGCCGGTTGGGGTGTTTCCGCAGGCTGGGGATTTATTTACGTGTGGGGAGAAGTATGTAAGGGGTACAGTTGGGATTGCGTTGTTTGAGGGGGAACTGGATGAGAATGGGGCTTTTGGGGCGGTGGTGGTGAGGGAGAGGGAGAGGGAGAGGGTTGAGGAGGAGAGGAGGAGGATAGGAGGGGTCGAGGTACAGGAGGGAGAGAAGAAGAGGAAGAGAGAGGGTAGGCTAGGGGATGGGGTAGACGGGAGGGGCTTTGTTGCGCCGGAGTTTGCGCATTTGTTGAGGGGGGTTGGGGGGAGGAAGTGAGGGGGATGTATGGGGAGGGGAAATTGAGAGTTGGGAGGGAAGGAGATGAAGTTTGGCTTTTGTACTGGTGATTCTTCTATCTCGTCTTTTTATGTGGTTAGGTCAGGGAGTTTTTGAGAGTTTGCTTTTAGTACGGAGTTGGGCTGTCTTCGGGGGTTTGCTGGGAAGATCCCTTTTCATGATATGGCTCATTTAAAACCTACGGAGATATTCTCTAATCATATTCTGCATCTATGACATTCTCACTCTTATGTTACGGCCAGATGCCATCTCACTCGATGAAGAAATAAACCCAGAACAGATGGTAGAGACGGAACACCATGCATGCTCGTCTAATTTTCCCAAGGTAACGCCCCCTCCTATCCCAAACAAACCCAAAAACGCCGATACGCCCCCGTCATTATCTATTCCTGACTCGTACGACTCAACCCATGAAATCACTACCATGCCGGCTCATCAGAGATACTAACTTGATTCGTTGCGTCAATAGCGATATGGACGAATGCATCGTTTTTGGACTCCGTGTCAGTATCGAAACCCCCATCTCCCTCAGTACGCTCGTTGGCTATTTGCTGTTCTGTACGTTCTTGGCGGAGCGATTCGCGAGAGCGTCTAATATCTTCTTGAACAGTTGTTGTTGGGTCGGCAAAGCGGTGGTGGGGTTTTAGTGGCGAGCTAGGGATTGGCGAAGCGGCGATTGCTTTGTTTTCTCGCGAGTCATTTTCTCTTGAGGAAGATTCAGTTTTTGGGTTGTCATCTTTGGTGCCCTCGTTTCCCTCGTCATCAACTTGGGGAGTGTACTCCTCGCCTGGGATTTTGCGGTTTCTGAGGATCAAGTAGAGATCGTGCAGTGACTGGCGGATGTTGTAGATAGTCTCTAGTTGCGATCCGGAGAGGAGCAATTTCAAGACCATGTTTAAGCCGAGGGTTGTAATGATGAAGGCGAAGACTAGAGCGGATCGTATGTTGGGAAAGATTCCGGGATACTTGTCGAGCGTGAAGGCTGCTGCGGCAGAAAGATGTTCTATCATCATGGATTTGATCAGATACGTCGCTTCCGTTCCGAGGTGAGAATACGACGAATCACTCTTGATGATTAGACTGTAGATGAACATAATGACGGAGAGACTCAGAAAGAATATCTCAAAATAGACCACTACACGTAGTGCTTGAGAAATGATCGATCCCATTTGATCGAGGGTATTGTTGAAGGTAAACAGTTCTGCTGTCCGTTGCTCAAATTTATTGATAGTCTCTGGCGAAACGTGCAACTCTTGAGAATCCGCGGTCGAATCAGTTGGGTAGTAGAGACGGCAAGGCAGGTCTGGTTGGCACTGTAGAGCAAATCCAAATGGAATTTTGGGTAGAACGCGCTCGGAAGTGACAGAATCATCGGTATGCATGTCCTCATCGTCGGCTGCGTGGTCAATACGAGGAGAAGCGTCTTCATGCTGATCAGAGTCCAGAAGTCGGCCGAGAACCCAACCAAGCTTCTGCTTGACAAGTTCGAGAGTTTCCTTAGCAATTCGGCGAGCATGATAGCTCAAACTTGCCCAATACGTCAAGACAGCTTCTTGTGGAGTCGGCTCTTCATTCACAACCTGTGGTGCGTGCTGCAATCTACCACAATTCTCCATAGTCCACTCCATGATCTTCTCACGGACATCAGGATACCGGAACCCAAGGCCGATGAGTTCGTGATTCGCTCTCTCGAGCCCACGAACAAGGCAATCTTCGTGAGTCTCCATGAAACCGCGGTTCAGCTCACTAGACAGAACATTATCTAGACGGCTGTAGACGATCTGCTCCTTACGCAAGGCACTCGAATACGCTAGAAGCTGGTCATTGAATCGCTCATACTCTGGTGAAATCAAGTTGAGGATGCTGGTAACACTGATCTGGAAGGCGAAGAGGGTGGTAGTGAGATAGACGAAGCAGGCCGTGAGAAGCATGACACGTGGACGTGCGCGATCAAGCTTGGTCCCGGGCGATGTGGTCAACTTTCGTGACTTGGTTGTGACAGCTTCTCCAGGGTGCGATGGACTGTGGCGAAAGGTACTGTTCTGCTCTTTGGTTGACATGTTGGCGTTCGCAGTAGACCCTGCGCAGCACTTGTAGGTACCAGCTCTGATCTCCCAATATCGCCACTTTCCTTGTAATAACTAGAGGCGACCGACTTCTGCGATCTTCCAAAACGATGGGCAAGCTGTGTAAGTTGGTTGTATTTTGTCGAATCAGTACATGTTCACGTGAAGAACAGTAGGAGCTGGGTTAGCGCGTGAACTACCAGTAGTTTGCGCTCGACAAGCGCGCGATGAGCCGTTTGCAGTTTAGTAAGAAGAAACGATGAAAGTGGTATTGCGAGTGCATGGGCGTTACAAGCCTGGACTGTCTCATCATCAATGCGACGATGTACTTTGGATTTCCTGGGGTTGGTGATGGTGCGGTAGGTGCAGGGCAACCCTGGAACCTGTGGGTCGCGCAAATGAAGCGCGCATAGCAAGTCAGCTCCACCGTGGCTCTTTGCTTATTTGTAGCGCGACAATGGCGCTGAAAACGTGACGCGCTATACTTGGTCTTCTATTGGGGCAACAAACAGCTGGTCGCACGTCGGATATCCTCGTTGAGGCGAAAAGTGTGTTCCTGATACGGGTGTCTACTGCTTCCTTCGCGTTCTTTTGCGTGGCTCTCTCCCAATGTCCTCGATATCCGGTATCACATTTTCCACATCTTCAGCTTTGATCTCATCCACGTGCTCAACAATCTCCTTCTTTACTATCGCGTCGCCTTCAGGTGCCTCGACTTTCACGACAGCTTCCTCCCTCTTAACCTTTGTACGCTTTGCCACTACGGCTGATGGGCACAAGCCTCTATCTGCCAGCTTACAGTCGCCACATTTCCTGCCTACTGGGAGGCATATTGTCTGACCAAAGCCTACAAGCAGATTGTTGATGTCATGCCATTTCTCTTTGGGTAGCCATGATTCCAACGCTGCGCGTGTCTGCTCCGGCTGTTGTGTCTTGTGCCAGCCCCATAGGTTGGTGATGCGATGGACATGCACATCAACGCCTATACCCTCAGTCCGACCCCAAGCTGCGCTCATTGTGAGATGTGCCATCTTCGGACCTACTCCTGGCAGTGAGACTAGTCCTTCAATCGTGTCGGGTATATCCGAGTTCCACTTGTCTCTCAGTATTTCTGCAGTCTGCTTGATGTACTTGGTCTTGAGGTTGTGAAAGCCTACTTTGTTAATGAAGCCATTAAGCTCCGTAGGCTCGAGCGCGAGAACGGATTCGAGATTGAAGCCCTAGTACCTGTTAGCTGGAGCTGGATTGAATGGATCATATGCAACGAACTCCTGGCATTCTTTCCTGCATTCCCCATATTACAGGAGCCGTGACGGTATCCTTGGTTTGGCTGCTCAGCATTAATGCTATAAGCGTCTGGAATCGCTGATCTCGCGGTGTTCTGCTCCTGTCTGCCAAGCTCTCACAGCCCATTGTGTCTACGGGCGCTGCGTTCTCGTTCCGCATCTCCCTCGTCAGTGCGTATATCTCCTCCCAGTTTGCAGGCGGCTCGATCTTGACGGTGCCATCACTGGCTGTTGTCTTCTTTGCCGGTGCACGGCGTGCTTTCTTGACTTTGGCATTTTTGACTGGCGATGGAATTGTGCTGATTGATGTCTCTTCGACTTCCTGCTTCACAGCAATGGACGCATCTTGCCCCTTTTTCCTTCTTTTGGGCGCTGGTTGCACCTCGTCATCTGAATACGAGTCTGCTGGGGCTGAACTTGTCTCCGGACCGGATGGAGAAGCCAGATCAGTTTGGGCTTCCTGCTTGACGTGACTGGCGTCAACAGTGGACGCTGATGCATTGATGGCGGATCGGGTTTGCCGTTGGGCGCGCTGAGCGCGACTCGCGGCCAAGATTCGGGAAGTATCACGGGAGATGCGCGAGGTTCGCATTGCGCGCAAGCATATAATTTACCGCAGCGATTCAAAGATAATAGCGACTGGTTGCTTGCAATTGCTAATGTTGAGAGGATGAAGGAAACATGGCGCGCAGTGATGACGCACACGCGGTCCCCTGAAGCAAGTACAAGCCAATGAGCGCAGTGCTGACTACACGCGACCTCGCGACAGCACGTGTGCGGGTTGCACGTGGCTGCAGACGATATGAAGCCAAGACATTGTCGGCGTCTTGTAAACTCCAAACTGTAACATGCGGTGCAATTGCTATCGTGAAGACCTTGTCTAGACCTTTGTCTCAACCCGAGAAACTTAACGAGCCGGCATGGCGAGACGCGGAGCCGAAATGTTTGCCCAGTTGTTTTTCGGTTGCTATATGATTGGGGGAAATTGCAACATGCAACAGGTGCACAGGCCTGGTAGAGAGAGGTCTGAGTGCGAGCGGTTGAATTGGACGCTGTTGGCTAGCGCTTCATAGTAGACCCTGAAGGTTTGCAAGCAAGAAGCGATAGGGCCGAAAGCTGCGGGGGCGCCTAACTTGAGGTGTAGTGTGAAGGCGTACTATGGCACATGCCTCACGTTGGTCTTTGGGCTCTGTCAGAGCCATGGTTGGTTTCACAATGCAATAATTTCACTCTGAAGTTGACGGGCGCACTGTCAAGCACAAGTTGCGACGTCGTACGACTATGGTGATTGACGTGTGGCGCTGGCGTCGACAAGGTGGCGTTGTGTGGCGGCTCGTGGGGGCAATTGAGGCTGGTGCGCTCACTAGTGCTAGACGGACTGGGCAAGACGGGACGACTACTTGGTAAGACGGATGCAGCTTAACGTCATAGTACAGTACGGGGTCAAGGGCTCAGATCAGATCCACGTTAGTGCCACAACTGATATGCGCTGCATGTACAACTGCTCGTGTGCATTCAACAAAGGCGCATATGTTCAGTAGTGCTTTGTAGGCTGCGTCGCAACAATGAATGCAAAACAGCGGTCATGGACAAAGACAAGGGCTTCAAAGGAAGACAGAGCGACTGCCACTGCACCTACACAGATATACGTGTACAAGCCCTACTTTGTATCCTTGGTTTGTTCGGTATGCATATAGATTGGGCCCAGCGCCTGTTTGGCTCAAACGGCGGCGGCTAGCCAGAGTTCATGGACGCCAGTGACGCCGCCAAGCCCCCGTCCAACCGCGCATCAAGGAATGCAAGGCTTGAAACACGTCGGCTACCCCAGTCACCCATGAATCCTTAACACCCTTCCAATACCGCCCTCGGTGCTTCTCTGATTCACTATCCTTTTTGCTTGTCTGTAGCCCCGCCATAGCTACATATCCCCAACGGCCTGTAACCGCACCCAACAGCGGCTGCTCTCCTTTTAAACTCGGTCCATGGCCACCAGCACCTAAACCAACGACAGGGGCCACCGTTTTACAACCACCCACCTTCGGCGGCCTTGGCCACTCACAGCGCACAACATCATGTCCAGCACTACTGGCCCAGAGCCGACAGGCACGACCGGCCCTGGCTCTGCGCAGCGAAAAGAAAACCAGAGCATTGAGAATTTCGCCGCCTCCCTCTCGACAGCCGCAGTTATTTTCGGCGTGCAGATTGCCTTTTTCCTGATTCTGAGCGGCAACTGGAAACTGCACAAGAGAAGATCCAAGAAACTTCCAGAGGACAAAAACAAGGACGGGGTATCGCGACAGAGCCTCTTCCACAAGATCTAGTATGTAGTAACACACACTTGCTTTGCCACACATTTACTAACGATGACTAGCTACTACAAGACTGCCTTCGTCCCTGTCGCAAAACGCATCGCCCCTCCAGTAACCGCAATCGAGTCTTTCAAGAATGTCTTTACGATCAGCGATTCCGAGCTCATTCGCATTGCCGGTGTCGATGGCTATCTCTTTCTCCAATACCTCCAGCTTTTGCTACGCATCTTCATCCCAATGGCTCTCGTCATCCTCCCAATTCTCTTGCCTCTAAACCGACTTGGCGATGTACCCGATGTAGCTGGCTTGGATTCGTTCGCCTGGCCAAATGTTGGCGTACCAGGAAAACATGGCCGATTGGTGGTGCATTTGGTTCTCGCCGTCTGCGTCATCTGTTGGGTCTGTTTCAACTTCTACATGGCGCTCAGACAGTTTGTTCGCCTGAGACAGACTGTTCTCACCCGACCAGATCACCGTATTCGAGCTTCTGCTACTACAATTCTGGTTCAAAGCATTCCTCAAAAGTGGCTCACTGTTGCTGCTCTCGATGCACTTTACGACGTATTCCCAGGCGGTATCAAGGATATCTGGATTAATCGCGATTACGACGCCTTGATGGAAAAGGTGGATGAGCGAATCAAAGTTGCGCGAGCCCTCGAAGCCGCCGAGACGAACCTCATCATCGAATGTACCAAGAAACATAAGAAGATGCAAGAAAAGGCAGCAAAACAAGCAGGCGAGAAAAAGTCCAGAAAGGAAAAAAAGGAGGAAGAAGCTATGCAGAACCTTGCTATCAACCAGGAGACGCATGACAACGGTGTGGATGCTGGCAACCCCCATGAAATCGAGCAGCAACTTCAGAGTGTTCTTGCCGAGCCCGGTTCGTCTTCGTCTTCGTCGTCTTCATCCAGGTCCTCTTCTCCAAGTCGCAAGCGCGGTATAATTCCTATTCCTTTGTTTGGCGAAGGCATACATGCAGTTGGTGAAGGATTTCGCGGGGTAGACCGGTTTAACAAAAAGATGTACGGCAATATGCGAGACGTCTTTGGTTCGAAACGTCATCGCAGCAAACCCTCAAATTCTGAGCGAGAGCAAGTTGCTGTTGATGGGCCCAACGACATTGCCCAAACTTCACCAACTTCGGCCGAGTATAATCTGAGAGGCGCAAGCAGCGACACTCAAACTCCCCTAGCAAACAAAGAAAACTACTTCTCTGACGACCATGCATCTGAGGTAAACTCTCCGGCCCAGGATCTCAAAGCGCCTGCAGTCGAGGCTGAGGGAGAAGAGAAACCCCCTGTCAAGGTCGGGTGGAGCCAGCCTCTCAAGAAGATCAAATCTATATACGTTGGCCAAGGCGATTTCATAAGTCCTAAGCCGTTCAAAAACAATGAAGCACTACCAATGGAAGTCAAAGATGCCAGCAAGATCAAGTACGATACGACCGGGTTGTGGGATGAGAATTTCAAAGAGGACGATGAGAACGCTCTGTGGCGAAAGTATGTCAAACCAAAGGATCGAGAGACGATGCGCCTACCGCTGTTCAATGTTTCATGGTGGCCTTCTTTACCACTGATTGGGAAAAAGGTAGATACGATTTACCACTGCCGCAAGGAACTTGCTCGCCTCAACGCCGAAATCGCAGATGATCAAGCCCATCCGGAACGGTTCCCCTTGATGAACTCTGCTTTCATTCAGTTCAACCACCAGGTTGCGGCCCATATGGCATGTCAATCTTTGAGCCACCACATTCCCAGGCAGATGAACCCGCGAACTGTCGAAGTCAACCCTAACTATGTACTTTGGGAAAATCTCACAATGAAGTGGTGGGAGCGCTATCTACGCTTTTTTGGCGTCATTATTTTAATTGTCGGACTTGTCATCTTCTGGGGTGTGCCTGTTACATTTACGGGAGCTTTGTCTCAGATCGATACCCTCACCTCGTTGCTCCCATGGCTCGGCTTCATCAACCGTCTTCCCGACTGGGTAGTCAGCTTCGTACAGGGTGTGTTGCCACCTGCGTTTTTGGCCATTCTCTTCGCTGTACTGCCTCTTGTTCTACGATTCCTGGCAGGTGTCACTGGTACCACGACATCTGGTGAGCGCGAGTTGCTTGTCCAAAACTTCTATTTCGCTTTCGTCTTCGTCCAATTGTTCCTTGTGGTATCCATTTCCACGGGTATCACGACGGCCATTGACGACCTCGTCAATGACCCCCTCAGTGTTCCGCAAACACTAGCCAGAAGTCTACCCAAAGCCGCCAATTACTTCTTCTCTTACATGATTCTACAATCACTCAGTATTAGTTCTGGTACTCTGCTGCAGATTGGTGCCGTTGTCGTCATCATCTTCCTCCGCTTCATGGACACGACGCCTCGACAGAAGGTTTCAAGAGTGTTGCAAAGACCTGGAATCAACTGGGGTACTATGATACCCGTCTACACCAATTTTGGTGCAATTGGTAAGTGTGCATCTGTGCCTACTACATGCGTCTCTAACAGTCAATAGGTCTTATCTACTCTGTCGTGGCACCCCTGATTCTCATTATGATGTTGATCACCTTCTGCCTCTTCTGGTTCACGTATCGCTACCAGATGATCTATGTTAGTTACGCTAAAGCCGAAACTAACGGTCTCATCTTCCCCAAGGCAGTCAACCAGCTATTCACTGGGCTTTACTTCTTGGAACTTTGCCTTGTTGGTTTGTTCTTCCTGCAAGAAGACGAAGCCGGCAACCAATCCTGTTTCCCTCACGCCATTGTCATGATCATCATGCTCATCTTCACTGCCCTTTTCCAGATTGTGCTCAACAGGGCGTTTGGACCACTGTTCACATATCTTCCGATTACATTCGAAGACGAGGCGGTGCAGAGAGATGAGGAGTGGCAGCGAGCCCAAGCCAGTCGGTGGAAGCAAGCGGACGAGCACACGGCTCTCACCGCTCAAGAAGATGCTCAGTCGACTTCCGGAGAACATGAAGAAACCCGTCTCGGAGAAAGAAAACGTCGCGAATCCCATGGCCAAGAGGCCTATGAGTTGGATAATTTGGACAATAACATGTCGAGTGCGATCGGTCGATCGCCAAAGCCAAGTGGTGGCCGCGATGCAAGCTGGACCGGTCGTTCCCGCCGCAGTTCCAACTCGCGCTCACAGTCACGACACGCCCGTTCGCAGCATAAGCAGAAGGAAAAACACGACCCATTCGACGTGATTACCAATACCCTCAAGAAGGGTCTCGACGACGTCGCCAAACCCATACGCGATGCTGAAGCACAAGTTCTTCCTGCCGGCAACCTATTTGACGAGGTCGACGACGAACTTGCAGACATTGAACCCGAAGCCCGTCAGAAGTTGATTAAGCGATCTTTCCAACATCCCGCTACGCGCGCCATTCAACCTGCAGTCTGGATCCCACACGATGAGCTCGGTGTCGCTAAGGATGAGATTGAGCGTACGAGTGCCTTCACGAAGAGAGTATGGATCACCAGTGTGAATGCGCGACTGGATGCCAGTGGCAATGTTATCTACAAGGGATTGCCGCCTGATCGGGACCCTTTCGAAAACATTGAGGTCTAAGGTGGTATTTCCTTTTTTTTTCACTTGCATAGCGTAGCGGTCGTTTCTATGTCATATCATAGCCTTCTTTTGCATTCTCTAAAGGGAACCCCTATTAATTGGGTCGTTTATACATCCATATAGACTTTTACTTCGCCTGTGTGATATACCCAGACTAGTACAATATTAAGTATAAACATTTTAAACTGTTCTTTTATCCAGTCACTTTTGCTCTCATGTCTTGTGAAGATGAAGTGGCACAGCCACTATTGGGAAATGCACTACACGCTATGTATTACTCAAACAAGTCCGTTACATCTCCAAACCAAGAATCCTTATCATCGTCGTCGTTGGCGCCAGCGCCAGCTTCTCCTCCCGCAGCATCCAGTGCCAATTCGGTCACTGCTCCACCTCCCTCTTCACAATCACCCCCAAACAATAAATCCTCTCTATCCTCAGGCACCTCTGGTGCCACTTCGGCGGCCTGCGCCTCTTCCCCTTCCTCATCCCCCTCAGCCGCGAAAGCAGCAAGTATCGCGTTCTCAAACGCATCTACTCCACCGACCTCCTCATCCTCCCCAGATGGCACCAGTGTCACCTCAGCGCCCAGCGCCTCTTTCTCATCCCCCTGCGCCCACAACCCATCCAACAACGCCCTCTCAAACGCACCTACCTCCTCCACCTCATCCTCCTCCTTCTCCTCCTCGACCACCACCCCCGCTTCCACCGAAGCCACTTCCACCCCCAGCTTTCCTTCCCCTTCCCCTTCCCCTTCCCTACCCTCGTCTCCCGCTAAACCATCGCCAACCACCCCCCTGAACACTTCCTCCTCCAACGCAGCCATCTGCGCTCTGACCCCCGCATCAACCTCACTCTCCAATGCCGCCATCACCGCCACAGGCTCTGGAACAAATCCCGTGACAGCGGGAAGAAACCCCGGATAGTACGACACTGCCTGCGGTGCGGGATCCGGCGTGCAAAGGGGTTGGGCTTGGTTTTGCTCAGTCGTGGTAGTAGTTATGGTGGTGGTAGATTTGTTTTTGGGCTTCCTAGGCGCCCGCTTTGTAGGGAGGCCTTTGGAGGCATTTGTCGGGCGACCTGGGCCGCGCTTTGCGGGGGTGACGGTAGAGGGAGAGGAGAGACGGGGTCTCTTTGGAGCAGGGGGTTGCTCCTCGTGGGATTTTGAGGGGGAGAAGTGGTTCCTCTTCGCCCCCGAGAGGATTTGTTGCTGTTGTTGTTGTTGTTGTTGCTGTTGCTGCTGTTGCTGCTGTTGTTGCTGTTGCTGCAGCTGCGGAACGTACTGCTGGTGTTGCAGTTGTTGATACGGCACTATAGGTGCAATAAAGGGCTGTGGCATGCCCATTTGCGGTTGGAAGGGAAGTAGTGACCGCTGTGGAGGCCGGAGGCCACTGATGTCGAGCCACTGCCGCGCATCGTGGGAGTAGATGCGGCTGACGGCGATTGGTGTTGCTTGGAGGTGCTGCATTGTGGTGGTGGACGGGAGAGTGTTGGTGAAGAAAATATGAGTGATGTGGAAGTATTGGCTTCAAGTAGTGATGTTATGAGAGATGAAGAGAAACTCCGAGTGGGAAGAGAATCCAGCTCTATATATGGGAAGGGAACCTGTCTTTATCTATGGGAAGGAAATCTGGCTTTTCATATCGAAAGGGGATCTATCTTTTTATATGGAACGGGCATGTCTACGCAACCACAAGATATTATTTACTCTACTTTTGATAGGTGACAGACAAGCTATCAGCTTTCATCTAATTTCTTAACATGTCTATCGCCTACATGTTAAGCCAGTGAGGCATTTATCGCTACTCTCCAATACGTCATCAGATATGACTCTATGCCAGACGTCTATGGCGAGGCAACAGCCCGTGATAGGCCCAGAAGCGTCTTGAATCCAGCTTCCGTCCCAACGAGCTCACGTCCCTTGGTAGTGCACGAATATCCTCCTCCTGCATAAGTTCGCCGACCCACTTCGCATACTGCTGCTGCGTCTCTTTCTCTTCCTGTGACATGGATGATTCAGTCATAGAGCTGAAGCTCATGATGAGGTCGTACCAATCGTAGACGCGTAGATCGGAAACAATCCAGCGTTTGCCAGGCGAGAATTTCTGGTGCGTCGCAATTATGGCTTGTGCGACGTCTTCGCCGTGGATGAAGTGCACAGCGCCCCGTTTTTTGATATCGTCCTTGGATTTGACGATACGTGGCAACCACCTCGCGGGAACACGCTCCCCTCCATAAAGACCCGCAAGACACAACACACAGCCATGGAGTGAGCGCAGTTCGTCCTCTGCAACAGCTCGCTTGTCTTCCTTGTTGTAATGCGCATCTTCATCACTCCAATCGTCAGGTACCTTGTTGTAGATTCCAGTTGAGCCGAGTTGAATCCAGTTGTTCCTCGCGCCGTGAACGGAGCGGTAGAGTCCGACGAGGCTCTTTGATTGACCGTGACCCACTAACGGAAAGGTAATGACGACCGTTTTGGCAGCTGGAAGTCGCTTATACGGCTCTGCATCTCCAGATTCGGGTTCGAATTTGAAAGGTATCGTAGCATCTCTTCCCGAGGTGGTGGTGGCCGCGTACGTAATGTCGGTATCGCTCAATTGCGGAATCAAGAACGTCGAAGTCCACCCAGCCCCCAGTATCAAAAGGTCTACCTCGTTCATTTGCTGGCGTAGCATTATATCTATCTTTTTGTAGTTATTGCGCGTTTTAAACAGAGCTTTGCGGTCGGCCTGTTATCAAAAAGTGTACCAAGTTTCGGTCTTGTCACGTTGCTGTGGTTGACACAACGCGGAACACAGAAAGTCGTGACGTTCTCCCCCCGCACGCACCCATACCCATAGTAGCTGCAACTAAATTATGCACAGGCCACCTGTTTGAACTCGTTGTCAGATACTCCTGTAGCCGTGTTCAGGGAGATTAAGTGATTACGAAGGGTTCAAGAGGAAAATTATACGTATATACTATGTGTTTAAGAAGAAGAAGAAGTCACATGCTAATTTGTGCCTAAGGCTGCTTGGGTCAAGCAACTTACCAGTAATGTATCTATTGCTATTGCCTGACTTCGCAGTGTAGCGGCAGATGATGTACTTTGTAGGCTTTATATCTCAGACTCCCAACTTGAACGTGTCGAGATAAATTCCATGTATCTGGTTGCAACCACAGTTATATTTCTGAATTTCTCATCTGTTGTAGAATGCACATTCTATACTAGTCCTAATTAGGTAAAGCCTGATTTTAACGCGTCGCGCTCTCAGTGCCTCCCCGCAATCGATGCACCCATTCCAATCCCTCGATAGTACACCGTCCTTTGCATTTATAATGAGTCAACGTGTTCCGATACCTGGCTCAAAACAAGCTACCATTGTTGAGCAGAAGCAACATTTCCTCCAGACTAGGAAACACATCTTGTCGCGTGGAATACCGCCATCGGAACGACTGCGAACACTTGCGCAAGATGGCGGTATCGAGCTGAGTGTGATGAAAGGAGTGCTTGATAAAGGTAATTTCCAATTCCATACCCGGGGCTAATGATCAAAACTAAACCAGTACCCAGTCAACCGTGACCTAAAGAGACACTCGCGGACAGTTTACAGTCGCCAAATGATCGAGCATGTCGTTGAGCAAATAGACACGTTGTATTGGGACTCGGGCGCGCAGCCTGTTGACGAAGACCAAGAGGACGATCAAACGGCTTCTGATCTTCACGAAGATGATGCAAACACACTGTACCAAAATGCTGATCTCACTCTTGACGAAAATATTGCGAAACTGCCTGCGACATGGCATGCCCGTGACAGCAACGACCAAGTAACGCAAGACGAATACCTTTCTTCTGTCTCACGCTTGCAGGAGCTATCTGCTCAACGTCAGACACTACAAAACAAGCTCAACACATATCGCACACTGCTGTCGTTGCTAGAACCCTATCGTAAGCCGAAGGAAAACATACAGCCGAATCTGGCATGGAAGGAAGCACCGCTGGCCCCTGAGCTGGCAAAAACAAGGACATTGGCCATACGTGTTGCAGCAAGAGTCGAAGAGAAGTTTGGAAACGTACAGGTGCCTTCAACTGCGGAAGATGACGAGGATGTCGATATGGAGGAACTCGGCAATCACGGTCAAGCAAAGGTGGACAAGGTTTTGGCAAGTTGGTAGAACCCTCAAGTCTTCGTGGGAAGTATATAGATACTGGCGTTTGGATATGATACCCCATTTGCATCAAATAGAATGCTTACAGTATTTTCCTTTGCATTCACACCCAAGCTTAGTAAGATGTGTCCATGAACTGATGTTTGGCGATATGAATGCTCGATAGCCCATTGAATACCTTAAAAGATGCTTGAAGGTAACAGCATTGCAGTTCCCGGGACATGTCAACTGGCATCTAGTGAATATAAACCCTTGTAAATGATGATTGAAGCTGCAATTGGTTTAGGCGGTGGCAGCCAATCCCAGCACGAGACCAGCAGTTAGCTTGCGCTAGGGTCAACTCCGAGTTTAACACCACAACTACACCTCATTCGATCTCCTACAACACTAGCCATGCTTCTCCTCATCGCCGTGGGGGCAATAGTCCTCCCGGCCCTGACATATTACCTCACTACTGCATTCTTCTTCCAAAGTGCAAAGAATGATGCAACGGAAAAAAGGCCGCCCACAATCCCGTACTTGGTCCCTGGCGTGTTCCATACTTTTAGCATAGCCGCGGAAGGGCCACAGAAGTTCTTTGCTAGATTATTGTAAGATATCCCCTTGAATTTTGGGCAACGGTCACTGATGTGAAATAGCAAGGAGTTTGGTAGCTTCGCCCCATTCACTGTTAAGGCAGGCTTGCAGACTTTTGTGGTCCTCCGGGACCCTAAGCATATCAAAGTAGTCATAGAAGCATCAAAGCCATCAGAGCAAATTTTCGTCGTAAGACACGAATTAGAGGGTGTCTTCAAGGTGCCCAAACGTCAAGCCAGCATCCCAGCAGAGTTTTCCGATCCTGCAAAGTACAATGAAAAAGTCAACAATGCATTCACGACACCAATTCGAAAACACTTGACTGGCGAATCAATGGCTACTATAGGCGAGCGTTATGCTTCAAAGCTCTCAAGCAATATGGACGACAAAATGTTCCAGGTCGGCACGTGGACACAGATAGAAGACTTTTGGTCCTTCTTTCACCAAGTCATCACAAGATGCTTGGTAGAGACATTGTTTGGACCGACGATCTTCCGGCTATATCCAAAATTTGTGAAAGACTATTGGACGTTTGAACAGGCACTGGAAAGCTATATACCTGGAATGACATGGTTATTGGGAGCGACTGCATATGAACAGCCTCGCGATGCGTTACTCGAAGGCATTGAGAAATGGCTCAGGGCAAACCAAAGCGGCAGCAACACTGCAAATGCTGGTACCGAAAATTCAGATTGGAATGATCATAGAGGATCACCATTTATTCAAGAACTCACCAGTCTTTTGTCAGAGTTTACATCGGAAGAATCGCGAGCAGTGGAATTGCTAAAGATCATCCATTGGTGCGTATGCATTAGGGGATGACCGTGCTTGTGAGGAACGAGAATATATATGCTGACCTACCATGCAGTGCAAACGGGAAACTCGTTCCATCAACAATCTGGTCCTTGATCGAAGTGTTGCGCAATCCGCAACTGGCCAATCAAATGAACGACATTGTTTCCAAGAATCCTTCACAAAAGCCTAGAACTTATGGTGTTACGGAAATCGCAGCCTCACCTCTTGTCAAGTCTCTGTATCATGAGACTAGCCGTTTACGAATGGCACAGTATATGATATATCCCGCCAAAGCCCATGATATTCTCTTGGACAGAGAGTATATACTCCCCAAAGGAAGGTCACCAATTGCGTTTTCACACGACATTGCACTGGATAACAAATCATGGGCCAAAGCGCGACCGCGTACCGTCGAGAGACCACTGGAAGAGTTCTGGGGAGGCAGATTTCTCATCCCTGATAAGCCAAAGAAAAGGGGCGGTTTCGAATCGGGCGAGTTCAGCTTGGAGGGTCTTGATTTACTAGCTCCCGCTTTTAGAGGCCACCAAAACGTCGGACTGGGCAGTGAATACGCACAAACCATTCAGACAGCGACTTTGATTGTCTTGTTGAATGAGTGGGAGATTCAACTGTGCGATCCAGAATTTACAGATGCAGTCATGCCGACCATGTCCGACAAGGCTTTCGGTTCTGTGATGCCGCTGCAACCAGTAGCTGTCCGCATACGGAAGCGAAAGTCGAACCGGACGCTGTAAGATGCCGTATTTCTATAGGCATAGCGGAATCAGCTAGTCAATATGGTCGTGTACTGATCAGCAGGCTGAGATTTGACTTTACTATCTCTAGGCCTCGCAGTTTTGGCAACAACTGTCCATATGAGTTTGATATAGAGCTCTGGGACCCTTTGATAGCTATCGATATCATGTCTGAAAATATATCGCTTCACCTCTTAGTGCATTTGGGACAAAATTTAAGAAAACCCTCCATTTACATTTCCACTCGTCTTTATATACAATCAGATGTAACCTAACAGTTACACTGCCGAGCAAAATATATACAATGCCGCCTACTATCCTCCATCTCCCATCCTCACTCTTCCGGATGTCCTGCATCACTCTTCCGATCAATTTCCCCAATCCCTCCCCATCTTCCAGAAGTAAACTCGAGTCAGAAACTCTAAGCCTTTGCACCACGGACAGCGTTGATCTTTCCGATCAAGAAGCGTCCAGCCTCTGCCGCATTACTGCCATAGCTAAGATGAGGAAGCAAGACAGCCGCAGCAAGGTTACCGTCACAGACAGTGTCACGGATAGCACCACCGCAGAAGATCTTGAGCTTGTTCTTGGGGAAGTTGGGGATCTGCTGGTTGTCACGGCGGGCCTGGGTATCGCCAAAGGTGACGACACCAGCAATTTGGTTCTTGACAGCGGCGGAGAGGTCCTCAATGGCACGGTGGTTGACAGCTGCACCTTGACTGTTCCATTGGTTAGCATTGAGAAAAGAGAGATATAAGGATGAGTGAGGACGTACGAGTATCCACCACAAACAATGACAGCAGAAGGACACTTGCGGTTGATGTCCTCGAGGATACCGCGCATCTGCAGCTCAGAAACGAGATCGGTGCCGCCGGGGAGGTAGTTGGTGGACAGCAGAGCAGCGTAGTCGACACCTTCAATGGCGAGGTTTCTGCCGTATTCGCGGCGGAGCTCGTCACCGAGGGGCTGGCCAATGATGGAGCCCTAGAAAGTTTTCCAAGTCAGAATCTAGAAGGAATGCATACGATCTTGCTTTTTGGGGGCTTTTTCTTCAAGTATCCACTTACCATGTTGCCGGCCTCGGTGGATCCACGGGCCCACACGAAGATAACTTCCTTGCATCCACCGCCAATCAAGGAGGAGAATTCGTTCTCGGTCAAGCTCGTGCGGTCAGTGACGATCTGACGGGTAGCAATGACTGCATCGCCAGTTTCTGGAATCGCAATTGGGGTTGCAGAGGCGGCAATGGCCAGAGCGAGGATGGTGAAGAAGTTCATCATCTTGACTGTTTTTGGAGTGAGAGAGCTGGGGAACTTTCTGATGAAGAAGAAGATGGTGGAGAAGCGAATTGTTGGAAGTCTGGGAGGGATAGTGAGTGAATGATAGGAGGCGATGCTTGCTTGCTTGCTGTTTAAAAAAATCGTGGAATCACAGTTATCTTTATACCTACTTCAGATACTAGAGGTGTCCATCCCCGGCCCAATTCCTGAATCCTCCTATCGTCAATTGCCGAACGCTGCAGCAACGGATTTTGGCCCCCGCGGTTGCAAGATGGTGTCTGTGCTAAGACACACCCTTTGCTACACGTTGACAAAGACCAAATCGCCGACTACTTTTCCTTCTGAGCCGAGGCATTCGAAGAGAGCAAATGGTTCTGCTCCAGGTTCACTGTCCAATGAGTGCCCAAAGGTACAACCCCTAGCTGTACGTTGAAGCAAGCCAAGCCCCGTTGCATATTATACCAAGACACGTGGTACGTACTCTCAATGGAGTAAGGGCCATGTATTAGAGTTTTGAAAGCAAAGTGGGGGAATAGTCTGCATACACATCAGACGATTCTTGGGTGTTTAGATGCCTAGGTAAAAGGAAGACTCGGGGCCCTGAAACCGTGTAAACACCAATAGCAGCGATTTTTGAAAAAAGTCGCCTCGGTACAGAGTTGAGTTTGTAATGTACTAGGTCGTGTGATGGAGCGGCATGCTGGAACCCTGAGTACTAAGTGGTGTCACTTGGCTCTACTGCTACCGGTCGAAGCCCTAGGGGCAATTAGAGTGGCTGCATGCTGCAGGGCAAAAGGCGGGGTACCGTATACATTATGCACTTTGGTGGAGGATGAGATGTAAGCAACGTGACTTTTGCCTATCTGTATATTGTGGGTGCCTGGAAGGATGAGTGAGATCGATTGGGGACGGCTGCAACTGGTGAGTATGGACCAGGGGGAAAGGAAAGTAACTGGACACCATCACCAGTAGCAGCACCTTGTCACGTAAGAAACCCGATTGGCAGATTGGTTATTTTTATTTGTGAAATGATCGAGACGAAGGAAAGTCGGCTTGAGTCGGAGAATAGCGCGTATCTCGCATGGGAAGAGCGTGGGTTTAGTTACTTTTCCTCCCCTCTTTCCCCCTCCATCCACAGGTAGGGCTGACCACCTACTTGCGTTGGTCCTTTACATTTGTGTGCATGTGGCGTAGTCACCCCACAATTTCACAGTAGTAACCTGTTTTTGTCTACTAGTACCATCACAGCATAGTCCAGGTATTATACGCGGATGTACTTGAGGCATCTGCAACCAGCCTGTCATGCAGATCTCATTTAAACCCAGCAAAACCGATGACATGGGACAGCCCATGTAAAAAGCAAAACATCGAGATCCCGATGTGGAGCCGGCATGAAACAGTCGGCATATCTCATATACCCCTCTGGTTCTATACTATGCTATGCGCATACCTCGGCTGCAATCGAGGAAATTAGATTAATCTTCCGTAGAAGCTAAGGGTGGTGGCTTGATCCAGATGATCGATACACTACCACCATCAGAACATCCTTGCTTGTTCTGCAGCAAAGATGCCGAGGTCTGCTTCAGTTGCAGTGTCCCTCCAAATCTCCGTGCAGACCTTGCAGTATCATGATGGAAGAGAGTATGGGTTGCTTTTGGAGACAGTGTGTGTGAAGTTATAAGGGGGAGGGTTTGTTCGCTTCATGTTAGAAGAACACACAGCAGCATAGTTTAGCAACAAAAAAGCATAAAGCAAAGCAAGAACTGTACAGCACTATGCGTTGCATGTCAGTCACCCCTCTCCTGGCGTTCGCCTTGATCGCCATTTCCTCTGCTCAGGAAACCTGTCCTGCGATTCCTCCCAACGACGTTGAAATCGGACAGCCTGTGCCCATCGTACCAGGCGACATTCCCAAGGGATGTTCTGCGTTTGAGATTCTCGTTGGTAAGTCTGAAGCACAGTAATAAGGGGTTTCCTCTTTCAAGAGACTGATGCGTCAAATCCAGCTCGTGGCACCAGCGAGCCCAGTTTCCCCAAGTTCGGTGTCATCGTCGGTGACCCCATCGTAAGCAATGTCTCTGCACAACTGGCTGGCGTCCAGGGATATCCAGTTCAGGTACGTCTATCCATAGGAATAGAATAAGAAGATTCCCTAGAGATAGACAAGAGCTAACGCGTACTGTGCCTCCCTGATAGTACCCAGCAAGTTCGCAGATCATAACTGGTGGCAGACAAGGCACAGACGACATTGTCAAGCGTCTAACTACACAGTCTGCCGCATGTCCCAATCAGACCTTTGCTCTAGTTGGTTATTCACAGGGAGCAAGCATTATGCATCGGGCCGCAGAAAAGCTTCCAGTGTCTTTGTTCCCGCGGATCAAGGCAGTCGTCATGTTTGGTGATCCTCAGCAGAGGTTGGGCGCCTTGGGAGACAAGTTCCCGATTGGTTTGCGGTCAAAGGTGCTGCAGGTTTGTGCAAAGGGTGACCCTGTAAGTATTTATCAGCTTCATGTGTGGCGCAGAAGTGGGACGGAAATGTACTAATGACTCAACACAGGTCTGCGATTCGGGATCTTGCCAGTACTACCATCTAACCTATGTCCTCCCGAAACTGATGGACCCCGCTGTGGCTTTCATCGTCAGAGCATTCCAAGGGTCACCACGCCTCTAGTAGAAAAAAGTCAGCAGTAGGCCACTTGTAAATATCTGAACGGATAAACAAACCAATGTACATACTATCCAAACCCATTCAACTCCACAATCCCAGTAGAATCTCCATTCTTCACCCCCACATGCCGAAAACGCAGCAGGCTGCACCCCCTCTCCCTTTATTCCCTCAAATCTCACAAAAACCTCGTATTAAGGCGTTCCAGGCACCCAAAAGCCACCGTTACAGCCACATTACCATAACCCCTGTCCTCTACTCATCTGCATCGTCGTCCACTACATATCCCACTAAACCCCACTAAGCCCACTATGCAGCGTCCACCCTTGTACCGCATCATCCCTCCCACATGTGACCACAACGCCCATCCAAAAAAATTCATACTAACTGACCATGCTCACTCTAAACACCCCTACCCCCCGGTTCAACATAAACCCTTGACCGGTACATGAGCAAAATTACGCCACTCGGCTACGCTGGCTCCCACGCGGCACGCACTCTCTACCCCAAACGTGCGTTTCGGTAAAAGAGTGGCGCCACATGAGGGGGGAAGACTTGGCGGGTAAGACGTTGCTTGCCTGGTCTTGGCTGGTAGTATGCATCCGCTTCCCCCCTGGTACGGATATGTACGGAGCGGCGATCGCAATCGGGGGCATGAAGGATTGCGATGGGGACTGGGGGGTTGGATCGAGGGTGCGTAGATGTGCAGATGATATTTATGTGGGTGCGGCGGTAGATGCTGTTAGTGGTTGGGGTACGTAGGGGGCGGTTGATGCCGGTGTACCCGATAGTTTTGTCGATTGAATGATTGCTGTTTCTATTGGTGAAGAGTGGAGATATGGGATTGGGGGAATATTGACTGCGGTTGTGAGATTAAATAAAGACATTTTGGGGAATTTGTGTATGGTATTAATTTCTAGATTTCTATTAAAGCAAATATGCAAGGATGCAAAGACATGGTTCCTCCAGTTGTGTACTCTGTACATGATGCTCAAGGGTATCAATCGCTCGACTAGTTTGCTGGTGTACGGCCGTAAAGTATTAGTACACGTCTAAGGTTCGCCATGCGCCACGCTGGAAAAACTGGGATGTAGCCTCGATCACTGCGAATTGAAAGATGCTGGAAGGACATTAAAGCTCGAAATTGTCGAGCCAGTGCTGAATTACGATTTTACCTTCGTTGAAGGCCGCCTTGTTCATGCGAACAACGATAGCGGCGTGCGAGTGCCGGTGGTTGTGGATGTGAACTGGATGCTTCTTGAAACCAACGTTGTCTAGCGCTTCGATCATTTTGAATTGCTCTGGTGTAAGTGCAAGGGTCGGGAACTTCAGATTGGCCTCCTCTTTTTGTGCTTCGATAGAATCGACTCCGGTATCAGACCCAGTTTTGTGCGCTTCTCCTAGAGTCTTTTGCTGTGTTGAAGACGCGGCCTCTTCGGAGCCATTGCTTAGGTATTCCTGGCTCTGTGCGTGATTGGCGTTGCCATATATGCTCTCAGCCTCTCGCCGTACTGCATTGATCATCAGTGGTATGCGATAGTGCGTGTAGTCGATACCCGATCGGCCTTCTTGGTGAAGTCGTATACGTTGTTGGCTGCGAACTGATTGAAAGGCGGAATTGATTAGAAAAACAGCCACACCGATAGGGACCAAGACTGAGAGGAGCGCTACAATGGATGCACGCCCGATCACCGTCTTTGTACCTTCTGCTAGGCGTTGTGCGAATGCTCGTGGTTCCTCGGGCTCTCTTGGCGAGACTGGGTGTTCTCGATCGACAATGACGTCGTCGTAGTCGTCGATGTAGTTTATTTTGACCTTGTTTAGATCTACGAAAGGGTCGGTTGACGAGATGCCGGCAGTGTAGTATGTCACTGTTTGATCGTTGACGACATTGGCGTATAAACTTCGGTGCTTGAATTGAGCCAGTCCCTGGATGAAGATGCTTTCTGAGTCTGCGAGGACGGCTAGAAGTGGTCGGCCAGTGTCTCTGAATTTATCCACACCAAAGAGTTGTCTTCCGCTCATAGAGAGTGTGCGCGCGCCCAGGACATTCCACAAGTGACTATGGTAGCCTTTGAGGGGTGTTCGAACGCCGAGATGGGGAGTCGCAAAGGTGGTAAAGTTCTATTAGGATTAACATGTGGTACCAGAATTGGGCTGAGGAACGTACTATCGGCCGTATCTTATCAAAGATGCCCCTCCGATAGAGCAATCCGATAGCATAACGGGAAATGAGACCTCCTAATGAGTATCCTATGATACTGATCTTGGTGATGTTGTGTCCACTCTCAGCTAACTCCTCGAGCTTTCCCTCGATTTCTTGGGCAACGCGCTCGCCACCCGTATCTATGCCGTCGTAGGTGAAGCTGCCCGAGTTACGCGCCGCAACAAGGACGTGGAGTTTCTCACTGCGAAACCTCTCGCTCAGAGTAGTGCTGACATATTTCAAATGGTCGGGGTTACCCCAAAGGCTGGTCGTGGTCAGCGCGATTGCTTTTTCCTGAATGTGAATTTAGGCGGCGATTTTGTTGTGGTGACGTACCCATGGACCAGGACACAGAGGTGGTCTGGCTTCTCAGACATGGTGGTGGGCGTAGTGGCGGTGGTAAAGGTAGACCTGGTGAGTGTGGCGAAGGTTGTTGACAGGCAGATGGCAGTGAGAAGTCTAGTATTAGTATATGTACGGCACCCCCACGTCCAGATATCGTCCGTGAAAGGCGCAGTCGTGTCCGATGCGCGCACCGCCTCAAGCCACAAACGGAGTTAAGGGATATAGGTTGGCAAAGATGCGCGACAAACCGTCCGAGTCACAACACCAATGTCGACAGTAATAGGGAGATTGGGCACAGGATGGCTGAGGGAGAAGTCAAGTTTGAGATTGTTCAGATCACGGCGTCGTGACGGAATCCGAGACGGATCGCCGCTCCAAAGTCCGCCCACGCGTGTGTGGACCCTGCATGCATCGCGCTCGGACCAGCATACGCTTGCAACAACGCGTGCCTGGACGAAGTAAACTGAACTCGTCTCTTACCTTCACCGTGTGATTGGCTTCGGCGTCATTCCCAAGTGGACCTAACTATTCATTCACAACGACTGCATGCTTTGGTCGTCTTGTTGCAAATACCAATGGACCCATCGACACAGTGAACGTTGCTCTGCTAAGCCGAAAGGCTGCCTCTGGCCCTGCGCAGCCTGCACTCACTTGTCAACTGTGCACTGCGCCTTAGCGTGCTTCGTCTTTTGTTTACTTTGTATTGCCTCCGTGGATGGGTTGGATAGAGTACCAGTACCGCTTCTCCTGCTTCAGAACCAATCAACCTCTGAGCGCATCTCACCCGCGCCCTTGACTGAAGCTCAACCAACCCAGCTCGGTACGTCGAGCACCATCTGGGCCTGCTTACATGCATACTCACAGTGAAGCCATTAATTCACAACCCCAATAACAATGTGGCCTTCGGTCCCAGCGTACAGAAGCTTCGCCAAGATATCATGTCCCTCAGGTGCCTCCTGCGCACTTCCTCACTGCATTTTCGGTCATGATGCTGCTAGTTCACCTGACAGGTCGCCCTCCCCCTCCCCGGTAGTAACCGTATATGGCCCTCAGACGGTTGCAAAACACTCACAGCTTAATGAAAATGCACCTGGAGCCGCTCCTGCACCGAGGCAACTAGGCCCTAGCGCTTCGGTCAACCCAACCATGTCCAAGAGCAAGGTGCCACCGACAAACAAAGAACCAGAACCAGCGCAGACTCTGGTGTCGAGATTACCTGCCAAGGCGACAGCACCCACTGAACTGCCGCCATCTGCCACCCGGACAATATCACCGCCTCCATCTAAGGCTACAGCAGCCAAGTCAATTGTTAATTCCGACGCGCCAGTCGCTTTGATGCCCCGTAAACTCAAAAAAGAGCCGTCGACCTATGCTAGGAGAATTACGCTCCTAAAGGCACTACACACGCATATGAAACCGCAAAATGACAGACTTCTCAAAGCCACCAAACCAGAAATAAAGGCGCTGCACCTCAGTCCAAATCAGTTAAACAAACTGGCAGTTGATGAGGAAGAAAAGATCGCCATAACAAACCCGTCTGTTTACGAGAATATACTGAAACAGCGGCTAGTAAAGCTCAAGGGCATGACACCGGAGGAGTGGGTCAAGGAGAGGCGAGCAGCCATAGCTTTGGAGAATGGTGAGCCGCCCAAGAAAGCGCCGCTTAAGAGGGTCGATACAGGCTTGAATTCGGAAGAAGAAATCGCTTTTCTCCGCACACTCAAGTGCGAGCAAAAAGGATTGGATGCATATGGTTATGTCACTCAGTTACCGAGTGATGCCGAAGTGAACGAGACACGTTTGGCTCTCGAGTCAGCGGCTGGGTGGGAAGAATGCGACCGCTGCAAAACCCGCTTTCAAGTGTTTCCAGACCGCAACGAACAAGGCGCGCTGACGACTGGTGGGGAATGTAAGTACCATTGGGGCAGAATCATATACCCCAAAAAGTCCAACGACGCCACAGAAGTGAAGAGACTGTCATGTTGTAGCGCGGAGGTAGGATCACCAGGCTGTAGTACGCATGAAACTCATGTCTTCAACGTTAAAGACACAAAACGGCTGTCTCTAGTCATGCCATTCATTCAGACACCGGCAAACAACAAGGTTCCCAAGACTTCGGCTGTATGCTTTGATTGCGAAATGGGCTACACCACCAATGGCTTAGAGTTGCTTCGTCTTACCGTCATATCATGGCCACAACACAAGCCACTCATCGACGTCCTCGTCCGTCCACTGGGCCAAATACTGGACTTCAACACGCGCTTCTCTGGCATTACGCGAGATCAGTTTGTCAATGCGAAGGAATATGATCCGGCAAACCCTCAGCCAGTACGCAAAGACCTCCGTATCATCGACTCGCCTTATGCAGCGCGAGATCTCTTCCTCTCACACGTCTCTCCAGACACTCCTATTGTAGGACACGCGCTTGAAAACGATCTCAACACCATTCGCCTCATACACCCCTTCATCATCGACACAGTGCTCCTCTATCCAACCCGCCAGGGCCTACCCTTCCGCTTCGGCTTGCGCAAACTAGCCAAGGAGTACCTTGGTGAAGAGATCCAGCAAGCGGGCGCCGCTGGTCACGACAGCTACGAGGATGCGCGCACAACGGGCGAGTTAGTGAGACACAAGATCAAAGTAGAGTGGAAGCTGAAAAAGGTCGATGGCTTCGAAATCAGAGATGGCGGCGTGCACCCACCAATGCCACCTGGGGCTCCCCCATCACAGGCTCCCAATATGCGCCCGACGATACCAACGGCAGACATGACAGGGTTGATGGGTGCGAAGCCGGCCACTAAGAGGAAGCTGGAAGATGAAGGAGAGGAAGGCAGCGGTGAAGAACCACCGTTGAAGAAAGTGGAGGTTTAGAAAGTTGTTGGGCCAATGCTAGTGATTTGTTGGTGTCAAGATTCAGACTGGAAATCATCATATGAAGCTAATTACATGATAGTCTCTGAAGCCTTAACATGGCGTTTGGGGGGTATCTGAATTTCTCGAAACAAGACGCGTATCTCGCTTCCAACAACGCGTTGGGGATATACTCCGGAGTTTGGGCTTCCTCTTTCCTATTGCGAGTGAAGGAGGTGCTAAGTCATATTGTTAGCACTCCACCACACCTCGGAGTACGTATACCCACTCTCAATCCATGCTTTACACTTGCTCCTTCTTCTCTGCTTGTCTTGCACCCAAATAATGGAATCTTGACTTATCGTCCTCTTGAATATATCCTTCTATATCGAACAACACTGTGCCTTATCACCCCACTTCAACCAACCTTACTCACATCCAACCCCTGCACACCCTCAAGCTCTTCCTTCGTTGGTTCATGCACAACATCCGTATCCAACTCCTTCATAACCCCAACCACCACACTGGCGCTTTCTACAAACCCGTTTACGGCAACGCGCAGCATGCGGTTCGTGGTCGCCGCGTAGTCGACTTGCAGTACGGATTGCTCGGTTGAGCCTGCGGGTGTGGTGAGTGTGAAGGCGCGGCGTACGAGCGGCGAGAGTTCGGTGTCGACGGAGAGGGAGAGTTGGGCGGTTTGGGCGAGGTGCGCGGTTGGGAAGGGGATGTGGAGGGTTCTGTGGAGGAAAGGAGGGTTAGTGAGGGTATTTAGGGGGGAGGGGAGGGCAGAATATACAGGGTACAAGGGAAATCTTCTTGTTTCCAGTCTTTGGAGGATGACATGGTTGGCGGGGAGGTGTGATTGTACGCTGTTCTTTTTTGCAATGGCGGGGAAAATATGGTACAGAAGCGATTCTGTGTCAGGCAGATGTTACAGACTCTTTCTTAGAAAGAAACACGTTATGCAGGGCTGGTGAAAAGGTATGAGGGCGTAGAAGAAGGCGCGGAAAACGTCCGCCCATGTTTTGCGCTGTGAGGCTCAAACGTCCAAATTGTGGGGGAGGGGCACAAGTGGTTCCGTCGGCTGTAAACGGCTTAGCGCCGATGAGGCGCAGGAGCATTGGTACCTGATTCGAAAGCGTCATACATCATCATTGTCCAACGCGCACCATAGTAATGCGTCATGGCTCATTCGCTAGTGAAGTCGCATACCTTTGACTTTCCTCTTCTTTTCTCTCCATGCTTTCCTTGACTTATCCTCATTTCCACTTTCCAAGAATTGAATCAATTGCATATAATTCCAACGAACAATAACAATTGCGTTTGATCAATTAGAACCTCAAGCAACTATCTCTCAAAATGTTTCGCACCACCATCATCAAATCCCCCACGCGTCTCCGCCTACATGCTCCCTCCGTCCGTCCTTTCACCCTCTCAGCCTCCAACCGCGTAGCCCAGTACCCCAACGACCTAAGCACGAACTCAAAAACCAAAACGGACCTCTACGACAGCGATAAACCGCATGCAGTCCAGGACAAGGTCCGGCAAGGCGATACACATAATGTGCAAGAGAGCAATGCAAAGGCTGGCATGGAGTGAGTTTTAAAACATTTGTAGCTGGTTGAGATGGGGGAGAGAAAGAGAACAAAGAAATGGCTAATGCAATACAGCAGCGCGCACAAGGAGGGCAAAGGTGGACATGCAACTGAGCGCAAGGATTCGGCGGGAGGGATGGAGACGGCCAAGAAGGAGTTTCCTGAGGCGCCGGATCCGGCGATTGGGATGCAGGATGAGAGGGGTGGACGAGGTGCTTGAGTTGGGTTGGGTATGGGAGATGAGATATGTGGGGGTATATGCTGTTGAGATATGGCAGAGAAATGAAAGAGTTAATGGAATGACTCGATTGGTAGTGTCTTGGCTTGATACTCACCACACAGCATAAAGATCAACTCAATCCTCATCTTCTATCCTAAACTCCACCTAAGGAAACCTTTTCCTTACAGCCCCAACCTCCTCCTCCCTCCCTTGGACAAGATAAACCGCCATCAACAACCGCGCCGTATCCGCCACCTCCAGTCTACCCCTCTCAAAATCCCGTTCCCTTGCCGCCTGCTCCAGAATTTCAAGACAGCACTTCTCCGCCTCCCCCATCTTCCAATCTTGAACTTGACACGCGCGTAGCCGTACATGTTGTGAATCCAGCCGGGGTGCTGCGACGGTATCGTCGCGAGTAACTGGCGAACCAGGGTTTCAGCGTCTTTCCATCGTCCAGACTCGAAGTACGCTTTGCCGAGATTCGACTGCGTCATTGCGGTGCCGACGTGAGATTCGCCTAGTATCCTTTTCATGACGGGGAGAATGGCTTCTAAGGTGCTTACAGCTTTTTCCGGTTGTCCTAGTGCAGAGTGGACTTTTGAGAGGCCGTTTATGGACCAGAGGGTGTATGCGTGTTCTTCACCGAGGTGGAAGTAGGTTCGAGCGGGATTGAACATGGCGCTGAGAGTTTGGGGATCTTTGGGCCCAAGGTGCTTTGTTAATCCGTCAACTGCTCGCTCACCAGTCACCCGGGACATGTGCCTCTTCCCAGCTAGCCATAGGGTGAGCGTGATGTCGTTTAGAGCGAGGCAGTATGGTACGTGGATTGGTTTCCATGTTGGCCAAGTTGTCCAGTCCCGAATGTGCGGGCGGCTCCAGTGCAATGCATTCAGGATGCATTTCTGGACATCAAGAGTGGTTCTGATTTCAAAGAGATTCCACAGAGTGAGCCCGTAGCTGCGCTGGGCGTGGATCGTGTCGACATGGTGTTTTCCCAGCAGCCCTTGCCGGATCCGAATCACACTCTCCTGTAAGCGACGTGCAGACTTCCATTACCCTTGTTCAGCATACACCCAAGCAAATCTCTCCATTTGCGATGCACTTTCTAACGTCTCGGTTTTGTGCAGTTGCTCCGAGCTGTGTAATTGCAGACACCAACGAATGTGCGGCAGAAGCAGTGCTCGGAATTGCCTTCCAGAAGCTTCCAAGCTTTGTGAGATACAGTGAGCTAGGATTGTCATTTTACATCTCAACCACCGTATTTGTTCTAGACTGCTGGGCCTATCTCTTGCCCAGTTGTGAACTACCGGGTGCATGGTACATAGGCCCTTGTCATACTCGATGATTGAATGATCACACAAGACGCTGATTGCTCGTCGAAATCGCGTTTGTACCCCTTCATTCCAGATTGGCTGTAAGATGTCTGGGTGGTGAGTGGCTGTACCTTTTGTACATTGAAAGTCCTCCCATGATTTCTAGAAAATTCGCTCCAGTATGGTCTCATGATACATAAAGGTGAAAGTATGCATCAAGTCCACGGCATCCTTGTGCTCAATAGATTCTCGGGTTGCAATCTTTTGGAAAGGAATTTCCTATGTTACAATGGTGTTAATTTCTTCCACGCTTTTCGACCGTGAGTGACTCAGTGCAGACTTGCGTTGCAATAGGTAATACTTCAGATAGCGTTTCAAAGTGTAAATGTTCCGGCGAATCGTTGCACCAGAATGAGCAATTGCGAGGGGCAAACAACCCAACTCTATTGCAGTTCCCTTTGCGAGATCCCGTTTCTTAGAACCCACGGGCTGGGATCGTTGTTTTGGATCAGAAGAAGCGGCTTTGAGGAGCAGACTTATGGCTTCTTCAGGTTCCAGACCTTGAAAATGGAGATGCCCAGTAGTAGTATACTCGATGGCATTGGGGTTGCGGGTGGTTACAATGACATGTCCGTTACCTTCACTTGGATAACAAGCGGAGATATCCATCTTCAAGTCATCTGCATTGTCCATTATTAGAAGCCATGGTCTTTTGCAGTGTGATAGCCAATGGATGGCCGAAGTCATCGTTGATCTTCGTCCTAATTGGGCGCCAATGGAAGCAAATCTTGACTCAACATTTCCCTGACTACTAGCACCAACCCATAATATTGCCCAGTATCTGGTGGCCGATATTCAGCATATTTTATAGACTACGAGGTATCTTATAGGCCGACGTACCTATGCTTGTCTTCCACTGCATACCTTCGGTAGAACTAAGTCTTGCCTGAACCGCCTAAGTCATAAATTACTAACACATCTGGCGGAGTGTAACTCTTATTCTGTCTGATGGTGCCTATCATATTCTTTACATTCCTGACGTATTTCTGTCTACCAGTGAAACACGGGCTCAGTTTTCGCGGAATAAAGCACCATTCATTGAATTTGGGAATAGTTGTATCTATTTGGGATAATTGGCCCTGAGGACGTAGCAATTCTTCGACTGGGTGCTGCCGTTTCTGATCTATGAGTTGCACATTCACTTTCCACCTCGATGCGATCAATTTGGGTGCTTCTCGTATGTAACGAGATAATGCCTCAAGAATTGGCTGGAACCTGCGGTCATAGGTGCTGGCGAATTTGGCCAATGCGGAATGTGTTGCTGTGATGCTGTACTTTTTAACGTTATCCCATGCCAGCGGAGCAGCTGAATCCGCATCAATGATAAAGGCCATTCTGGATCCACCGTTCATTTTGAGTTCTTCCCAGAAGTTGTAAATTGAGAAGCTTTTCATTAATGGCGCGAATTGGTCATCGATCTCCTTCAGCATTTCTGATCCCTTTCGTATGCTGAGAGTCAAGTGGCTTGGCCCCAGCGATTGGCCGCTTTACAGTAGCAAGGCTTCGTCATTGAAACCATTTTGAGGAGTTCCCAAGAATATGATCTCATATGTAAAAGTGTATATGGACTGCAGATGCTCGACAAATTTACCCTCTCGTGAACTAGAAAATGCCAGGGCCCGTTTTGTTAGAAGTCCTCCAAACCCGTGACAGATGAAGATGATAGGTCGGTCAAAGGCATTGCAAAGTTGGCGATCTGCATACAGCTCGGCTACTAGATTATTGGCGCAAGCGAGTGTGTTGTTCGCGAAACTAATGCCCGGGGATGTGAAAGTTTCAGCTTTGTAGCTGTAGAGCAATGCTCAGAAACCATGTACCCTTTTCGGTAAGAGATCCCTAAGCCACAAGCCTTTAGATATTGGATCTGTCCAAAGTTTGATGTTCGTCTTCTTGGAGACTATGTATTGCAACAATACTGACAGGGTTAGCACTAGCGTGGCTGCATGTCCATTTTGATTGAGAAAAAACTTACTCAACGGTGTAGTTGTGATCGCTCTGCTGAAATGGGGTAGTTTCAACGATCTGTATTATTGCCATAGCATCATGAGTAGACAGTCTACACATCCAAACTGAACAAATTATGGAGAAATGCTATCTAGTAAGCGGCACGGGGGAAGCATAGCCTCAAACTTGCTTCACTCACTACGCACGACATGATCTGGTTCCTTGGAGAATCACCATAGGTATCATCTCGAAACGCCAGGGCTCTTTATATGCTCATGCTCATTGGCTAAGGAAGCAGTGGGCTGCATCGTCATTTGCGGCAGGCAACTTTCGCACGTAACACACGATGCTCCCCAGCCATGTCGCAAGACATTTTGTTTGCTCGCTGTTGCAGATTGTATTCTTTTTCAGTCTCGCATACTCGTAGTGCTCAATCCATTACTGTAGTCTAGCAATAAGGACTGTAACACCAGATACCAAAAACCCTATGGCCCAGCGTACACCTTGGAAACATACTAGTTATGCAGTTACACCGTTGTAAACCAAACTTTACGAACAGGCAGCGAGCCTATAAAAGCAATGAAACTTTGCAAAAATGGAAAGCAGATAGCTTATCCAAGAAACAGGACAAAAGGGGGTGGCATAGGTTCGGGACCTGCAGGGACTACTGCAACGCCACATCTTCAACTACTATTCTGGCAGTAAGTAAATATTAGTAGATCTATATTGAATATATGATTATACCAATACTCTACTAAAACCTTACGCGATAATAACGTTTTAGTAGTAGTTGAAAGCTTTACTTCTTAGTAGGCAGACATTTTGGTGGGATGTTGCATTAGCTGAACTATTGCACGTACTGACCACATACAGTAGCGTCTTGCCAAGACAACGCAGATAGAAACTTCACGTCAGCGCTGTGGCTTACTAACTAGTAGTTATGCCTGACAAACAACACAGCCTACTTTGTCAACCCCACACCACAAATTACCGATCGAAGAAGAAGGTTTTTATTGAGTATACTATTAGGCGGCTTCAATCTATCTCACTAAAACTACCATATGGCTATGACACCAGAGATTACCTGCAATTTGCTTGCCACACTTGCGCACCCGCCCTGGACGAAAGCATTAAGGCAAAATGTCTACATGACATTATATGGAGAAGAGCGAACACCGTTTGGTCTTTACATTCAGCCTAGCGGCACTACTACCGATTTTCTCTACCCAAACAAACAGCTTTTGCGATTCAACACCCTACCAGCGGAGCTTCAGTTTCAGGTTCTTACTTTTTGCTCTGCCTCTACTCTCTTTCAGCTTATGAGAGTGTCCTTTAGTCTCCGAAAAGAAGCGTGTAAGCTTTTTTGGGCCTATTCAGACACGTACTTTGTTATCGAGGCAGATTGGCTCCTTGATGGTGGCTACGCTGGCTACACTAGCAACGATTTGGCTTTTCTAGCCAAGGTGCAGAATATTCAGATTGATTATGATCGTGAAGTACGGGACAAAATCTGCCTTTTGCGTAATGGAATTGAGGAAATCCAGCAAGATCGAATCGAACACTTCTGGAAGATGTTTCAAGAGAGGTGTCCAAGGGCAAAGAGAGTGATTATTAACGAGGTTTGGGTGTTGATGAAAATAAGAGAAGAGAGACCTTGTATTGCAAAAGAACTTCAGCACCTAGTTCGATCGTCACCCCCTGGGATTCTAGCCTCTGCATTTATTATCGAGAAAGCCAACGTTCCAGCAGATATATGTGCAAGTGGCCCATCTACGCAGAATTTGCAAAGAGCAGTGTACCAACTGTGTCCAGACGGTTCATGGAAGGAGGGAAAGCTAGGGCAACACTGGAAGGCAGTCCTTGTGCCTGCAAAGCGATTTTCAGGCCCAGTAGGACGCATTTACGAACTCCGGTATAGAGACTCACTTCTTGATTTGAAATGGTGGGGGCTGTGGATTACTGTAGTAGAGGCTTTGGATCGCTGTCATTTTGACAAGGGCAGGAACTGGCCTTTCTCTTGTCCAATGGATGGGTGTAATGTGTATTTTCAAGTGGCAGGGGAGTGGACGATGCATGCGGCGGAGTTTCACAGTCAAGATTTGGTAGATGTTTACGGTCTTAAGATGCTTCCACAGGGTAGTATTCAAGACGAACTTAGGTATCGCAGGGCGAAGCTAGTAGAGAAGAAAGATAAAATTGATGAAGAGAGTAGAAAGATACAGCAGCAGTGGAATAGAGGAGGGCAGGAACAGCGAAGCGAGATGAAGCGTATGTGGCAGCAGCAGCTAAGCAATGATCCAGAATGGGAGACAGGAGGAGAGGATTGGTCCAGCAACCGAATTTGGCAAGAAATAAATCGAACGCTTCAGGAAGGAGAGGCAAAGTTGAGTATTGAGAGTCAAGTATAGATCTAGAGGTATTCTGCAGAGCAATGTATAGTCCTTGAAAAGATTTCAGCCTAAGACCGCGACACAACAATGCAGTTCCGCTGTTCGGCAATCGCATCTTTACTCAAGAAGGCAGAGAAGGGAAGCACTCGTAAGATTTGCTACGTCCTCAGCTTCAGCACAAGCAATACCAAAACCTAGGCCTTTTCAGAACTGCTATGGACAACCTCATCCACTTAATCTCAACTATTTTACATAATCTTTTGACAGGCCTCACATGCAACAAACCTCCAACCTCCTTTCTTTTCCAAGCAACAAATACACCCACTCATACCACCCTTACCTAATCAACTCGTCCGCTTCATCCCTCCGCTTCGCCTCAAGCATCTTAGTCGCCCTCTCGCACTGTATACCCACCACACCCTGTGCGTCCCTCGAATACCTAATCAGCGCCGCAACAACAAGCCGGTAACCCGGCGAGGTACGTGTCACAAACTTGACCATACCACTATGGTCATACGGAAGGCCTGCTCATTCCGTATCGTTTAGTATCTGGGCCGCTGAATGCTCTTCCACAATATTTTTTCCATTCATAAGACATTAGCCCAACCGCACAGTCGCACAAGAGGAAGAGGAAGAGAGAGGGGGGGAGGACGTTACATAAGCCAGCGTTGACCCCAAACTCGTCTTTTCTTGCTCCTAGAAAAAGTAGATGCGGAGGTTTTTCACAAGTGGGGCGAGCATATCGGTAATGTTTTGGACGACTTCTAAGCCCTCGTGCAGCGCGTCGGCGAGTTGGCTCGAGGAATCGGCGAGTTTGGAAGGCGCGAGCGCGGTGATGAGGCGGCTGGAGACGGAGGCGAGACTGGCTTTGTTGCTGCCGTTGTGTGGGGTGCTGAGGAAAAGGATGGCGTAGGTGGATGTGTCGATGGAGGAGGTGTTGGACGAGTTTGCTTGTTCTGCTGGCGGAATGTGCGAGGGCCTGTACGTTCTGTGTGTCAGTCATTAATGGATTTGTAGTGGTGGACGGGATATGAGCTTACTCTCTTGAGTACAATACCACCTAGTGAATGGCAGATGGATATGGTGGGTCGCTGCATCGCATCTTCAAACTGTAGGAAGAATGTGTTCGTCACTTTCCAGGACCACTGATTAAAAAAAACCTCACTTCTCGATTGGCGACCAGTTCTACAATCAGCGTATGCGCATGCTGCAGAATACGGTCCGAAGACGTTTTCCCGAAGAAGGCTGCAACCGTAGCGTTGTATCCAAAGGTCAGGATACGAGATTGCTTCAGATTGCCAGGGAGAAGGTTGGTGTTCTGGAGCCAGGACTTGCTGGTCTTGTCGGCACTCCAGGTCTTGAACGGATGGCCGTTGAGCCCATATATAGCGACGATGCTTGAGATATTTAGCCTAGGAATGGGATGTGTCAGGAGATGATGTTCATACTCAATAACTGGGTCTTCGCCTCTGTAAAGCTCAAAGAGTCCAGTAGACTGTTCCATTTCTCGTTCCATTTGTGAAGAAATTTTGCATCGGAACAGCAACAATAACTTTCGTGCTTAATAAGGGACTTGGAGTATTTTTGAACAAGTATCTGGTGTTTAACAGCAACCGTCTAACAATAGGTCTCACCTCCCTTTATCAAACGAGTCAACACCAGCGTCGTTATTAAATACTACATCAAATCACACCAGTCCTTCCGCACAGCCTTACATACACAGCCCTTGAGTCATTTTCACACACACACACACACACACAAAACGCAATTACCCAAGATTCTGCCCCTGTCTCGCATCGAATAAGACAATTCTCACACATGCAGCACAAACACCCCCTTCCAAGGAAGGACGTCATACCAGGCAAAACATATCCAAACGACACAACCACCCTCACGCCAAAAAAACATTACCCAGCCCACGCTTCAGCTACCGTCTTCCCAACCGAACCCCATAGCAAGCGAAACGCGATCCATGCAGTAAGACACACATGATGGTCTTTTTCGCGCATGGAGAATGTGAGACAAGAATGTGCCATTGGTATTGAAATGCAGTACAAGTACGTATTTGCTTTGATTTCTCTCAAACCTTGCTGACGTACCTACTAAACATACTTTATTCCTTTACAAGATATCAAATAATGATCCTATAAATTCACCACTATATATAACCATAGCCAATCTAACTCTCACTCCCATATATGCCACAACCCCCCCCCCCCCCCCCACCTTCTCTAATACTCATAAGTAAATACCCTCGTCGTACCAACACCTCCACAAGCATAAATGTCGCCGCCACATTTAACCTTGCACATAGCGACATCAGTCTCCGTTAAATCTGTATTGAGTGCATTACCGCAGTAGCAACTATGGCCATCAGAAAGGCCAAAGAACTTTGAGCCGCGGCAAATGTGCTTGCACTTGTAGGCCGTCATTTCCAAGTCTTTGATGTAGAAGTCGGTGAGGGCGTGCTTGGCGGTGGTTACGTAGCATTTTTGGATTTTGAAGCTGGTGGACTTGTAGGGCTTTAGTTGGTCTTCGAGGTCGTGTTGTTTGGCAAGGTGGGTTTGCTCTTTGGTTTGGCAGGTTTGTTTTTCGGTTTCGAGAGAGGTGGTTAGTTGTTGCTCACGCGAGAGTGCATTTTCGAGATCGGTCTTCAATGATTGCTCACGTGCGAATGCAGTGTCGAAGTCCGTCTTCAGCTGCTGTTCACGCGCGGCTGCGTTGTCGAGATCCGTCTTCAGCTGTGCCTCGCGTGCGGATGCATTTTCAAAGTCTGTTTTCAACTGCTGCTCACGCGCTGTTGCGAGACCGGCGTTGATAGCCAACTGCACAAGACACTGCTCCTTCTCTGCCTCGCACGTAGCGCACGACGCACTTCCCGGCGCATCAGTGGATAATGTCCGGTTGAAGCGGATACCATTGGTACAGGTGCAATCGCAGCTTGGCTTTGCAGTTGAATCAACGCATTCCAAGGAAGGTTTGGCACCTGTCGTTACATTAATCTTCTGCTGCATCATCCGAGAATGCAGAGTCATGCACCATTTTCGCACGTGTACGAACTGCTTAGGGATTCGGGCGTGCCGAGGTTGCGTGGCATGGAGCCCACAGCTTTCGGGGCCATGTAGCTATGCGCACTTGCGCATAGCATGGAAAGAAAGAGGACCTGAGAGGCCTTCATTGTGTGCGGTTGTTCGGTGTTGGGAGGGATCGCCGCAAGGATGGATGGGTAGTGAGTAGATGTTTTATAGAGCAGTGATCTTATATGCCCTTTTTATATGACTTTTTCCGCGTCATTGACTGTCAGTAATCCTTTTGTACCTCAACATGTTTCTGTTTGGGTCAAGGCATTGCCTAGACGCTGCGTACTGTTAGTCGCGGCAGCGCATTGTGTGGGTAGGTACCTTTCGCTACTGACAGGTTCGCCTTGCGGTGCAGCATGTAGAGATCTCCATTGCACTAGTAGTTAGTGTATGACGTACTGTTGAGTATCCGGGACAGTGATGTGCGTATCTTTGACAAAGATTCTAGCTCCGGTGCGGTTCAATGGATGGTGGGTAGACAGTGAGCGGGGTTCGGAAATGCCAATTCTATGGTTCGTATGCAAGTTAGTGGCTAGTGTGTCTTTTTGACATGGTATTCGTGGCCATGCGTTGGCGGGAGGTTAGGAGGGGTTGGAATTATCTAGAATGCTTTTTCGAGACTTGGACCTCACCCCATACCTATATCGGGCAATAGTACTAGTCTCTTGTTTGCTTTCAGGATACTCAAAGATGGTTCATATTCAAAACAACTGGATTGCTATGAGCAATTGTATGCATGCCGGTTTCTGTGAGAAGGCGCAGTTCTCAGATATAGAGAAGTCACTACCTGGGTGGTTGGCTTTGCCGAAATGGGTTTAGTGTAAACCGAGCTTCGCTCAGATCTACTTGAGCTAATAATTAGTTACCATTATTACTTTTTATCAATCTGTATCATTATGATGATAGATATGGGTTTTTAGATGATTGGTGTTGGGGATGTTACTTGAAGTTTTCTCCCCGCTGCCTAGGAGCGTTTTTATATAACATTTAATATTAGTATAACTAACTACAGTGAAAGTGTATCATTGCCATTACCAATATCGAATGCGTTAATATTTACGGCAGCACCAGAGCACCGCTAGCTACCTGCACGTTTAGAAGCTAGATATACGAAGTCAACTATTGCGACACAGTGAGGTACACATCAAATACTACTCGAAAACATCACAGTGAGTATATAAATGTGGTGCAATAAGTGATTTCACACATCCCCTTTTCCCCTTTTTCGAATCTGCCATATATTCTCCAACCACAGCGCTACGCAAACCACCCGAAAACGACTCCTCATCTTACACTGTACTAACTTCCTTCCCTTTTCTCTTCCACCTCGCTTCAGCCCAGCCACCCCTAACCAGACATTTTAACAGTCTCAAATCTTCTTAGAATACAGGCTCAAATGCATACTGCCACCACACATCTTACTACTGCACCCACACTTGCTATTGCAATATCTCTCTAGAACTTCATTTGTGTGTCCCTCGAGGCTGTTTCCGCAGAAGCAATGCTTGTAATACTCGAGAATATAGTACTTGTATTTGGTGCAGATAGCGGCACACTTTTCAGCCGTCAGGTCGGATGCTTGGGTCCATAGGCCGGTGAGTACGCGCTCTACTGAGTCGGTGTAGCAGCCCTCGTATGTCCAGGTGTTGCTTTGGCACGTGGCTACTTGATCTCGCAGATCCCTCTCCGCTTCCAAGTACTGTTATTCTTTCAGCATGTAGGATGTTTTGATTTGGTTGAAGTCAAATGCAAGTTGCTGCTCACCCAGCAGACATTCTTCTTTCTCGGCCTGGCAGCCGTCGCACATGCGGTCGTTGGAAGAACCAAGGGAAAAGGGCTGGTTGAAGCGAATACCGTTGAAGCAGGTGCAGTCACAATTTGCCTCTGATGATGGAGGAACACGTTCTAGAGAGGGCGTTGCACCTAGGTTGTGTACGTGAGCCTCGATGGATCCTCGATTGCATCTCGGGGTCCTTACCGTTGTTGCAAGTGTATGAGTGATCGGAGACTGAGTGGCTTCCATAACTGCGCTTTTGTATTACTTTCTCACGTACCATAGTTCTTAGGTTCAGTACTCAATACTCAACATACCTTTGGGTCAACGTATTGCCTTGTCACCACCAGTAGTAGTATGGTGGCGGCCGTTGAGTTGCCTAGAGTGCTTTTTTTGAACCTTGGCCTTGTTCTATATTTGCCTCTATCAGTGGGTCGTGTTTTCTTGTTCAGGCTGAGCTTGAGTTAGTCGAAAAGATTGGTAAAAGACAACTAAGAATGGATACGGCGTGAGTTCAGAGAAATCCAGATTGAAAGACCGAGCTTTGATACTGAAAAAGAAGGTCAAAGAACACAGTTGCACAGAAAACCAAGTTCAAGGTACAGAATGCGAATAAGAATATGTCTTAGCTAACTTTTTCTTGGATGAATAGACAAGGCCAGTCAGATGTGTTTTTTCCCTTTGCATACAACAACAAACGCCGTGAACCCCCCCGCTCATGCTATGCAAACATTACATTTACAAGATCCGGACATGGCTTCATATCCATTACCCATTCAAAAACAAACATCGTACTCATGCTATGCGGCCCAGTTATCCCAATCGCCTGTCTTCTTGGAGGGATGAACTTGTTGGCTAACGCTCTTTTTTCTTTGAGGGGCAGGATCCAAAAAACCCTCAGGGATATCGTTCCAATTCGATGTTCCATTCGGGGGCGGTGCTACCACGGGTTTTGTTCGCTGGGCTTTTCTCTGGTCTGCGGCTTGTTCATCACTGGAAACATCGTACTCGTCCTCTTCATCCTCTGAGGTGTAGTTGTATGGGTCAAACTTCTTTCGTTCAATTGGCTGGAGTTGGACGTCGTCATCGGCGTACATGCCACGATCTCTTCCTAGGATCTGGTCTGCTTTGCTTGGACTTCTCCGACCGTCAATAGGACCTCTTACAACACCGTTCGAGGTGGTGAGGTAGCGTGTTTGCTCGCCATGGCGGACTGCTGACTGCCACTCGGGACGTCTTGCGGGTCGTGCGATAGGCTGGCTACGCTGACCGGGCATCCATCCGTCGGGACCGCGAGTGGGGCGCCTGAATTCAGCTTCAGTAGGAGAATCAACCCCCCAACCTGCAGCGCGCTCACGCTGCTTTTGCAATCTTTCTTCTTGTTCCCTCTCTCGCTTTATGCGTTCACGGACTGCGAGCCACTTTGGACTGGGCTCCCAAGACCAGCCGTCTCCCGTGGTACTGGGTATGGGCACAAGCCATTTCAAGGGCGAAGGACCGAAAACATGGGCAAGATTACGTCGCCAGCCCAAGTCAAATGCATTGGGGAGCTGCTCGTTATCGCGTTCGTCAAGGTAGTTATCGTATCGATCCTGGTTCTGCTGACGTTCACGGTATTCGTACGATTGTTGATAGGAGTGGGAGAAGCCGTTGGCCTGACCAGGAACAGGGGAGCGTGAAGTAGAATGCGAAGGGATTTCGCCTTCCTCGGGTCTTGTGACACCTGGCAGCGCATTGGCATGGATCTCGCGTAACTGATCGCCTATACTCAGTCGTCCGTTTGCTTGCGCATCAAGGTAGTTTCTGTCGTTGAGCTGATGCTTCATCGTGGATCGCAGGGGGGACAAGTAGCGTGTCTTTTCCAAACTTTCAATGGTAGTCTGACCCTTTACTGTGAGCCACAAGTGCCAAGCGGTGAATCCGGTGATGACGATGCCAATGATGCCGGACAGCACGGCGAGGAGGACGTAGTTGACGGGCATAAAGGACTCTGTGTATTTGCCGTCGCTGAGTATCTCGCTCCAAACCCATGTAGCAGATGTGGCAAAACATATCCAACAAAAGACGCTCAGATATATGAGGAAGAGGACAAAGGCCTTGTAGTTGCGGAGGCCAACACAGGTAGCGAGCCAGGGACAGTGGTGGTCCATTTTCAGAACGCAGCGCTTGCACGTGGAGCAATGGTGGGAGCGATCGGGTTTTTTGGTCTGGCACTTGTTGCAAAAGCGCAGTTCGCCGGTCGAGGCCTTGACGGTAAAGGATGTGTAGTGGATCTCGCCGCCCTCCTGCGAGGGCAGGTGGCTGTAGCCATCTTTGATGTTGAGCGGGGATCCGGGGTCGGTGAAGACGGCGGTGGTGTAGCTCCAGTTGAGCATGAGGTAGAAGAAGAGGCCAAGGGCCGAGGATGTTTTGCCTGGTGGGCATATGTTAGCATGGGTGTGGGAGTCTATTGTTGACGCAACGGTGGTGTCGCATAAGCAAGGGCAACAACGACAACATACCGGTCCAGGCATTCTGCGAGGGGACTAGGCCGATGCCAGTCTGCACCCATACGGCCCACGAGGTGAGGCCATATACGAAGACGAGAGGGAAGTAGGTGACGGCGACGCAGCAGTAGCGCTCGACCTTGCGGGCCCAGCTGCGGCGGCGCATTGTTGTCGAGGGGGAAGACGGGGGCGAGGGCGAAGCCAGCGTGGCCATTACGATTGGGGCAGCGAGTGGGCGGGCATGTGGTGCGCGTGTGGCAACGGTGTGCGGGGGCCGAGGGCGGACGAGTGCGTAACGTATGGTTCCCCTGTGGCTCTGTCGAGATGGGAAAAAAGGGTCTCGGGCAGGGTGAGATGCGGAGGACGAGAAGCCGGGAAGGGTGGACGCCTAGTAGTTTCAGCGCGCAGCGGCGCACACCATGTCACAGATTACCAAGCCGGGCAACGGCGGTGGCAGCAGCCTGTGACCAGACAAGACATGGAGGACAGCGTCGCACTGCAGCGGGCGTGTGTTGTATGTTAGGGTGTACATGTGTAAACATGGATGTGTGTGTAAGTACGTGTGTTTGCGTGTGTATCCATGGTGGGTTGGCCGGGGTGGATTTGGGCCTCGCGCTACCACAGGCATTAAACACCATCCATCATCATCGTCGTCTTCGTCGTCGCGGCCTCGAATGCACGGGCCCATGGCATCCCGTCTGCGATCGGCCTGCATGGAACTGCAACTACGCTTGGCTACGCCGTTTGCGCGACGATGCGGGACGAGCAAAGCTTCAAAAAGTTACTTATGCGACCAGGGAAACAAAGATGCCGACTGGCTCGGGATGCCGAGGGGGAACGTGTTGCCAACCCCAGCCGAGCATGTAAGTACATGCACCCAAGTATATATATATATATAGTTACATAGCACACCGGACATGATTCATCCACAGCCCTCCTCCCTGGTTGCACCGCGCATCTGCATCCATGGCGTCCGCTGGCCCAAATGACGACAATCCCCGCTGAGGCCGTGGTAATCTAAAGTAGTCTGTTACAGCCGTTACACGACGCCATGTCGGTGCTAGCTCCCGTTGGATGCGCTGCGACATTTAGACATGGCCGCCGCCCGCACGCACGCACGCCTATCTCGGTCTTGCCTCTGTCGCCGCCATCCTTCCTCCAAATGCCAACTTCACGCTCGTTTTTGTTCTTGTGACCCCAGCGTCGCCCCTGTGTTTTCTCCTCCTCGCGGACATGTACTATAATTCCACACGTGCGCCCACTCCACAAGGTCCAACTCCTTAGCCCGTCATCATGCTTGCCTCGAGAAAGCGCCCAGCGCCGCTGCTGATCTTCATCCTCCTTGTCGTCGTCGGCCTCTGGTGCCACAACAGAAGCTCCGACAGCGCCTACGCACAATGGCTATCGTCGGTTGAGTCGCGGTCCACCAAAGTCCCAGCAAACAGAACGCTGGGCTTCGGCACCGTCCTCGTCGTATCCAAAGAAGGGTCTGCCCGTCGACGGCCGCTAGTTCAAGCCGCCAACGTCACCGAAATCGACCTCACCATCCCCCAACAGCCAGAGTGGACAGAAGGCGACGTCCAGCGCTTCATCAACGGCCACTCCAATACCCAGAAGGGCTCTATTCTAGCCTGGCTGGGCCATCACAATGCCCTGCGCTGGTATGCAATGGCCCCCCAATTTCCTCGTCCTTTTCTTCATCACCACCTGCTGACTCGCTCCCTCAGGTTCCTGGATTCTGGCCTCGAGACGGCACTCATTCTCGAAGACGACGTCGACTGGGATATTCGTCTGCGCAGCGTCCAGATACCTCTGGCGGCAAGTGCCACCCGCCAGCTCCTTCCCCCGGTACGCTCACGCCACCCCAACATCAACAAGAACCCGAACCGCACGCAGTACTGGGGTGACCAGGATGGGTGGGACATTCTCTACCTTGGCCACTGCGGTGACTACTTTGATGTCGTCGAGGAAGACGGCCCCAAAACAGATCGCCAGTCGTACAACTTGAGCTCCATAGCCCACAAGCTGTACCACGACCCCACCATGCCCTCATGGCTCGACTTGCACCCTTTTACCCAGGCTCTCTTCCGCTTGTTAGGAATGCCCGAACGGACTCGCGTCATGCACCGCTCCAAATTACCTCTCTGCTCCTTTGGATACGCCGTTACTCGCCAAGCTGCCGAACGACTCCTCAACGATCTTGCGCCCCCAAAACTGAAGAAGAACGGAGCCCGCGCCTTTGACGTCGCCCTCTTGCATGCTTGCAACAAGGGCGAGAACACTCCTTCACCAACGCCCGAGTGGCAACATCCTAAGAATTCGCCCGATCCCAAACTACGAAGCAAATACCCGAGCCCCGGACTGCGCTGCTGGACACTGAATTCGGAGCTGTTCCACCACATGCCTGGTATGAGTGAGATCGACATGTTGAGCGCACTATCCGGTGAGAAGCCTGGTCTGCCGCCGGTAGACCGTGCAGCCCAAGCCCAGGTCGTCTCGCGAAACGAAACTACCAACATCGACTGCGGTTTCTGGAGCGGCGCTTTTGCCTTCGACAACAACGACACGGACCGCCTCCACTTCCTGCAAGAAAAGGTCGGGCGGCAAGGCGTCTGTCTCAAAGACAAAAAACAGCATGGAGACACGTTTTATCCGCCACAAACCGCCCTGGACTAATAAAACGATGAACGGCATGTACATATATACTATATTTCATTACGAGCACACATCTTAGCGAAATACCCAAACTCCATGGAGTACATGGACAAATGATTACGGGCGTTCACGGGAGTTACAAGGCACACTGGCTACGAAACAATTGGACATACGGCGCACACGGTCATGTTTTTTTCTCTTCTCGATTCTGGGCGAAATGCCATTCAGTACGCATGCAAGTGGCAGATTTGCCCACTGTAACTTTTTCGGACTTTTTTTGGATCCTTCTTTTCAACCACTTCACCAAGGTGGGGGGACCTTTGATACCACAACGCAAACCTTTGAGATTCACAAAATTTCCCCCCTTTGGCAAAATAGAACCCCTGTTTGTTGTTCATAGAAAACACCTAGCATATCATTGAATAACAAAGAAAATAAAAAAAATCAGCATTACCACCGAAGTACCACCTTTGCAAGATTCGCATGCCATGACTCCCCCACGCATATTTAACTTTATCTCTCTCTTCCAATCTTGGAAATGACATTCGTGCACGCCCCTCCCCTTGCTTCCCTTTCCCCCAAATGAACACACCCCCACCCCGGTCCAATGAAACCCCTGTTAGAAAAGGCAACAAAGGGTTTCGGCACTACTACGCTGACATTTGTAGATCACCTATGCATCCACACATCACGCATTCTAACAAATAGCTTCGTCACACACACACACACACACACACACAAGATCTATATTCACTCGACGCGCAACGTCGAAATTGTAAATAAGGAAATGAAGGAAACGAGATCATCGTATTACTATCTTGGCAGCAACGAGAAAAGCAAACAGGTACCGCCAATAAAGGAAAGCGCGCGCAAGCGAGCGAGCGTAAAGCAAGGTTGCGCCTTGTCGGCCCGATGGAGGAAATGCCCCAGTGGGTTCAAGGGAAGTTGGGTTGGGTTGGGGGGGGGGGGCCAAGATATTTTAGTTCTTCCGCGCATGTTAGTACTAAGTAATTTGGATAGCACGTAACCTGGCCGAAGGGAAAGACGGTGAGGAGTATCCAAGTATGTATGCATTGATGTTCGCGATGCCTATGTAGTCATGGAGAGGGGGGGGGGAAGGGTTTTGGTTAGATCGGAGTTCTTTGGAGTGTTACGACGGGAATAGGTACGCATGTAGTAAGTAAGCAGCGAATCCTTGGCGTATCGGGATTTTTTTTTAACCTTAAATGAGGGTTAGTGATTATGTGTTGGTTTTTAATTATAAAGCTAGGTCTGCTAGAGGAAATGCATGCGGGTTATTTTTTGTTGAGGGTAGTGTAAGGGTGGGTGAATTGCGGACATCATTCTGGGGAGAGCGTGCGAGTGATGGGTTGGACTTAGCGTGGAGTCTGAGATAGACTATTTTTTGGTGTATGATTGGAATGCTTCTTTGGGTTATGCTTAGGTGAGGTAAGATTGTGTCGTGTGCATTGTGGGGAGGAAACAGGTGTTTGGTATAGGCTTTGCTAGTGGGTATTGTTGTTTTGGGTTAGGGTAGGTAGTTTCAGGGCAGAGACTAATAATCTGCCAGTGGTTTGTATGTTCTTCTTATCTATGATAAGTTTTTATATTGGCATACTGCTATGCATCTCTTTCGATTTGCTTTAACTGGATATACAGCATGTTATCGGGTACACTATGTCATCTTCATAACAGTCCATATAACAGTGTTGTTGTATTCCAGCAACGTCGTGATAATTTCTCGACAAATATCGCTTCGTGAACCTCCTCCGCAACCCCGTCATTTCAACCTTCACTCTACAAACCTACTTCTCATTACTGAATCACATTCTGGCGAAACATACGCCCCTCACCTATCTACTCCCATGTCTGCCTCCATAATCCTCCTCCAACCCTGGACTTCCACATGTTCCAACAACCTGTACAGCGCCTCGCCCCTCGAATGCCCCACCACAATGTCTGTCAGAAGGTTGATATTCCCGTACATATTCCCCCCAGCGCAGTTCGTGACCACGGCCTTGTAAAGTACTTGCCCACTGCTTGTTATCTGGCGTCCGAGTTGCACGGTGGCGCCAGTTGAGGGTGGCCAATTGGATTGTACAAGTAAGGTGATGAATTGCAAGGTGTTGAGGTCCAGAGGGGAGACGAGTGCAACGAGTCGGTTGGACATTTTGAGCGATTGAATCTAGGCGAGAAGATCTGCTTGGAGAGGGAATTGAGCGGGGTTCCAAAGCAATGGGAAGCTGTTCTATATAGTGGTTGGTGGAGCGACTAAGCATCAGAAATATTTCGTGTGCTGTGCATGTGACCATATAGAGTATGCTTGTTGGCTTGACAAGCGAAGTAAGTGAATAAGTGATTGTATGCGATTGTCAAACAAATTAAGTTGGCAGGCGATGTAATAGTCTTGAAAAGTCATATTGTTGACAAGTTCGCAGACACACATCCTAAAATATGTAAGTGGATATGACACAGCTAGAGCAAATGTTCTAATTGTAGCTATTAAACATGAATCATGGGGTAGCTCAAACCCATTCTCACAACTTAGCTTTCTCATCCAATAACGGTATACCAACAGCCTCTTCCAACTCCATCACTGCCTGCTTTGTCTTGCCTAGATTGACCTTGATAGTCCTAAGTCCCGTCTTCTTCGCAAACTTTAGATTGATTCCAATATCATCCAAGAAGAGCGTATCACCCGCCGTCACTTCTCCCATACCCTTTTTCTTTGCAATCTTATCCATCTCTCTTACCGCCAGTTTGTATGCCTCGGGATCGGGTTTCCGTACACCAACGGCAGCCGAGCCGAGGAAGATGTCGAAAAATGAGGTGATGTCTACAGAATCATTTGCGTAAGGATTCGGCGGCGGCGCATGTACGATTTCCTTTGTGAAAAGGGTGCCTTCATCGTCCAGGATGCCAGTGGGAAATGTGACATTATTACTGAAAGCGCCAAGTACGAATTTCCCGCTCTCTCCCAGCTTGCGCAGCGCAGGGTACATGTATGGATCCGGCGTGCGACTGATCTTCATCATACGCCAGAACAGCCTCTTGGCATCAATGTTGGGCACTGCCGGTGTTCCTCCAACAACAGCCTGACCGCCCCCTACGCTTTGCTTTTTGGACAGCTTTTGCAGATATTCGGACCATACTTCGGGGCGCGAAAGCTGCTGCTTAAACGATGCGAACCAGGCGTCATTGAGTTCGACTTCGCCCCGTTCAATCAGCTGCCATGCGCCTGTGTCGTGGGGTCCTTTTTGAATCGCATAGTTGATATAGCCAACTGGGATCTTGTTCTCGATCTCATAGTCGAGGATCGCTTGGAAAGGGCTGACAACCTACGTCAAGTAGAGAAGTTAGCGTATATGTTTGTTGTTAATGAGAATGATTGCTGGCCACTTACCACTACACCGCCTATGTCGAAAAGGATAGCCTTTGGGGGTTTAGATGGGGTCGACATGTTTGTGAAGGGAGCAACGAAATGTCAAGCCTAGTTATGACGATTTCATGGCGGTCTGAAAAGCGCCATGGCTGTTGTTAGAGGTTGTGGAGATCCAGGTACCTCGGCAACGGATAAGCTTCCCTGAATCGCGTTAAGCTTATTTCCGTTAGCGCCGATTGTGGAGTGCAGCTGCAACTTAACACTACCGAGCCGGCTCCACAGACTATAACTATACATATTAATAACTGTAGATGTATGTGGAGCTATGACGTTATGTGCTCCAGTGCCTGGAAGAACTCAATACTTGCTGCATAGTTCATGATGTTGTGAGCCTCATATCGGTAAGTATGGGTATTCATCATAACACTGACATGCGGGGAGGATGAGGCAAGAGTACCGTTTCTGGTCTGAATATCTAAGTGAGCTTTGATCAATTGGAAAGCGAAAAAACAAAATTTCAAGACCCGTCTGATACATGATCTGCAAGACATTTTCGTGAAGACAGCCCTCTCCATCCAAGACACAAATCCCATCAGCTCAATTTATTTCCTCGATAGCCGTAACAACATGTCTGTTCCCCTGTCTACATCTTTGGCTTTCCCAACACCTTCCCAAGTAATTTTGTTTAAAGCTTCACGGAGGCTTTTGGATGCACGTGCATCTGGCTCGTTCCGGGGATATTGCTTATGCCGCTCATACATGTCAACGACCCGTGCAGCACCCCTATCGTGATACTGAAGCAACTCTGCTTCAATAAACAAGTCGATGTATCCACCGGCGGGCTGCATGTTTAACACGTTGAACCTGACAATGTTGCGCATGACAGCATCGATCCAATCAGGGAATTGCAAGGCCCAGATGCTTTGCACGTCAACCTCATTGACTGGCTCATTCCGCAAGCGATATTTAATCTTTTCACAAAGTGCTTCGACTTCGAGAGCGCCGATACGCATTAAGCTGCGGTAGATCTTGACGGCATCACTGATGGTTCTATTTACCGAAACTGTGTCGGTCTTGGATGCACGATTCCCCACATCTGGAATCTTAACTACGCTATTCAAAAAGATTTTCTTTTCTATCGAAGATCGATCGCTCTGGAATTCAATTAAGCAGGGACATTTGGTGTTCAGAGTTGCGTGTCTTGGAGTGCAAGAAAGGAGGATGCCTATTGGGAAAACTTTTTATACAAATCGAAGAGGCATGACATTGTGACGAAAAGCGCACAATGTCAGCCCAGACACGTCAGGCTGGATTACTAAACCAATAGAAATATTTTATTTATTCGCGGAAGACGGCAAGTGTGTATCTTCTGAAACGACTCAATAGACTGGGTACGGTCCTCGGCCCATTGCAAACATCTTTCACTGCTGATGTGGTATTCAATCTTCACATGCAGATTCAGGGGCATATCGAATCGATAATATGTGTAATCATAAGATGTCTAAGACTGCGAGATTTGATCTTTTGAAGTTCGTTCGCAGCTGGAATTCTGGGCCAAATCAAGATCCCCAAGTTAGTTCATAGGCAAAAACCGTACGACGAAGGAGCTCATCCTAATAGGGTCAGTAATGTCTCTGAACTTATAAAATGACCAGACTTACCCCTGGATCTTCCTCGAACATGACCTTTTCCATGACCTTCTCAAACATCTTATTTACAGTAAATCCTGCATTTCTGGCTAGATCAAAGAACGCCATGTCCTTTTCATATAACCAAGGTCGGTAGGGAGAGAAGAAGACAAAGGCTCGAGAGGTGGGTAACTTTTTCAGCGTCAACTCCACTGTTTTGACGAGCTTTTCATGTTCTGAGTGATTGAAAAGAAGATCGGCTAAGATTAAAACATCAAAACCCGAGTCATTATCAAGATGCTTTATCAGATCTTGGGTGGGTGCACCCCATAGGTAGCCCTGCGCACTTGTTAGTGAAGTCCGTCAAACCTAAAAGCGGCTACGAACCTCGGCCACAATCTTTGGCGGCTTAGAGAGTAGCTCGCAGTGGTCGATGTTGTATCGTAAATTCTCAATCAGATCGGCATCAGGATAGTCAGTGACTACCGTCTGAGCAGCACCTCTGAGCGCACAAACGAGACTAGGAAGTCCCGCTCCGGCACCTAGTTCCAACACAGTCTTGTCTTTCACAAGTTCGTCTGCATTTCCTTCCAGATATGATGAGATTGTCCGCCCCGCATTCCATAAGAAGTGACCCTGATTGCTTCAGTGAGTATACTCTAAAAGGGTGGGGCAGCCAGAAAATGTGTAGTGTGGACTGGCAGGTTGGGAAAAAATCCAAAAGAACTGTTTTTTTGATACCAAGCATAGACAGGAGTTCCATGCTATGGTTGAAACTATTGCTGCACGAATGGGGTCTTACCCACAATGGATTGTGTCCGACGAGCCGGATAGTAAGGTCTTTGCCGGAAAGCAATTTGTGAGAGGCAAAAGTTGCCTGCTTTTCTGGTTGGTAGTAATCAGCGGGTTCCTGGAATAGATCCAGACCCTCATCTTCAGCATCTGATGACATGGTGAAAAGAACGATTTTACGAAGGAAATGTCTTGGCTCGTGATTGAAATTCGGGTAATCCAGAGCGATGAGCCACATGCAAAGTCACGTGTTGAACTAGCCACCCCAGCCACACTAGCCATCCGAGCCACCAGCTTGTCTTCTTGACTGGGCAACTTTCCAGAACACCATCGTCTGGACCAGCAGACGGCTTGTGGTCATGGCGTCAGGGCGGTTTCAAGCACATCGTATAATCTTTTCACCCCTAGCGAATCTCGCCTGCTGTTGCATCCAGTGTCACTTGGACTTTTGGGTAAGTTTGGGGCGGCTCGAGTAGCGTGGAGGTATTGGCGCCACGATGGATGCGCACGCTGCCGCCCAACTCGAGGGTACCACCTACGCACATGACCATGGTGGTATCGTGGTGCTCAAGTGCAAAGACAGGCCAAAAATGCCCCAGGGCACAACGACTCCATATCCCTACGTCTCAGTCTGATACCTCGTAGCCGCGATATGGTTTCCGTGGTCCCACAAACCTTCACCGGCAAAGCGATCCTCTGTGCCACCTGGTCATTCATCGCCACTTGCACGCGCCCCGTTGCAACCGGCTCTCTTCCTCTTTGTAGTCCTCTAAACGGCTTGTTGGCTGGCGTTTTTCTCTCACATGTACGTACCTTCCCTATCTACCAATGTGAAGCAACTAAGGCCTCTTAGTAAGAAACTTGCTCATGCCAAGACACTAAACCCAATCCATCGTCCAACGACCCTCCCATCCACACACTTCACCACAACCCTTTGAGCGCCAACCAGAGATCTCCCGCGCCTTGACGCCGTGGCTCCAGGACCGTCATCGATGCACCACGCAAGAAACTGATTGCTGTATCTGTTCTATGGCCTGACGGTCAGGTGCTATACGCCACAACCCATGCTGTATCTGAATAGGCCAGCCATTCCCGGACAACTTATGCTGGGTCAGTTGCTTGTTAACGTGGGTTCTTACTGCTCTACTTCCGTTGCTTTTCCTCGGTACATCTGGCCCCATTGCATTGTTCCGCTCAACCCCGGCGTAGGCCGTGCGTACCGACCCGGCTTTCAACCGCTTCCTGCTCACAATCGCTTCTGCTGCATGAAGCACCACCACACTCGCTTCTAGTGGCCGCTATCCGTCGGTAATTTCTAGGGTCATTGACCCTCTGGCCATCCGGAACTAGACCCTTAACAGATCACACATGCCAAGTCAGATCTAGCACCCAATCTACTTCCTCACATCTGAACGGTCGAGCTGATCACAGTCGAGCCCGTTAGCTATTGCCACAGTCGACAAGGGTCCCTTAGGCAGGGTTCTTGGTTACATCCCGTGCTACACGCCACTGTACCCCTCTGTAACCCGCTTGCACGTGTGCGTGCGTGGTGGACGTTCGCTCTTCCAACTCACCAGCAACTTTGTTCTTTGATACTGGACCCACGGTGTTACTGCTGGCCATCACTTGCTGCAGACTGAGCAAATTTCCTTTGGAATCATTACAATCCCCGCACCATGTGGGCAGAAGTCAACGGAGAGCGTAAGAAGGTGGCCTGGTAAGTTTTCATATCTCTGGGTGCTTGTTACCGCTTTTTCCTCCTGAAAACTCTGACTGCATAATCTCTTGCATGCTTGCAGCCTGCGCTGAAGGTTCTCTGAATATGCAACATCTCACCTGTCAGACACGCGGCGTACCCTTTGACGGCACTCCTTCACCGTGAAGAGAAACTAACCTAATGCAGTGGCCCGTGCATCCGCGGTCATCGCTCATCGAAATGCGACCACAGAGACCGAGTACTGGTTGAGGTTCGGAAGCCTGGTCGACCTTTGAGTAGCTGCCCGCATCCGACCGGTTCATGTAGCTGCGAGCGTGTTGTTATCAACTACACGATCCCCAAAACCTCACAATGCGCCTGTCCGTCCGAACGAGAGGCACCCACAGCTACCATCGTTGGAAACAGTCGAATCTCAAAGGGTAGACGAAAATCTACGGCCGTCACCCCCTTTTACCTAGACAAGGCTATCCGAGCCGGTCTAGACGCCGAAACCGACACCTCTTCGAACACACAAACCCCTTCCGAGACAAGCGGTAGCAACGCCCCATCACTACCATCAAGTGCAAGCTCAACTCCACGCCTACTGCCTGCTCAAAGTGATTCCATCTCGAGTTGCTGTAAGCCAAAGCTGGCGTTGGCGCCAGTTCAGACAGGAGGATGTTGTGGCAATAAATCCAGTCCAGCTCCAGAGCCACCAGTACAGAAGAAGTCTTGTTGTTCTGGGCCATCCAAGCAAACACCTACAAGTTGTCAGCCGAATAGTTATCAACATGCCGGGCAATCATTTCAGTTTCCGCCTCAACCTCTAGGAATATTGCCGCCGCAGTATCAGATGTTCTCTCCTCAAGCAATGTCACCGGCTACACCAAACCCTTTTGGCCTCGGCACCCCGATCTATAACCATGCGGCAGCGGCTTATCATCAGAACAGCCCAGTGACAATGAGTCCAGGAGTGAACACCCCCGTGTCACCGCATATGAGCATTTCTTCGGTCGGCCAGCATAATCCTGAACACAATTGCCACTGCGGTGAATCATGTAGCTGCTTCGGATGCGCCGCCCATCCAAACAATGCCACTATGATGGAGTATGTCAGAGTTATGGCTCACTTCCAATACACTGGCGGGTTTGGGGGAATGGTCCCACCTCTTTATGATATGCCAACATACCCTCATCAACCAGGTTACGGAGCTGAAGCTGGCCACAGAATGAGTTACGACGCAATTTCGCAAGGCATGACAACGCCTACCCCATCACAAATGAGCTTTCAGGCCGGTCTCAACTTGCCGGCCAAACCCAACCAATCCATGCCGATACCCGGAAACTGGCAACAGCCACTTAACACAGTACCCGGCCTGTCACAAGCCCCTTTTATGAGGAACATTAATTATGCTGATTCTACTACCATCGCCGAAAACCACACACCTTTAAAGAAAGAAGAAGGAGTAGGCTCACCGGCTGCTGATAGCCCTAGCGACAGCAAAGGTGAAGATACCCCTACGCTTTCGCCGTCATCATACTTCTGGAACGAGATGATCTTGCCAGGTTGCTCAGACGCCTCTGGCACTTGCCAATGCGGGGACGGGTGCGCATGTGTAGGCTGTCTAACACATGGCGGTCACACTGGAGAGCAGCTTGAGGACATCTCAACTGCGGAGCAAAACGCTTTTCCCAATTTTACTCCTGATCTTGGCCTCAATATGAACGATCCAACGGATTTCATGAACTTCCCAGTAGGCCCTAGTTCAACCATGTAAATGGGGGTATGCGTGCTTTCATCGTCGTTATCGACACAAGTTGATTCATGTAACTGGTCGCTCTGGAATATCAGACTATGCTACTCACAGCATTCAAAACGCAGACGTCACCCCCTCCACCTTCATGGATTCATACGCCTCAAACAGCTTACATCC